CACACGCCCTTCGAGGCGGTGCAGACCGCAGCTTTCCTCAAGCGGACCAATCCCTCGCCTAATAACCCTCTAAGAATAACTCTGACTAACCATCTGGGCCGGTCTCGGGGTCTTGGGGGCGGCTTAACTTTTCTCGCTCTTTGCTCGCCTTTTTCGAGAATTTCTTGCCACGCCCCACATCTGTGGAGGTTTATTTTCTGTAAATTTGCCCTTTTCAGTTTTGGTACTGTGAATTACCGGCTGGCTGTAATCTTGCCGCTTTGGGTGATTATCGAGGATTTCCTTTTTTATTTTTATTTTTATTTTTTTTATTTTATCCTTTGATAGACTGCACTGATAATTGTCGCCCAGTAGATAAGGATTCAATCTAAAGGCAGTATCTTTGTATTCTCCCCAAAACAGATAAAAGGAAATAAGAACAAAAGCAATTAGATTTCCAGCCATCAATCGGTCGACGCGCTATGATCCACCCACGCGACTATGGCGGGGTGTCTTTTTGAGGGGCATTGATAAGGAATCCTTCTGATAAGTCGCAGGTACCGTAGATTTTGATATGCATCATGAACATCCACCATGTCCATGCCTATCGGAAAGACCCTACCAATACCCTTTCCAGAATGTCTGTTCATCTGATCCCGGAACTCTGTCGGTCAGTATGACAAGGCACATATCGAGACAAAAAAAATACAAAGGGTCATTAAAAAGGAAAGCGACGAATAAGATGCAATCCGTGAACGAGTCCCCCATATGACTTGCTATAAGCCATGCGCCCGATCTACCAATGGGGTGACAGTCCTGGTCTATTAGTTGCATGCAACGTTCAAACTAAATGGAGAGATACTCGGGTCCTGCAGCTGATATGCGCCGTCGTCAATTAATCGTTGATAATACCTCTTAGCAACAGCCTGCTTCTCACGTCGCTATCTAAAAGCCTCACTCAGGCAACCCTCGTTCGTTCGCGGTGCGAGTGTATCGAAGGCCTGGTCAGCCGACTGATAATGGTCGAAAAGGGGAGGTCACAATGCAGAGAATAGGTCGAGGAAGTATAATTAAACATCGATAGAAGGCGTCTGGATCACCGTGGCGTGGGGTGCGATTATCTGGGGAAGAGAGATACGGGCTAGAGATATCCAAGCGCCGTCAAGGGAGATTCCGGTGATTAGTATTCACAGCCCATTCTATCGCATTGGACTGGCCCGTTCAAATGACTCTGCCTAGTAGTTTCTTGGTTGCAGATACTTGCCTTACGTGCATCGAGGTATTTTCTTTACCCATTTCACTATAGTTACTGTATCGGCGCAGAGGAGGAAAGGGGGAGTCATTTTTCTTTTTTTATTTTTGATTTGGATCCATGATGGCTCCATCTCTTTACCCAATTAGGTAGTCTTATTGAGTGCCTGAGGTGCGGACTTGGGCAGTAACCTCGTAATCGACCGTGTATTAGGAAGATAGAACCGTCTAGCCGACGCCTATCGCAGGTTGGTTGGGAGGCTTTCCAACTGACTCCATGTAGCTCTTAGTACCGTGTCATATATTTCCAGATAGGAGAGTACCTGATCCATTCAAATGGGAGTGGGAATCAAATGGCGGAGAGCAACCCTTGTCTTAGCTGCAGCCTTGCCGCATCTTCTCAGCGTCCAGACGCTCAACCACAAGATTTGTGGGTTGCGCCTTTTTTCTTGTGGTTTTGAATTTTCTGAAACACCGTAACAACGCATCCACTTTCAATAATTAATTCAAAAATGATAATTCCATGCCAACCATCAGACCAGAATGAGTCTACCAAACTACACGTATCTTTTCTAAAAATTCACTAGATTCTTGAGCTATTCAAAGTTATTTTTTACTAATAATAATAATGTAAAAAGAAGTGCTACCTGAATTCAAAGTGAAACCAGTCTGGCAGTTATGCAGCCAAAAAAAAAAAAATGAATTAAAAATGTAAAAAAAAAAATTCAGTGGGAAATTCAATTTACCGGCGGTGCCCAGCAACCGAGAATATCGACCGGCGCCATTACCGTAATTTTCAAGCCGAAACCACGCCATGCCTGATCGGGATGAATTTGCCCCCTCCCCCAAAAAAAGCTACAATGGATTGAGAGTCTCTCTTTCTCTTAAATTTAAAGCATCGCCTCCCCACCCACTGAACCATTGTCACTTACATCTCTATCCCTTCTATCCGTATACTTACCCATCTCCCTTCCCTTCAACCCGCTTTGCTTTTAATCTCCTCCTTTCCTCTTCCTTCGCTACTTTCCAATCGATTTCTCAGATCGTCGTGTCGCTTTCGTCTGTCTTCTATCGCAGGAACAAAGCTTCTTTAAGCAGTTGAAATTTACTGGTTCTGCTCTGCATCCGTTGCAAGCTGAGATATCTTGAAAAGAAAAAGTTTCTTGTCTATATCCTTCACACACACATCAATCATTATGGTATGTGATACTCATCGTTCTCTTATCTCGCGCCTTTATCGCGTGGTGGTTCTCGTTATCGCTTGGATAAGTGCTGACCTATGACTCATTATACAGTCTGAATCAACAACCGTCTCCAACACGGAGAATGTGCGTTACACTTCTTATTGATTGCTATCATGCTTTCTTCAGCCGATTTCCCGGCTTTGAGGAAACAAACATACTGACTTGCGCTGGCAACAGCTCATGAAGTACATGAACCTCGACCAGCGCGGAAGCGTGCAGGCTGAGTACGTCTGGATTGACTCCGTCGGTGGATGCCGCAGCAAGACCAAGGTATGTATTCATATCCGACCTTCATCCCACAACCTTATCCGTTGGATCGCGTATCGGGCGGGAGTATGGGTCTAGGACATTGAATGTGCACGGCGCACAGACGCAAAGGGATCGTGATCGTTATCTCGACTCTTCGCTGATAAGCCCTGCGCACGGTGATCCGATGCACCCTGTTCCTGCGCCTACCCGGCCCACGTGACCAGACATGGGGACGTCGATTACTGACCCCACTATCTAGACTCTCAAGAAGGCTGTTTCGTCCGTTGACGAGCTCCCCGAATGGAACTTCGACGGTTCCTCAACGGGTCAGGCCCCTGGTGACAACTCCGATGTCTACCTCCGTCCCGTTGCTATCTACCCCGACCCTTTCCGTCTCGGTGACAACATCCTCGTCCTTTGCGAGACCTGGGATTCGGATGGAACCCCCAACAAGTACAACCACCGCCACGACGCCAACCGCCTGATGGAGGTCAACGCCAAGGAGGAGTTCTGGTTCGGTCTTGAACAGGAGTACACTCTCCTCGGTAACGATGGCTGGCCTTACGGATGGCCCAAGGGCGGTTTCCCCGGTGCCCAGGGTCCTTACTACTGCGGTGTCGGAACTGGCAAGGTCTACTGCCGTGACATCGTCGAGGCTCACTACCGTGCTTGCTTGTACGCTGGCATCAACATTTCTGGTATCAACGCTGAGGTCATGCCTTCCCAGTGGGAGTACCAGGTTGGCCCCTGCCCCGGTATCGAGAGTAAGTTGCACCATTTTGTTTCGTCTAGTATATTCGGACTCTAACACATTTTTTGCAGTGGGTGACCAGCTTTGGATGTCCCGTTTCCTTCTCCACCGTGTCGCTGAAGAATTCGGCGTCCGTATCTCCTTCGAGCCCAAGCCCATCAAGGGTGAATGGAACGGAGCTGGTCTCCACTCCAACGTTTCCACCGCCGCCACTCGTGCTGAGGGTGGTATGAAGGCCATTGAGGCTTACATGAAGAAGTTCGAGGCCCGTCACGCTGAGCACATTGCCGTCTACGGTGAGGGTAACGAGGAGCGTCTCACTGGCCGCCACGAGACCGGTAGCATTGACAAGTTCAGCTACGGTGTTGCCGACCGTGGTGGTAGTATTCGTATTCCTCGCCAGGTGGCTAAGGATGGCAAGGGTTACTTCGAGGACCGCCGTCCTGCCAGCAATGCTTGCCCCTACCAGATCACCGGTATCATCGTTGAGACTGTAAGTTCTATCTGGAAAACTTTGGATTAATGTGGATATGGAGCTAACGGATTACACTCAGATCTGCGGTGGCAACTAGATACCTTAACTACCAATAAAAACGTGAAGACTTTTCTTTCCTCTTAGCGCTCGTATACCCTCCGGCGTCAGTTGGGATCGAACTAGGAGAGCAGCCTGGCAGTGTGGAGCACATAGATTTTTCTTTTCTTTTCTTCTCACGATGGTATTTCAGGTTTTCTTTTACTCGGATGCCAGAGCTTGCCTTTGCGTTCATTACCCCATGCCGTTTATATTCTAATTACTTCTCTTTCGTTACTTGTTACTGGGTTATGTGTTACGTCAACAACAACATAGAAGGTTCACAGTGAATTGGACAATCACTAGGAATGGAACAACTGTTTAGGAAACAGGAAGGAAAGGAGCAACCACTGTCATAGTATTATCGTGTATCAAATACAACCAATCACTCTTTGGATGGTTTTACTGGAGTAATGCTACGCCGAGCTTGATGTCGGTATGATCAACCTACCGTTGTGGCAGGTGACCCACTTGAACTTCAACACTGGAATAATTTCCCACGCTTCCTCTGTGTCTATATCTTGATCGATAATTGGTTTGTCGAAGTCTCCTTTTGTAATGAATGAAAATATACCAGCAAACATTCGTTCTAGACATAAGTTGCATCGACGCTTATCATATGATCCATCATACAAGTCGCATAGCCCTTCCAATATTATATTCCTTTCGACATAAGAATATTACTACGATCATTGTAGAGAAACGAGACAACGTTACGGAGTTGAGTTCTTATCACGATGAGCTTGAATTTTGTATAGTAAGTACAGTCTAGACTATCTATCTATTAGAATTAGCATCTTCGTGTTAACGAGATGTAGATAAGTAGGTATGAATACAAGTATTACTTCTTGACAAATGGCATCATACCAGACAGAAGTCAACCCAGCCTGACTAGCTAGGGTAGGACAGGCCAGTAAACCCTGACGGGAAAATGCCACGCACATACTAGTAGTATATATAGTGTACGTACGCAATAATTGACGGATGAGTTAGTTAGTTGTTCCTCCTCTTCTTGAAAAGAGAAAATACCCCCGAGCCCAATCCATCGAGACCCCTCTGCTGTGCCTCGCGTCTAGCGGCTCCATCCACGATCTTGTCCGGGTCATTCTCATCGCCCTTGCGTCCGTCAATCACCCGGACCAGGATCTGCATGGTTACCGCGGCGAGGATGCTTCCGCACAGAATGCCCACCATGACTAGGTTGCTTTTCCGGAACTTGAGACGGCCGGGCGCGGCGCGGTCCTCGGCCCAGCCGTTGTATAGGGCGTAGGTCGTTACGATACTGCCCAGATTGCCTAGGCCGGAGACGATGGCGGAGGCGGCTGCGACGCCGACTTCGCCGTGGCGGGGTTGGAAGATCTCGGTGGTCCAGGTCATGGTGATGGGGACTGTGGGGCCGAGGCCGAAGCCGACGATTAGGAGGCCGCCGTAGCGGGGCCAGGAGTTGGTGTCTGTGCCGGCGTAGGTGGTGAGGAGGAGGCCGAGGATTTGGAGGAGGACGGGGACAGAGAAAAAGAGGGCACGGTGGCGGTGGAAGCGGTCGGAGAAGGGGGTTACGAGGAGGATGGCGGCTAGGTCCATCTGTTGGTTTTCTTGGTTAGTTTTCATAGTTATGTTGTTATTGTTGGGGTTGTGGTGTTGGTTGGAGGGCACTTACGAGCCAGATTGGGGCGGAGAGGAGACTGAGGTCTATTCCGCTGAGATTCGGGTTGATGGCTTTGATGATCACCGTGGCGTAGCTTTGAACGCCGATACCGACACCCACTACACCGAAGTACATGATGAGGAGGGGCCACAGGCGCCAGTCGAGGAACACGCGGAGGAGGTCTTGGAGCGTCCATGCTGAGCGATGGTACACGCGTTTCAGGTCGTGGTAGTGGATTTCAGCGTCCCGGCCGGTCAGAGCAGGTGCACTGCGCGGAAACCACCGTAGGTATTTCCTCTTCGGGGGCTGTTCGCCTGGGGGTGTGGGCCGGTCTGGGAGCCACCAGAGGAGAAGGATGCCGACGGCGATTGTTATGACACCCCATACCAGGAACATCCACTGAAACCCGGCGTAGCCTCGGACACCGTCCATCTTTTGGAATCCGGCCGAGACCAGCCCGACAGCTGCGGCGGAAAGCTGCGCTGCTGTGTAGTATTGGCCAATCCGCTTCCCTGTTCGAGACGGAGGGTAAAAGAGGGTGAGGTAGTAGGCCATGCCGGGCCACATGCCCGCGATGACGATACCAAGAAGTAGACGTAGGAGGCTATGTTAAGTTAGTTACCACATTATGGATTGTCTTAGCTGTTGGAAGATCAGAGGTAGAGCTCTAAAGAGCGCCAGAAACATACTAGAAACTCCAGGCGGCTTTCATGGCGGTCATGCAGGTGCCAATGACGCCGACACTAATGACAATGCGACTCATCCAGACATGTGGACTGAGTCTGGACATGATCAGATTTGATGGCAGGTCGAAAATGACATAGCACACGTAGAATAAGGCGAGAGCAGTTGAGACTTGGTGGTCATTCACGTGCAGAACGTCGAAAATAGTGTGGTTGGTGTCTATGTTCATCGTTTGGGCTAGTGAAACATTGGACCGGACGGCTGCGCAGAGGAAATAAAGAACCCAGAAGGCGGGGATGATGCGCAAATCCAGCTTCCTAGGATTCTGTCAGATACGTCTTTTTCTTTTTCCTGGATGAGAGGTGGGAGCGCCTACCTGTAAATGCGCTCAATGTCGGCAATATCTGGCTCGCTACCCGATTCCACATCGTCGCGGTTGTCGCCAAACTGCTCACGTATATCTCCACTATCAGGATTTTTACCCATGTCCGCGGGTGGGAATTGCGACTGAGCTAAAGACATGATGGCGTCACGGCTAAAAATAAGGCTGACCTATGATACCGCGATCTGATGGGATCCTGCAGCACCACCGACGCCACAGACAAACCTCTATCTCGGGTGAGATAGAATGGGACTCTTTAAAGAAAAGTTGGAGGTGAACGGAAGTCCAAATAGCAGCAGCAACGAGAGCAGAATTAAAACTCCGCTAATGGTGTCGGACAACAACCCCGCACGCCGACAAGGAACTTAAGGATCGACTAGACCGTAAAGTTCACCGAGTGATTTCTTGATGTGTTTCGCAATCAGCCCTAAATCTGGAATTAGACCGGAATTTTTCTTGTCTTTTTGCTTGCGGCAGGATCAATATGAAGCAGACGGATAAACCCGTGAGCGTTCGCATATCCTCGGCTGTCGTGTTGGAGTTCCCATGGGTCATAACGGCCCCGAGTCAACTCAATAGTAATGAAAAGGAGCATACCTGAAGAGAAAAAGCCATTGCGGGTATTGTCTCCGATCGGTCTGTTTGGTAGTTTGATTGACTGGGAAATTAAAAAGAGGGGTTCAACGCTGATAGCGACTGATAAAATTATTATCGATAGCTCGGTAGCTCCTCCGTAGAATGTCCAACTTTAAATCCAAGGGCCGGATTGTGGGGCAACAATAGAATACCCGTCTCGTGCTTTGATCGTTTCGTCGCAGGTGTCCTAGGGATATTCAACAGTGGGAACAATATCAGGAGTTGAAGTCCAACAGGAACTGAAGCAGGTTGAACGAAGCAGTCGCAAAGTAGGGATAAATGTTCTCGACTCAATCCATCCGATGCTCGGCGGAAAGAAAGGCAAAAAAAAAGGATCCACCAATGAGAAGCTTGGAACGCGGAAGCATAACTGAAGAATCTCAATTGACAGAAGTTGTGGAGAGGGACAATTATAAGAAGTCCAAAGAAACCAGAATGACTCATTCGGATAGCTTCAATCCGATGTCGGGCCCTTCATCACCCAGCTTTGGCTTCAGTGAGTGCCAAGTGACAACAGCAACAACATGGGGGGACCGGTGAGCCACCCGGTGAACTTAAGAAAATCTTTTTCTCAGCTCGAGAACAACAATGGCTTCAAAAAACCGTTGCTTGTCTGGGATAGTTTTGAAGGATTCTCCAAACTCGGTGGACTATCGGGGGCATAATCGTTCTATATGTGTCAAGCTCTGCGCCAACTAGAATTGTACTTCCCATCTGCTGCCTTGGAAAATCAATCCATCCACCGTATAAAGCTTGCTCGCCTGGTATAGTTCGTCTTCATAATGGCCATTGGTGTCTGGGAGCACTTCTGTAAGTTGAAGAGAAAGTCAACTAACAACGGTCAGCATGACTCAAGTCCAGTCTGACTTCTGAGTAGCAGAATCTTCCTTGGACTAGCTAAGCATGGGTGCATCAGTGTATCCCTTATCAGATAATCTTCTGGTTCATGGCTGTGTTCTGAGGAAGGCCATGATGATAACAAAACTGTTCTCAATGATGTTCTTAACAGCCTTTAGATCAGCAAATTCTATCGACTCAAGCAGTCACCGACTGCCATTTAACATTCAATGTCCTTAAAATCTCAAGATAGTAAAAGTCACCTTCCACGTTGTCACCATTGTGCATCGACGTATCCCTTTGCATCATTTTTTTCAGAGCCATCGGGCTAGTATGATACCTTTGCTATGCGAAGATGACGTTCATTCCTGATGAGTTTGATCCTTATCTAGAGCACCGTATTGTAATTCTCTCCTTTAGAAGCCGCGAAGTGCATATATATCTCTGCTCAATTGTCATATATCTCTTTCTCTTGAGCTGAGCACAATAAAAACACTATACGAAAAAAAACCAGGTGTGTTTAGGGAAAAAAGGAGCTATGATAGAGAGACACGAATAAGCTCACTGTACACCAGAGTTTTGATATCAGACAGAAACATACAGTATAGAATGAGGACCACAGAAATATTACCTGGGCATGGTATGTTATCCATCTTACGTAGGCATGTTGGAAAGGAAACAAGCTCAGGCTGACATTGTACCTGCACGCATATCCATAGCATTGGAACCCTTGAGAACATCCAAGCAAAGATATTAAAGAAAGAAGACTATTTGCTCTGCTAGATATGAAAACCGGTGCTGTGTTAGGACATGTGACCCCAGCCAAACAGTGAATGATTCCTGTCGTTTGTTGTCAGCTTCTGTTTGTATCTTTCCCCTCTCTCTTCTTCCTCTTCTCCCCCTTCATCCTGTATTCGCTTTCCACTCTCTGTACTCGGTACGTTCTTCTTTCTTTCTTGAGTGTGTACAGACTTTTGATACTGCTAGAACTACTAAGAACAGCTTTCAGGTGAGTATCCCCCGGAATCTTACATTCTCTCCCATATTTGTAGTCGACCAAGCAACAGACACTTCACTCTTAAAGAGATTCACTGTCCATCTACACATGTATTGCTTACACGTCCCATGCTTTCACTCACTGAAGTCCTAAGCTGACATCGTTCTCTTGTATCTTCTGGTCCTTCACAGTGACAAGCGTCCATATACGGACAAGATGAGTGGCTGGGGTGCTGATGACGGAGCGGCTGGATGGGGGACTGCCAGTGATACTGGTAGGTGCTCGTGATCATGGGTGTAGTCATGGCTTTGCCCATTTCCTGTTTTGCTCGATGCATAGATTCTTATACTACTCCTCGATGCTAAAATGTAGACAGCTGCCTACACTGATGAGAATGCCAACCCATCCGGCAACTTGAAAGATCCTGGCCTTGATGGTGACGCCTGGGAGACTACGTCTGCTGGGAATGAACAAAATGATGACAACAGATGCCGAAAGTAAGTCAGCTTCTATGGCTCTCCCCTTTTCATATACTAATGCATGTACAGCTGTGGAAGCGATGGTCATTTCGCCCGTAACTGCCCTGAGCCCCGTAAGGGTATGGCCTGCTTCAACTGCGGCGAGGAAGGGTAAGCAATAAGACAAAGAGACGATTCTCTGTTGCTGAAATAAGCTGCAGGCATAGCAAAGCTGATTGCACCAAGCCTCGTGTTTTCAAAGGCACTTGTCGCATTTGCAATCAGGAAGGCCATCCTGCTGCTGAGTGCCCGGAGAAGCCTCCTGATGTGTGCAGGAACTGCAAAATGGAAGGTAAGACAATGACGACTGTTTTTTGCACGAGATATACTAATTTATCGTTCCAAGGCCATAGAACCATCGATTGCAAGGAGAACCGCAAGTTCGACCTAAACAACATACCGGACAAGCTTCCAGAGGAGGCCTGGGCAGCCATGCAGAAGGCTAGCGAGGAAAAAGATCTTGAGGACTTCCGCGAAGTATGCTTCTTTTCGACATCCTTAAAACTTTTCATATGTTACAGGAGCTTACAAGAAGACAGGCTTTGAAGATCTACTCTAAGGCAGTCCCTGATGCGACTTTCGTTGATATTGAAAACAAGATGCGCCAGGACAACCTTAACTTTTACCTCATTGCCATGGTTAGTAGTACTAATGTTACCATTCCTGAGTACTAATAGCATGTTTGGGAGCAGGAAAAACCAGTTGGTGACTGTATCAGCGTGATCAATCTTCAAGGCAAGCTGGACTGCAAGTATGTCGTTGGGTTTTACTACAGTCAGAAGCCCCAGCGTGCCAATCTCAAAGAGCGTTGGCCTGAGTCGAGTGAAGAAAACCTTGAGCGCCTGGAAGATGCCGGTATCCCTTATGATCGAGAAATCCCAAAGTGCTCAAACTGTGGAGGTAATCCATACCTTCGCATCCCTAGAAAGGAAGACAGCTGATGAGTTTTGCAGAGATGGGTCATACTGCGCGAGGCTGCAAGGAGGAGCGTGTTGTTCATGAACGTGTTGAAGTGAAATGTGTTAACTGTAGCGCCGTCGGACACCGTGCCCGTGACTGCACTGAGCCTCGCCGCGACAGATTCGCTTGCCGTAACTGCGGGTACAGCCTTTCTCTGTTCAAATGTATGATCATGTTGCTGACCGTGTGCAGATCCTCTGAGCATAAAGCATCCGACTGTCCTAACCCTCGCTCTGCAGAGGGCGTTGAGTGTAAGCGTTGCAATGAAGGTGATACAATCCAGTTCAAATTAACACATCCCTATATGCTGATATGTATATTTAGTCGGTCATTTTGCGAAGGATTGTCCGCAGGCCCCTGCCCCGAGAACGTGTCGCAATTGCGGGTATGTACGAATTCCACTCCTCTAAGGCCTCACTTTTCTTTCCTTTTGAACTTTTTTCGCTCTTGGTGTGTGATAAGATCTAACAGAATAGATCTGAGGATCACATTGCACGAGACTGTGACAAGCCCCGAGATATTTCAACTGTGACTTGCCGTAATTGTGAAGAAGGTTAGAATTGACGTTCCATCTCATTTAGTGTCCTCAAGCTAACACGAGTGTCAGTTGGCCATTTCAGCCGCGATTGTCCGAAGAAGAGGGACTGGTCAAAGGTCAAATGTAACAACTGCGGTCAAAGTAGGTTAAACCACGATAATATCTCTGAACAGTCTTGTTAACACTAAGTACTCAGTGGGCCACACCGTCAAGCGCTGCCCTAGCGACGCAGTCAATGATACCGGTATAGGCGACAACCCGGATTTGGGGAATAATGGCAATCAGAATGCAGCTGCAGATGATGGATGGGCTACCGATAACACTGGAATAGCCGACCACTCCCCTGCCGAAGGCGGCGGATGGAAACCAGGTTGGTAGACGTCCAGCGTGCCGGTCAGAGCACGGCGTGAGTCGGATTGATCGTTTGATACGGTGTCTGATGTCATCGCATGTGCACGGATCGTCCCCGTGTAGTCTACTCCAGGTTTTCTTTGAGCTTTGTCCATTCTCAGTCAATTTGGTGCGAATCATGGAGCATGGTAGCAACGCTAAATTCGAACGGCGGGGCCGGGAAAAGAAGTCACTCACACGGACCGGGATACAATCTGGAAAAGGAACCACTCCTGTCTCTTGATGGATTGACTCCATTATCTGCTTGTCTCGGAATTAGTGAGGTTTGAATGCACTGCTACAGACATTTCCATCTCCGTCATTGGTTCTTTGCATTCCGGTAATACTGGGTACAGTGTATGCGTAGGACTTTTATGCGCCGTAGTTGGTTTATGTTTTATAGGCCACCACCAACCCGATCGGATGATTGGGAGTCCATACCTAGCCAGGTATACTTACTCGCAGAGGGTACAAAAAACATCGGCCACTTATTGCCAGGAGTTTTGTTTCTGTGTACGCATCAAAGGAACCGGGCCAGTTTATGTCGGGTTTACCTCCATGGGAAACATTGGACATTGGACTGATGATTGTTTGGGATTGCTTTGGCCCAATGCAAGAATGAAAGTATGGGTCAGGTAAATTTGTATTTGGAATGGTTAACGTGCTGCCGGCGAAAGAAAATTTAAGTGTCAAGAGTTGTCATACATTCTTTTAACATTAGAATGGCTGTTGCATTGCAAATACACAACATTCGGACTGTCTGCTAATACAGCATGCTTATCCTATCCTTGCGGCCACTCTCAACTTTGTAGCCTGCGAGATAAGCCAAGTAGCTACCGTATGGAACAACCCATTGTCATTCGTCATTCGTCATTTCATCGTGCGCCGCAGACGATAGGGAATACCATGGTTCCATTAGAGCTTTGGCAATGAATTCTTCCTTCGTCATCTTCCCGCTATCCATAAGCGCTTTGTTTTCCTCTATCTTCTCCAAGGCTTCATCATACTTCTTCAACTCCTTGACCTTCCGCGATGCGAATCCCTCAAGGTCTTCTGCCTGTTCATATTCCTTCTCACGCTTCGCCCACTCAGCAGCTCCCAAATGTTGACAGAGCTTTGTAAATGGAAAACTGCAATAGTCGTTAAAGCCAGATAAGAGGAGCATATGCAACCACATGGCTCCAGAAGCTTGTGACCACTTAACAAGACTAGAGAGCTCTCTCTCCTCATAGCCTGGCATTTTTACCTCTTCCTCCTCCAAGATATATATAAAGATATCAAGGTACTTCAAGTACCGAGAGGCAATCTTAGGTAGCTCATCACCCTCGCAGTCCCATGCACTATTAACAGGTCTATCTTGGAGAAGCCACCACGGTGCTGAGCCAAATAGCTGGGCGGGTCCAATATATGACCACTCAAGGTCTACTACCCCAACAACAGTAAGATCTTCTTTACCCCGAATAATTAGATTTGCCAAGCCAAGATCATCGCAAATCAATTTAAATTTGCCATAGTTATACTTCGGGTGGACCAAGTCAGGTATCAAGGTTTTAAGGGTCTTAAACGCCACGTATTTACCCTTAGCATCGTATTTACCAAAGGTCGAGTTTGGCTGGTGAACAAGCTGTTCCCAGTCCTGGTCAAGAATATACTGAAAATAATCGGTCGTCGTTGTAAACCCCTGGGATCGGTCACCTGGATATTATTACTTAGTCAACACAGTCGATTACTAAAAAAACAAAAAGGAAAAGAAAAGAAAAAGACATACCAAAAGTGTTAATTCCTCCGTTCTGTAAAATGCAATGTGCCTTGAATGTTAGCGGCCGTGGTAGTGTAGGGATATGGACATTAGCCTGGGGTGGTGGTAGACTGCCAATCTGATCAAAATCGAGCTTAAAGATCTGAAGGAGAAAATTTGCCAATTGTTTATAGATAAATTCAATATCGCAATCACTGATATCCTCTCTTATTACTCTGCCGGGGCACGTGGCATTGGGGTCCTGGAAAAGATCGCTAAGGCTCACACCATTAATAAAGTCCATCATAATGAATGGACCAAGACCCAGTGGGTTACTGATTGCGGGACCCCACGCTTGGACTATCGGGACGGGTATAGTAGTTCTATCGCGGATAAGGCCTAATGCTGATACCTCCATTGCAACCTTTTCATTGGCGTAGTCATCACAGACCATCCCTGCGCGAGGGAAACGAACCATCCAGGCCGTATTGTCACTAAAGACCATTTTTACACCGGCATTAAATGCACCATTGTGAAAGGTACCGTCAAGTACACAGGGGAGTCTATCGGGATGGAAAGTAGACACCCACTCGCAGAGACGACCCGTTCTGTGGGTCTCATTCACCTTATCGACCCAGAGCTGGTCCTGCACCTCGTGGACAAGATCGATAAGCATATTAGTATCCATAGTGTCAGAGGAACTTCCAGTAGGTAAATTAAAGTACTTGTTGGGTCAAGATTTTAGTGAATAGATTTGTTCAGGGACAAGAGGTGAACAAACAAGGGGTCTCGTTGTAATATGTGTTGGCACGTGTCCTGCTGCCTCAGGCAGAGAGCAATATTTCCTTTGCACATTACTATGTTGATATGATCTCAAAGATTCCTCATAATACAGAGCATAGGAACCCAGATTTTTCACTTACTTAGAGGCTAGTTTGCTTACTTTTACTACAGGCTCTTAGGAAAAGTCAGCTAAATAATTTATCCCGCCCATATCGGTTTCTAAATAGGTCTGATGAAGTGGAGATAGTGAAGATGGACCAAGAGAACTCTAAAGTGGTCTCTACTCTCAGAGAAAACCTCCAGCTTTGGTAAAGACCCGATATCTGAAGATAGTAACGACCGAAAGAGAGTATAGTTAAGGGTGCAGCAGTTTTGTGGCTATAGACTACTAATAGGCTTGGTAACTAGCCCCAAAGAGTTGTGTATTAAGAGACACCGCTCTGTTATTAATGAAGGTCAGTAAATCACACGCATTGATTTGACTCCGAGGGTTGGGGTTGAGCACGAACAGCAGCGTCTTTCTTCTCCTTGGCGGCCTTGCGTGCAGCAAGTTACTCAGCTATACAGATATTGTTTAATTAAACTAGAATAACTTTAGTATAGGCTATATAGGCTATTAAAATCGTAGTCTCTGAGTAGAAAAATCACAATTCTTCTTCTATTATTTCTGTTGTCGCCAACAGTTCCTCTGTAGTCTATGTGTAAGAGCAACCCAACCAATGCGACCCAAGACGGGCTGAGCAAGCCGAAAACAAAGCAAAAGGCATCCCTTACCGTCCGCATTTAGGCATCCCGAGAACATTCTTCGAATCGGGCAGCCAAGCAACGTGGTCATGTACGTGCCTCTAAGTTTGCAGCATTCGAATATATTGCTCCACTGGGATTAGCATCGGAATGTGAGATGAGATGGCTGTGATGTAAGGGGTAAGTGGTCCGTCCACTGGTTGTGATATGAGGTGAAGTAGTGGGTTATGTGATGGATGGTGGTGTACTCCATATACGTGTGGCTATTTGTGTTCTATTTGTGGTTTAAATAGTCATACAATCTTGAATCTATGTACGTTCGTACATGTAAGTGTCGGTTCTTGGATGACTGGTTCTCATGGACATGTACACTGCGCGCTATGTTTGATTAATATCCTCACGGTATCGGAAGTGGATATGACCTACACGATTGCACAGCAGTAATACGAGCTTATTCTCGTACATTGTTGATATGTTCTGCGGTGTAGCGACAGATATGCAAGGGGTGCTTCTCTTGCCATCTACCGGGAGTGATCTGGTGGGTTAATTTTATGACAGAAAACTTTTTATTTTTTTCAAGGTAACCTTGCTTCCTTGTGCTCTTCTTGATTCATGCAAGTTTGCTGTCTGTTATTATTCTATCAAGTTTTCTTTTGGTATTATAGATCTATTCATGATATTGAATCGCTGTACGGAGTGTGGATTAGTACTTTGATCTATTGATTTAAAGCTGGTAGACACCCTTGCTTCGTTGACAAAAATGCATGTCCTTGAGTGCATTTTATTTCAAAATTAATGAAACCAATCTCCTCCACTACTCATCCAACATATCACTGTATACATGGCATCGGTGATTGAGTCATGATAATATCAAAATACCTCGGCTTCGGACAAGCGCCGGCCATGGGAGGCGGGCCCGTGACGGTTCCCCATACTAACCCCAACCCAACGCTCAACTTTCCCCATCAATTTGAACGTACCGGCCCATACATGACCGCAACCATCAGATTCTATCCCGACAGATGCCCTGTACCTACGGCGTAGCAATTGCCTATGTAAGTAATTAAATTGCGGAGATACGTGCTTCCAAGCCCTGTGTGCATCCTGAACCCAACAATACTACACTACAGTTTAGTGCTCTTCCACAAGCAAAACATATACCCTAATGCCCGCCAAGAAGGACCGGGCCTGAGGGTACTTCCCCTTCGTTCAGTCTAGTTGTAACCCACCCACTCACGCTCTCTGCGACTAGGTAATTATGGGTCAATATATTCTCCGGCTGACACGCTCACTGGATTTAGGAACTCGGACCGGTCGGTTCGCCCCCTGTACAGTCCATGCAGGTGGTATGAGCTGATTCCGTCTGCTGAGTTGATCCACCCGTTGGGGATAGGTGCAGTTGACCTGGTAGCGAAAATAATGAATTTTTGGCTGTCTGCTCGATAATACTAATTGAAGTAGGTATGCATATACGCCCTACCATGCCGTGTGTGAGATGCATCCTGCTTTATCTTTAATCGGCATGTCAGATTTGATGTAGGAGTCTGCGTCAGACGGGTTACGGATCGCCTTGAACGGGAATCTGGAAATATCTTCGATTGTTCACACTGCGCGAAATTCGAGGGCGCGAAATAAAAGGGAACAGGTAATGGGCGTGGATCCGGGGCCCCATGACAGACGAGAAGGCCATGGGTTCACGTCTGTGAACCAAGTTGCAAAGTGGCCATTGATATGGTGGTTTCGGCCTCCTCACGAATATAACTTTCCAAGGTAGGACCATGGAACGATCGGAAATACCCGAATAGGTAATCCGAGAAGGCGTCTGGATGTCTGGATGCCTGGATGTCAAAAACATACACAATTAAAAAACAGTTCGGACAGAGCCGAACGTCTGTGGAGAGGCAGTGCACGTTTCACGAGGGGAGAAATCCAGAATGGGGAGAAAACGGGGAAGGGATCCGCAGGTAATAACGACTAACTGGATCCAGTTTGGAGAAGATCTCGGCTGGTTGGTTGAAAGTCTTTCAACGCGTGAGGTCCATATGGGGCACACCCAGTGAGGTATGCAGGCCCAACGCCCTTTTGGAACGTGACGGTCGCCCGGCAGAACCTTAGAACAAAACAATGGCGGCTGAAGAGGAGGCGAACTTTATACGAGAGCCGTGGTATCAAAATCCCCAGTTCGGATCTCGATCCTGGCGTCGGGAGTCGTCTACAGAGAGTCATTTTAAGCAATTCTTAGCTTTCTCTGGGCACAATTATTCACGAGTCTTGACTGTTGCTTGGTGGTACTTGGCTTTCCCAGGATTCTAAACAGATCTCGTATGGAAAGGGCTCGAGAGCGCGCCGAGACGGGTGGCATCAAACAACAGGCTGTTACAATTTCATGGCAGCCTTAGGCCGATCCTTCGGTGGTTTAGTCTCTCGGCCATGGCTGGGATCATTCCGGAGAGGGTTTCTCCGGGCCGGGTTGATTTAAAGTTGGATGCTTTCGGCAGGCTTCGGCCTGGATCACCGGACAAAAGAAAAAGGTAAAAACAAAGAAAGGGTAAAAGAGACATACGGAACAAACTTGTATCTTGGCCTTTCTCTTAAAACTAACCACAAAATGGTAGAATAAATAAAACCCTCAACCAAGAGTTCTAATAACGCCGATGGTTTCCACTGGCGGTTGGCTAATTACTTCATTCTGTATAATTCTCAGATTCAATCAGACGACGTCCATGCCGTGGGAGTGGGGAACTCTTTCACTGGTGCCACCTGATTGGATTGACTGTCTTAGCGAGGTAGTACCTCGAGGAAAGGATGCCGATTTTACCTGACATTCATGATACTACTACAAGGAAGTTGACCAACTTGGATAAGTACTGTACCGCTAGTCACTGGGACGGAACCCCATCCAACGATAATATTACGGAATATCATCCAGGTATCAAACAACCAGGTCCCTCACTGGATCTGGAAGTAAGGTAGATAGATGCTCTCGATATTAATAACAAAATGAACGAGGGGTGAACAACAAGCGCCACGGAATCGGTAATATTTGAATAGACTCGCTCGATCTCGCTGTGGCGGATTGAGGCGTCAAAAGTAAGGGCGAGGATCGTGAGCTGGCGGATAGGGCCGAGTAGTAGGCCCCTCTTCGCAAAATCCGGAGACTCCAAACTCCCCGGATTCCTGAGTAATCGGCCGAGCAGGTCAAGTGAGAGGAGCGGAGCGATGACGATGGATGGACCCTCTTTTTTTCCCTTGGAGCCCCTCCACAAAGGTACGAATCATGTTTTCTACGGTTCCAGTGCTCGACCACGCGATCCATGCGAAATCTAGTTATACATCAAAAGCGGTTGATACGATGCGCATCAGGCAAGGTTCCCGAATCGGAGACGGGATCCAACCCCTCGCACCGCGTAAATAGGACGAAAGGTAAAAAGAGAAGAACGGGAATCCAGTGGCGATCTTTCACTAGCTACGTACGTTCGATGACCGGAAAATTGTGCCCTCGTATAACCATTGAACGGAGCCTTATTTTTATCCATGGAAGACGCAAAGAAAGTAATCGATGTTGGATATCTTGTGCACGGAGAACCCGAAAGAAATAATCAAAAAGAAAAAAGAAAAATCGAAACAGGAAAGAGACCGTCCCGTCGGATTGTCCAGAACAGGTTAGACAGCAAAGCGGACGCCAACCCGCAAGGCCAACGCCATGACGGCATTGGGCGGAGTGGAGCAGCAAAAAAGCAGAGTAACAAATGCGTCGGTTTTTTCCTCTCCGCGTTGCTTGTTCACTCACTTCATTCGCTTACCCATTTAGCCCCCGCCGATCAACTTTTGTGTCGAGTGTCGCCCGACGACCACCATCGTCATACTCCGGAGGACTCTGCCTCCAACATGAAAGTGATGGTGTGAGAGAAAACCCCGACGCTGGGGCCCATCAAGGTGCCTGGGAGTAGTATGTGGGGAGTCAGATCCAGTTCCCTTCCCCGTTGGAGCTTCTGGTTCAGCCAATGGAAATGTGGTGTGAAGGATGGAGAGAGCAAGATTCTAAAGCTTGGAGAGAAAGACGGGGAAATTGGTACTCCTACCTCGATCCAAAGAGAGATTGGCACCGGGGTGGAGATTCTCTCCCATCACTCCTGTATCAATCCCGGTAGTCCAATCATGGGTCGAATTACAAGGACTCATTGATCGTTTGCGATACTAAAACATGCAACCTTGGCCAAGTTGACCCCAAGGAACATGTCCTTTTCTTAGTCAGAGGCCATGCGACCCCCCCGTTCCCTGTCTGTTTTTGGACAAAGTCTCATTGAATGTATGTATGTGCAGTTACCGTCTGATGCGTGGAACTCTAAATTCTAATTAACATTTATTCTTTTTTTTTCATTTATTTATTTATTTTAATTGAATTTATTATTATTTAGATTATTTAGCCCCAGGCGCCGTGTCTTCCCCAGTTCATTGCCTAGCTTTTATACCCCGTTCATTCCCCTGTTGACACCATCTTGCTGATCTTCCTTTTCTTCTTTTTTATTCCGATCCCCTCCTGCGTTAATGCATCATTTTCTTCCTTCCCTTTCCCCTTAGGTCTCCCTTCACAATCGCATGCGACTGCCATCTCTCTACACGCTCACCTGAAGCAGTCTGGTCCCGTTCGGGAATTTAGTCAAACCTGTTAGGAGAGCACAGTCGCAAGAGCTTCCAAGATGGGCCGTAGGTACTTGGGCCTTCAGGGCAATGCCCTGCAAATCGCCATCGGTGTTATCGCCGGCATGGACTTTCTACTATTCGGTTACGATCAGGGTGTCACCGGTGGTCTTTTGACCCTTCAGTCCTTCATCAAATATTTCCCCACCATTTCTACCAGTGGCGCGTACTTTGACAGTCTCACCCAGGCCGAACAGAGTACCCAGTCTACTCGACAAGGTAAGTGGCGCCTTATTCACTACCTGTGGTAGGAGACCGCCGAAGGCTGATGAACTGGACCACAGGTATTGTTGTCGCTGCGTACAACTTAGGATGTTTTGCGGGGTCGATCCCGACAATCTGGATTGGCAACTGGCTTGGTCGACGTAAAACTATTTTCCTTGGTTCTTTCATCATGGTCATTGGAGCTCTGCTACAGTGTACCGCGTACCAGCTGCCCCAGCTGATTGTTGGACGTCTGGTGACTGGGTTCGGTAAGTAGCAAAACGTGCCAGGGGCGAAAGAAAGAAAGCTCTCGGCTAATATGGTATTGCTAGGAAATGGCATGAACACATCCACGGTGCCCACCTGGCAGTCTGAGTGCTGTAAATCCAACCATCGTGGTAAATTGGTCATGATCGAGGGCGCCATGATTACCTGTGGTATTACTATTAGTTACTGGATCGATTTTGGTTTGCTCTTTGCCGACCCCAGTGAGGTCGCCTGGCGTTTCCCACTGGCATTCCAGATCTTCTTCGCCGCCATCATCCTGGCTTTTGTCATGTTCCTTCCCGAATCTCCCCGCTGGCTTGTGCTGAAGGGCAGGGAGGATGAAGCCAAAGAAGTCCTGGGGGCTTTGTTGGGCGATGGAACCGATCCGACCTTTTTGCAGACCGAGTTCACAGCTATCAAGGCAACCGTGTTGGAGATGGCTAAGGGCTCGTTCAAGGATATGTTCACCATGGACGAAGACCGTCATCTCCACCGCACCGTGTTGGCTTATGTCAACCAGATGTTCCAACAGATTTCCGGCATCAATCTGATTACATACTATATCCCGGTTGTGTTGGAAGAGCAGATGGGTATGACCCTGATCAACTCTCGACTGATTGCGGCGTGCAACGGAACCGAGTATTTCATTGCCTCTTGGATTGCGGTGTTCACGATCGAAAAGTTCGGTCGCCGGACGCTGATGCTTTTCGGCGCCGCGGGCATGTCGATCTCGATGATGATCCTCGCCATCACCGCTAGTCTCAAAACCCCGCAAGCCAACATCGCCTGTATTGTATTCCTCTTCGTGTTCAACACCTTCTTTGCCATCGGCTGGTTGGGAATGACCTGGTTGTATCCCGCCGAGATTGTACCTTTGAAGATTCGTGCTCCAGCTAACGCCCTGGCGACATCGTCGAACTGGATCTTTAACTTCCTCGTCGTGATGATCACCCCTGTTGCTTTCGATAACATTGACTACCAAACCTACATCATTTTCGCCGTTATGTAAGTTTTCCCTGCAGTCTCTGCAGCCAAATTCCTTGTACTGACCAACCACAGCAACGCATTCATCGTCCCGGTTGTATTCTTCTTCTATCCGGAGACAACTCGTCGGTCGCTAGAAGAAATGGACCGCATCTTCCGAAAGACGAAGAGCATATTCTCGGTCGTGCGTGTTGCGAATAACGAACCTCACATGTATGGCAAGCATGGTGAGCTCCTGCATACGCTGGACGACGTGGAGGATGATGCTGTGCGCCGGGCTAGTGTGCTGAGCCACGCTCACAAGGAGTTGGAAAAGGATAGCTCTGAAAACGGCAGCACGAACAAGGCGTGAGCCTGATGCCAGTTTTCGGCGTTGATGATACCAAACTCAGTTATTTTTTGTCTCTGGTCGGGTTGAATTCTGGAAAGCCAGAAACGATGCCCGGCACGAATAATATACCCAGCTTTTATTCTGTATTTAGATTTTGGTGCTGCTTGGAATGCATATCTGATCTGTTGATCATCTACCAAGCTTTCTGTGGATCCATTGGTTCCACTTTGTAGGTGCAAATTTGCCTGCAAGGAACACGCACACCTGCCTGTTCCGTTGGGCTTCTATTTCAATGACTGGCTTCTAGAACATCTGCCACGGAATAGAAGGGAGTTTGGGCTGATGAGAAAGTCGGTAGACCCAACAAGAATTGTTCTTTGGAATGCACCACTAAACCTATCTCGGATTAGTCAATACTATAGGTAATTCCAGTTAACTAGAAGACCGGGCATAGATTTTCCAGCGCTAAAAGGGCTGGAGTTACAGTGAGGTCCGCATCCAGTACAGAGTACTCCGTTCTTTCAAAATGTATCATTACGAAGTGATATCGACGCAAACCCATGGTACGCTGTACATCTAGAGGGAAGTTCTGCCGGCTCGCATGCCCGCAGGATCAGGATCCATGAGTAGTTACTAGTCTGCCTTCATAATCCACTGTCACACCGCTGCGAAAGAATATTTATCGAGCAGAGTATTCGCCGTCAACATTTTCCTACTGTCACATGACTATCCCTGACGATCTCAATTTTTTTGCTCGTTACCTGGTTGTTTCATAGTCCAGAATGGTTATCTTTGTACAGTCTCTGTTGCGATGCGCCTCATGCTGGCTTTTAAATAGGTATGAGAATCATAGGCTAATAATCTGGGAAGGGAAATCATCATAATGGTAATGGAAGAATGTTGCACGTACTGATACCGATTGGTTTGAGTCTTTGAGTTTCCTTGATGACACTGTCGAGGAGCTTGAGGTTTTGTGGCGAGAAACCTCGGTGCAGGAGGGATGTGTGTTCATGTTGAAATACTGGCTTTGTGATGCCTCGCTTTGACTGTTTTGGAGTTGAGTGTATTAGACTGTTTGTATGTCCTGGGAGTTTCACGGCGTAGACAGGATGTCTTGTTGGCTTGTTTTTACCTCTTTGTAATACTCTCAGATAATACGACTGGATCAGTTAAGTCTATATATAGTTCAGAGAACCGCTTTTGATTATCTGAGTAATAATAGAGAGGAGATTGGAATTGCTCTGGGATTACTCACCGAGTTAAACCAAAGCAATCCGGGAGTGACCGGAGCTGCAGTGTATACCGACTGAGCGAGTGAACACGGAGCACTCACATACTGTCCTCACACTTACCCACTAGTATAGCTGATCATATATACCCTGGTGATTTCAGTCCAGCATTGATTGCGCGGCATTAGCACGCCGTACAGGGGAAAAGGTGATGCCACCAGCCTTGTCTGACTCACGACTCGGTACCGGTGGCGCGGGGAAGGGGTATGGCATCAGATTACCCCAAGTTGAGCAAATGAAGAAAAGAACAGAGCGTGATCTGCAATGGCATACGGCCTGAATTTATCCGGGTATGACTCAACTACCTACTCATATCGCGCGCTCTCCTCTTCACACTGGATCAATGCAAATCTCCCGGTAACCTCATCTAGTTCAGACTCTTCTTTGTGCATTCTCGCTCCAGCCGCCAATTATAGATACTACTAGTAGGGCTCCAGCATTGTATTCAGTGGTGCACAAGAAAGTACCGAGCTCGTCTTTTCAATATTGTTCTCTCATTTCATACGATCTCAAGGGTAAAGCTAGTTTGAAACATACCCAAGCAATCATGCTAATGATCCTAGGTTAGGATCGAAATATGCAGACCACAAGGTTCTGGGCACAAAACGAGGATGCGTTCGGACCTCAGGTTCTAGGTTGTCGCGCAGGCTTTGACTTCACTGTCTACTTTGAGGAAGTTGTATTCACCATTTCCCCAGCGTCGTTACTCATATGCTGTTCCCTGATCCGGTGGGATTATTTGCGCTCCCATGACATTGTCACAAACGCTGGCACATTGTTGACCCTCAATCTGGTAAGTCATCTTACGTTATAAGGTCCTATGGCCTAGCTGACTTGAAATAGAGTGGTTGGGGCGTCCTATCTGCTTTGCGCATTGTCCTTCTGGTTCTCTGGACGCTACCATCGACCCCCAAAACATCAGTAACCATCTCATCCCAAATTTTGAACCTAATATCTTCTGTACTTGCGGGGCTTCCATCATGGCTAGAGCATCGTCACTTCTTCAGACCCTCCGCTGTTCTCTCAGCTTACCTTTTCTTGACATCTGTCTTTGACATTGCAATAGCACGAACCTTGTGGCTGGCTCTCCCGGGTAGCTCCATACCTGGCATCTATTCGGCCAACCTCGCGTTGAAGTTGGTCCTTATCGTGTTGGAATCGCAAGACAAGACAGACTTGCTACGTGTTCGCGATAACTATCCCGCAGCCGAAAGCACTGGCGATATCTTTACCCGCACTGTTCTGGTAGCTGAACCCGGTTCTATTGCGGGGGAACGGGCATCAGTTGTCTATCGATGACCTGACCCTTGTACACGCTATACGCTGCCCAGAGATGGCTGACACTCGTTTTGGACCTTGTCATTTCCGGACTAGCCGTTATTCTCGCAGGTATTGCCATTGCTGTGCAAGGTTCGCTAAGTACTGGGCTAGTCGGACTTGCATTGGTCAACCTCATCAGTTTGGCTGGCAACGTGAAGCTCCTAGTCATGCAGTGGGCGCTGCTGGAGACATCACTTGGCGCGGTGGCCCGCATCAGGGCATACGAGAGCATCACGCCATCTGAAGTCAAGTCTGATGAGGACCGGGAGGTTCCTACCAACTGGCCACGTCAAGGAAAGGTGGAAATTGTCCGAGCATCGACACGGTACTCGTAAGCCGTCCCATTCGGACTGATTCGTCTGCGCCTTATACTAACGGTGTTGCTGTAGGGATGCTGGTCCACTCGCCCTTAGTAACCTCTTGTTGTCGATCCCAGCCGGGAGTAGAGTCGGAATATGCGGACGCAGTGGGAGGTGAGTAACGCTGTTTCTTCACCTGCCGGCACTGACCATATCATCACAGTGGCAAGACATCGCTCTTTTCTGTCCTCCTACGGATGTTAGACTTGCATAGTGGTTCTGTCATGGTAGATGGCATCGACATCGCCATGATCCCTCGAGCCAAAGTTCGAGCCCAATTAAACGCGGTCCCTCAGGAGGCTTATTTCTTGCCGAACACCTCTATTCGCGCAAGCATTGACCCATCTGATCGCCTTGGAGATGATGAGATTATCGCTATCCTCAAGGAGGTCGAATTATGGGAACCCCTCGGTGGTGAGGATAACATAGCAGTCCTCGACCTAGTCCTTAGAGATGGGCTTCTCTCACACGGTCAACGACAGCTGCTTTCACTCGCCCGCGCACTGGCGCGACGAGTGGCGGCTGGCAACATCCTGCTCCTAGATGAAGTAACCAGTCATCTGGACCGGAGAACGGAGGAGACAATAAGACAGGTCGTCCGTCGCTGCTTTTCTGGGTATACAGTCATCTCCATAGCGCACCGTCTGGAGACCATTGTTGATTTTGTCGTTGTGGTGGTGCTGGATGCAGGGAGAGCTGTTGAAGTTGGTGCACCCAATGAGCTCTTGTCTCTGTCAACCTCCACATTTAGGCATTTGTATGAGAAGCAAAAGTTGAGCGGCTGATGAGTACATGGGTTGTTGATATGATGAGCACTCCGGGAGCACTCATAAAAGCGGCGGCATCCCAATGAGGCAACCAGGCGGGATCTGCCAAAAAACCACTCCACTTAACTATTAACTTCTCTTCCGCGCTCCTCCTCAGTGTTAATCCCTGGGCGATCTTTATGGGCCCCATTAATACCATATCTCAGGGTCAGACTGCTAGTACTATATCAAAGTGATGACAGAGCCTCAGAATAGCAAGCAGGTCGGCCGCCGGAGGCGACCGAGGGTTCCCGACGCTTTACGGAAGAGGGCCGCACAAGCGTAAGACTAATAGACACACATGCTCTATATCTGAAATCTAACAATTCACCTTCATATCAGATGCAACCCATGCAGATATCATAAAGAGAAATGTATGGGCCTAATTCCATACACCAATTTTATTTTATTTTATTTTATTTTTGTTACAGTTGCTAATTGCTCCAGGTCAGGGCGGTATGCCTTGCTTGCGATGCCAACGGTACAAAAGAAACTGTCAATACAGCCAGGCCCCTGCGCAACCAGCCAGTAATGGCAACACAAGGTCTGATATTTTGTCAGAAAGTTGCTTGATGTCTCAACTTACATTACTATAGAGCTAGCACCTCCCCGCAACGGGACTCTGATAAGGAACGATGTCTCGAGAGGATAGTGCGACATTTCATGGGCGACATATCATTTGAGCCATCAAACCTTCAGTTCGTGGCGGACGCTCTGGAGAGGGACCGAGTAAGCTCAAGAAAGCCTTCAACCCTAATTCCAGGGTCCAGCGAGCTCTATTCCATTCATCCCCTTTCCACGAGTACGATGAGTAAGTCATGGTGGACGTAGCTTTGCTCTCCAGATGCCGAGTATCTTACCTCCATCCCGTGTACAGTCTACTCTGGGGAATTCTCTCACAGGAATTTCTCACGGATGATCCGTCGAAAATTACAAAGCCTGGGAAACGACCCCGATGACAGCATGGTACTGCTCGTTTACTCCATATTCTCATATGTATGCTGACAACTATATCTAGACGGGTGACTCCCATGACCCTTTCCGTGCAACTGGTCTTCAGTCTCCTAGCTCTATTGTTGCTTCAGCAAGAAAGTATTTCCCGCCGCGACATATTGCAGATTTTTTGTTGGAAACATTTCTTGAATATACCCAAACGAATTATTACTATTTCGACGAAACGGAGTTCCGGCAGAAGTTAGACTACTACTATACCGAAGATCGATACCTAGATATCAACGATGCCGGCTGGATCTGTACCCTTTTCATGACGTTCGCATCTGGGACTCAGTTCGCTTACATGCATGCTAGCCGACCCCCATACTTGCAGAGTACGTCCGGCGAAGATCACCTACCTGATGATACTATTGGGCTGGCACTCTATAGGTTCTCATGCCGCCTGATTCCCGATCTTATCACCACCGCCTCCGTCGAAACTGTCCAGGCGTTCTTGTTATTCGGAGTTTATACGATGCCGATTGATACCTCCGGCCTTGCCTACACTTACCTTGGGCTTGCCATAAAGATGGCTATCCAGAATGGTATGCATCGTCAGTTTGGAGAGGAAGGTCTAGATGCGCGCACCATTGAGTTGCGGAACCGTCTTTGGTGGTCTGCATACGCACTGGATAGGTAAGAAACAATACAGTAACTCTCGTTATGGTCACTATTCTAACTGTATACCAAATATAGACGGATCAGTATCCTCCACGGACGCCCAGTCTCCGTGTCCCCAGCTGAGATAGACTGCGACATGCCTAAAGACATACCCGAGCTGCGTCCCTCTGGCCGAACCACAAATCTACCTAATATGACTGCCACTCTCCAGCTGACTGAGCAGCTTGCGAAGGTTGCACCCATCGTGTAAGAAACCTAACTTCTAGCCAAGTCGTTCCCTCTGCTGACTACCTTTAATGAATCCAGATCCCGGCTGAGAAAGTGCCCGGTGGAACTACATCAAATCTATCTTAAGCAGCTCCTACACGTGCGTGATGAACTCAGGAGCTGGTGGGCCACACTGCCCGAAGATGTGCACTGCCGTGACCTTGATCCTTCCAAGCCGCTTTTCCGCTATAATGTCCATTTGGAAATGACATACGCTACGATAATCATGTACATAGGTCGCCCCTTGATTCTTGCTGGCACATCAAGCTCATCGGCCTCTGCTGAGGACCGCTCTGGTTCAGCCGTAGATGCTGGTGCAAAGCTGTGTTTTGACTGCGTTCAAGCCGCTCTCCGGATCGTCGAGCTATGCCAATTGTTACAGGACACTGTCGGTGTAGCACGAGTTTCATATACTGAATTTAGCTCCTGCCGTGCGGCGCTATTGGCCATTATCGCCCAGAATTTGAACACACGAACAGAACGGTTACGTGGGGCACTTACGCAAGGCATGAGTTTGATACGCCGGATGTGTATTGGCCTCCAGTCGGCTCGTTCAGAAATAGCAGTTATCGAGGCACTTGAGCGCGCAGCACGGCGTCTAGACAGCCGAGCCGAAAATGAAGACACAGACCCTGGTGAATCGGGCGTCGGATACAACCAGTTTAGACGCTGGGCTATGCTATGGCAATCCGAGACTCCTCCATCCAATGTGGGGGACGAATCTGAACCTATTGGGCTCGAAAATTCGCAGTTGCCAGCCGGATCTTTTGACGGGTTCTTTTCTTCTTTTCCTCAAGAGCTTGGAGCTTTTGCATCTTTCCCAGAAACAGGGATGCAGTTCGGTGAAAGCTTGCCGACCATGCTTTGGCCTGATGACTTATCACTACCGGCGTTCCCTCCAAACCCAGATGCTCCCGTATGACGGCGACCTATGAGGATAGTACTAGGCGCTCGAGAGGGCCCAACTCTTTGCTCTGTGTGAATTTTTCACGGCAATCTCAGGTTATGTAAGTCACAAGGCCAGAGCTGTTAAGTTGGTGCCTTGTGACAAAGGCATGATTGATTGAACTTACGGTCAGATAAGTGAGATCTGGTGACACAGAGTTACTACTGAGATGAGCCCTTCATTTTTGTCCGGAACGAACAACCCTGGGAATTTTACGCCGGCTTCCACTGGGAAAAATAAAGGATCAGTTGAGGAGAATTCTTGTATACAATACCATGAACGGGATCGTTGCAATCGACTAGCGTCGGATGGTTCGACCACTTCCGCAAAGTCTATCCTCAATCTTGTAGACGATTGAGTGTGTACGGCTAACAGTTGAGACACATTTCACTAGGTGTTCAGCTACAAAATACGAGGCAATCTAAGGGCATCGAGAGCTTCTTTCCCACGTGATTTAGAGGAAACCGATTAACCACAATATCAGAACAACGAGCATTGGCACAGTCTCAATGTAGCCGTCCATCCAGACAAAATCGGTTTCTTCTATCCCTGATCAGGGGTTGAAACTGGACACCGCGGGAAGTTAAAGATAAAACAGGATCTCATAGTTGAATAATTTATACTACCATGGACAAGGATGTAGGGGTTATCCTCGGCACTTCGCACAGGGATTGAATAGAGGTCGAGAAGCAAGCCGGGTGCTCGTACCCGAGTGGCTATGGACTGGCCACAATTTTTTGGCATCAACCCCAGGTCTCGGTCCGAGTTACTGTTCTCTATCTCTATCTACAATAGCCCGTACTATGCCATGGCATTGGCTCTCTTTGTGCTACCTCGAGCGGGGTAAGCATATGAATCTCTGTTGATATGGATGTTATAAAAGCGGTTGATTTGACCATCATCGTCCTGCGATAGGCTATTCGAAATATTGAAGCTCTTGGAAACTAAACTCCCCATATACCTGCTGACATCGTAATCCTGCCGGTTAACATGTCGGTTCTGCCAAATCTAAAAAGCCTTGGCTTCTGGGGCATAAATTGTTGACAACTGTATCTCTCATGGCAAAATTCAAGAACAAAAGGTGTTGGATAATGTAACCACTACACAATCTGCAATATCTTCACCATTATAGTAGCATATTTTACAGACCTGGGGGAAATAAAAAAAAAAGTACAAAAAAGAATTGAGGCACACCCGATTTGAACGGATAACCTTTCGATCTGGAGTCGCTGTGAATTTGTTAGAATTAAGTTCAAGACATTGCTTGGTTAAGTGTGTACTTACAACGCGCTACCGTTGCGCCAGCGCCCCAACAGGTTGAAATTTTCCAAGATTTTAACCTATATCAATCTAGGAAGAAGGAGGGCCATGTTTTCGGGTTTTTGTATAGACATACGGTCACATACCCACTACATACCTACGTATGCTCAACAGCTTCACATATTTACATGAAATCGCACCAATCATAGGTCTCTGGCCAGCTTCGCGTTCGAAATCCTTGTTAATACTTCTGGTATAGTATATTCGAAAGTATCTTCAATCCAACTTAGGCGAACTAGCTTTCCCGTGGCCTTTCCGACAGCGCCTGTTGGAATTGTACTGATACCATGGGCCGTACTATGTAGACACTATATATAGCAAAGGATGGACTACATTTACTACGTTCGTGACACTGGCCTTGACAAGGAATTAACATTTCAATTATGATCTTATCATCAAGAAGTTTGCCCTGGTGGAAATCAATGTCAAGTTAGCAGTCTACAACTCCCTCTCGACAGCATCAGCCATATCTCCAAGCGTATCAAACTTCCAATCATAAATCTTATCCTCTAAATTCCCCATCAGAGCCCCCGGCCTCTCAATCCAGGAAGACTTGAGCCCCATCTTCTTCGCAGGATGATGATCATGGAATTGGCTCTGCGCCGTCTGAAGCACCTGTTCCGCTTCGACCCCAAACTGCCCCTTCACAGCCTTCAGCATATACTCAAAGTTAGCCAGGTTAGGCTTATATGACCCCACATCTTGCGCCGTGATGATCAAATCAAATGGAAACCCCTGCAAGCTGCCCGCATTGGTCTTCTGGAACGACTCCCGGTCCACATTCGAAAGCACGACCAGCTTGTAGTGTTTCGACAGACGCTTCAACGCCTCCACGGTATCCGGGAACGCAGGCCACTGGCCGACTGATTCGCCGAAATGTTTGCTTTCTTCTGAGGTGGGTGGGTTCAAGCCCAGGCGCGAGGCGATCTGCGGGTGGATTGTGGAGAGGAGTTGTGAGTAGGGCATATCTGGGGTCTTGGTTTGTTGGGCTTTTTCGAGCTCAGAGTAGAGCTCAAGGTAGTCTGCCCGTGTTATTTGCGCCTTGTTTGCCGTTAGCGTTGGCTGGATTGCGTTCCACACGCCGGTTTCCCAGTCAATTAGGGTACCGTAGACGTCGAAGGAGAGAAGGCGGTAGTTGGTCAGTTTGGACATGGTGGTTTGTCTGGAGGTTTTTGATCTTGGGAGGACAATGGATTGATATTCGTCTTTAGATGACTTTGTGTTGTTCTTCTCGTTTGGGGGAGGGGGCGGTTTATATGTACGATAAGCGACGGTCTGGATGTTCATATTCTAGTCTTTAGCTCGGGTACAGTTACCCGACCGGAATTCACTGCGGGGAATACTTTGCGACCCCCGGCTTGGTTTCATCGGTTGCTTGTGTGCCAAGCTGCTAGTCGTTGTCTCTTTACTTGAAATGACTTATGTCATGAGCCACTGGAGCAATGTCCCGGTCTGGATGGGGAGAAGGACTCGGGAAGCTGTCCGGGTCGATGTTTGAGAATAAAGCCAGCTACACACACACACGCTTTCTAGATTTCAATCTGGGCAAACAAAACATTCACTCCGCACATATTTGTGTATCGCTAAGTCTCAAGATTACGGTCATTCTTGAGCCATCTGTATCTTCTATGCCCCGGATTTGGCTACCCTTAGCTTCAAAAGCTCTTTTTACGGCCGTGGATTCGCTAGTCTGTCTGCTACTCGCTTCAAACCAGTACGCAAGATTGATATTACATCCCTCAAGTGGCCCCAAACTTCTTTTCCTCAGCTAAAATACCCTCTAGAAGATCACGAGCAGGAGAACTGTCGTGAAGAGGAGTGTTGTCTGCAAAAGCATTGGAATCTTTCCGCTCCGGCTGATATCGTGACTTTCTCAAAGAAGGCACAGACTGCGGACTACTTCTTCAATGACGGCTCTCTTCCTCCTGATAAAGCTTACCAGCATTTTAATACATAAGATTGACCTCAATTCCATAGTGTTTAAACGAGGCAACTGACTGATGGGTTTTCTACATGGATGGGTGACGCTGCACACATTATCGTGTGTAATGCAGTTTATTGATGAGCTATCCCGCGAAAATATTGTAGAAAAGACAGTACGTTTTATCACACTTAGTATTATACAGAGTTCTGACCTTTCCAGGCTCGCGTAGGCGACATTCTCCATATTAGACTTGGTACTCTGACCACGAAATGTCCACAGTTCATAGAGAACCTTCGCGGCAAGCGCAAGGGAACATATCTTGCTTTTGACAGGCCCGATTCCAGCACCTTGTTAAAAGGACTGCGTCGGATACTTATCTTCAGGGAGGAGCATATTTTCCCGTTGATGGAGGCGTTTGAGAAAGCTTTCTTGAAGTTGAGACGGTCATGAGTTCATAAGAACATACACATATAGTATTTTATGAGGTTTTCAGGTTAAGTACGCTGTGCTTCAGGCTCTTTGGTCTAGCCTTACTAAATCTAGGCTGCAAATCTATCCGATCTGTATGAAAGCATGCTGATCCCTATGATATCAGATTGGTCTCATTTCTCAGTGCCGTTTGCTGGCAGTCTTGGGGGTTGGTAACCGTTAAGCCACGACAGGTTAGCGTAAGTATTTATCCATCAACTAGGGTCCTCCAGGTATTGTATTGTCTGATCCCGGTCGAACTCTCTCACGCGTTCTCAAATACGTAGGAAAACCAATAGAGCGGTGAACAACATCCATATACATTCGTTGTTGTCCTTTTGTACCAGTCCTTGGAGTCAATTGGAAACAAATGGCTATAAATTATAGAACTGCTCGGGTACCCGTGGATCAACATTGAATTTGATTTTGCTCTGTTATTGTTTGCTCCTGTCGCTTATACGTCCTATTCTGAACCGGATTGAGTCGTTGAGTTGTCAAGAGTATGGCCTTTGAAAAAACCAGGGGGAAAAAAAAAAAAACAAAAAAAAAAAAAAAAAAAAAAAAAAAAAAAAAAAAAAAACAGCAACAGCGGATTCGAGGCAAAGTTGGGACTAGTGTACTTTGGGCCCAAGGCTGGATGAATCGAATGAATCCATAGGCCCAGGCGAATTCGCTCAAAAAGAAGGTGTCAAAATGCCGTTAGCACCAAACGCACTGCTTACTTACGACTTTACAATCGCCTGACGGACACCTGACGGACGGATCACGATTTCCCCTAACTGCTTTTTGTTTTTCTTCTCCCAATAAATCTTCCCGCCGCTTCTTCGTTGCCCAACATCACCTTTCCCCCCGTCTTTCTTATCTCAATCCCATCTTCTCCTTGACAATCCCTTTTTCTTACCCCCTAATACCTTCTTGTATCGCAATACTTCATCCTTCTCCACAATGCGTGAGATCGTAAGTTTGTTTGGAGCAGTCACGGAGCTCTTCTTTTCCCCACTCTTCCCCCGCCGCTCCATCTCCAACGTGAACAACATAACAATGCTAACTCCCTCAAGGTGCACCTCCAAACTGGCCAGTGTGTAAGTAAAATCATGAGCGATATACTCTACAAGATAACTGAGTCGTCGCGCTCTCTTTTTTAGGGTAACCAAGTTGGTACCGCCTTCTGGTAAGTTCACTGTTGATCTATCCTTTTCACATGCTCAACAGGCAGGGTGTCCTTAATGGAATGCATATTGACATTACTCTAGGCAAATAATCTCCGGCGAACATGGTCTCGACGCGTCTGGAGTGTGAGTAACATGTTCTATGACGTGACGGACTGCTCCTAATCGAGTCTCAGGTACCAGGGCTCTAACGACCAAGAACTGGAGCGGATGAATGTCTATTTCAATGAGGTTGCTAATCACCCCTAAATCGTGTGTACTACGGCCGCTCATCAATCCACTAGGTCGGCAACGCGAAATATGTTCCCCGCGCGGTCCTCGTGGACTTGGAGCCCGGCACGATGGACGCCGTCCGTGCTGGTCCGTTTGGACAGCTTTTCCGACCGGACAACTTTGTATTCGGCCAATCAAGCGCGGGAAATAACTGGGCAAAGGGTCACTATACCGAGGGTGCTGAGTTGGTTGATTCTGTTGTAGATGTGGTTCGTCGTGAGGCCGAAAGCTGTGACTGTCTGCAAGGATTCCAGATCACACACTCCCTTGGAGGTGGTACTGGTTCCGGTATGGGAACTCTTTTGATCTCGAAGATCCGTGAGGAATTCCCGGATCGCATGATGGCCACATTCTCGGTGGCGCCTTCGCCGAAGGTCTCGGATACGGTGGTGGAGCCATACAACGCCACATTGTCTGTTCATCAGCTGGTGGAGCATTCCGACGAGACGTTCTGTATCGATAACGAGGTGCGAGGTCATTACTGTCATAAGTGACAATGTGTTCTAATCAAGTTAGGCCCTCTACGACATCTGCATGCGCACCCTGAAACTCTCTTCTCCTTCCTATGGTGACCTTAACCACCTGGTCTCGGCAGTCATGTCTGGTGTTACTGTCAGTCTTCGTTTCCCTGGTCAGCTCAACTCAGACCTGCGAAAACTGGCTGTGAACATGGTGCCCTTCCCCCGGCTGCATTTCTTCATGGTGGGCTTTGCACCACTGACCAGCCGAGGAGCCCATTCATTCCGCGCCGTCTCAGTGCCTGAATTGACCCAACAGATGTTTGATCCCCGAAACATGATGGCAGCTGCTAATTTCCATAACGGCCGCTTCTTGACTTGCTCCGCGATCTTGTACGTTTCCTCCGCAGTTGATGATTTGCAAAGACTAACTATGATTCAGCCGTGGAAAAGTCTCGACGAAGGAGGTCGAAGATCAAATGCGTGGCGTCCAGACTAAGAACAACCATTATTTCGTTGAATGGATCCCGAACAACATCCAAACCACGGTCTGCTCCGTGCCTCCCAAGGGCCTCAAGATGGCTTCAACCTTCATTGGTAATTCAACATCCATCCAGGAATTGTTCAAACGTATCGGCGACCAGTTCTCTAGCATGTTCCGTCGCAAGGCATTCTTGCACTGGTACACCAGCGAGGGTATGGACGAGATGGAGTTTACGGAAGCGGAAAGCAACATGAATGACTTGGTGTCGGAATACCAGCAATATCAAGAAGCCTCAATCGATGATGAGGAGTATCCGGAGGAGTATCCTGAGGAGGAGGCCGAGGAACAGTAGTTATCTCGCCACTAGGTGTGACACGAGTGGGAAATTCAGGACTCTCCTTACATCTTATTACATACTTTGATAATGATAGTGCAAAAGTTGCTGCCATCGTGAACATTTTACCTTCTATCCGGTCTTGACGTGCTCTGGGACTTCCAATAGCTCTTTATGATGAAATTCTGTGTGCATAGAAGTTTCACGGTATATAATTTGCAAATACTTGGTAAGTCAGGGCATGCTTAACTATAGGTGATCTGGAGGAGCACTCAAACATCCATCGCTTATATGTAACCATACAGATACCTACCCTCACATGGGTTCAAAGGCTGGTTCAGCTTGCTGTCAACCAGATACCACTCCGGCAGACGTTGACGAGCTAGGAGGGGGACGTCTTTCTGCTGGACCAGAGAGAAGTTGCCTTTTTACAATGTTGATGGTCTCTTCCAGAGCCGTATTTCGCTCCTGCAGTCGGCGGCATTCTTTGCAACTCTGAGATTGACTTGACTTGAGTTGTTGATCTAATTTGGCTATTTCGCCCCTAGCTTTTGATAGCGTTGCTTCCAGGGATTCCTGGCTCTTTTTATATGTGTCGATCTCGCCATTAGCTTTCGATAGCTCTGCCTCCAGAGATTCCTGGCCCTTTTTGTATGTGTCGAGCTCTCGTGTTTGCTCCGCAATAAGTTGCTGAGCGGACTGGTAAGAATGAGCATCAGAAATCAAGTCGAGAAGAGCCCACTTAATGAGCTCGCTCCCTTGTCTCTCAGCGAATTTTGGCAGCAATTCATATGATTTTTTGTGATCTGCAATAGATTTCACAAGGCTGGACCATAGGTCGTGTGCCGTGCCCGAACCCAGACTTTCTATTTGCGTACTGGCCGGTGGCGGCTGCGAAGCTTTAGAAGGCGGGTTGCTAGGATTGGCTTTGGGTAGGCTGATACTTTGCATCGCTGCAGTGGTCGATACAGGCTTGCTATTGTGAATAGCGCCCAGAACCCTCTCAGTGCCCTTGGCTTGTCTAGTCCGGCTAGGGGACTCCGGAGCTGTCTTATCAGACACACTTGTCTGAGAGCTTGTGGCAATCCTGCGATTTTGAGATATCAGCGGTATCCTCGCTGCTTGAGCATTATTCTTTGCCAAGGAATTCGCCGAACTTCTTGTTCGACCATTCACAGGGCTCGTCTGCATGCTTATTAGTATATTTATTCGGCCCTGGCTAGACGGGGGGTGACATACCGGGCCACCATCTATATCAATATCTCCGCCAAATGAAAATTCTGAACCCTCGCCGTCTTCGTCAGGCGCATAGGTCGAATCTTTCTCGGCCGTTTTAGACTGTTTATTGGCCCGTTCATTGACGGAGCGCTCGTCCGTGTTTGGTCGTTTGTTTGGCTTATTGGTCTTGAATGGGAGTGTCGTTCCATTGCTAGCAGTATTGGTCTGGTATAAGACAATAGGATCGGTAAGCAAATGATGTTATTGTTTTTGGCCGAGGGACGGAATGCACACCATTGCGTTGCCCCTAGTTTGTTGGTTCAATTTCATATCCTTGTCCAGGTCAGCAAACCTCTTCAACCAAACAACCCAGCAAAAACATTAGCCAGAGAGAAACCAGCAGAGATCAACGAGGTATATCTCAATGAAGCAATACAAAGAAAGGGGGAAGGAAAACCCACCGAATAAGCCTTTGTCAAAGCCATATAGGATCGTCGCGGAAAGTATGTCTAGCAAGAACGTAATCTATATCAGCAACCCTAACATACTCAAAGCAAGGGTACCTGAACAACAAGGAAGTTGACAAAACTCACCTTCTGAAACTGAGTCCAACGAAGATGCTTATTCAGATCACGCAGTCGCAATAGACGAAGTCGTTCTTCTGTGGTCCAGCGACCACCGCTGCTCAATCGGCACCTCTTTCTTTTGGTCTGCATTTAGAAAGAAAAGAAGAATCAACCAGAACTCAAGGATGAGACAGTGAGATGGAACGCTGGGTTTTATACTGCGATGCTGTGACCTGTGCTCTGAGAGGAAATGATCCTTTCGGTTTGGTTATCATAACGTTATCATAATGTTGTGTTAATGCTTCTCCCGGGTATTCTTCCCATAAACTCACTTGGTAATTTGTATAATTGCTTTTTTTTCTTTATCTTTTCTTTGTCAAAAGTACAAGGCTGCAAAGCAAAACAAACCCAGAGAACAGACCCATGCTATGAAATGAAAAGAAAAAAAAAAAAGACAATGGTTGCCTGGAGCCTTGTGCTCACTCCCTCACAATCCACACACCATTGTAGCCTTTCACGAGTCATGACTTCCAAGTTTTGTCCCAAAGTACCAAAATAAGATTCAACCAGGAGCGAGAGGTGCCAAGGGTCACAGCGAATAGAAGCATGTTGTCCTTGGATGTCAGGAGAGAACTGATACGTGGCTGATGGGACTAGGACTTAGCTTCCTCAGGGGACGGAGGATAGGAATAGCGGTTTGGCCTGTTTTGGGAGTTGTGCATGTGAGAGTTTTAAGGGGGATTTTGTACGGAGTGGGATTGACTTTTGTATTCTTTTCTTTTTTTTGTGTCTTTGGTCTCGTGAGATTCGTTCTTGAGTTGGGTTGATTTGAATTTATGTGACCTGGATGATGATAGATAGTTAGTTAGGGCTTGGGTATGGTATGTTCTAAGTAGTATACACGGAGTATACATATTCATGTCTTACTTCGCTATTAGGTATGCCAGCACTCATAATGAGATTGTCTATCCTGAATCCTATTTTTTTTTTTTTCTTTGTTGACTGACAGCCTCGTAGGATGGCTATGGATACTAGATCGAAATAACCCCAGCCTCGTGTTGTTCTCAACGTTTAATCCTTGTCAGTAGGCTGACGCTAATGTACTGCGGCACAGTCACCCCTTATTCCATTCCCTGGCATAAGAATCCTGAGAGACGTGTGTATTAGTTTCTCAGGCGAGTGCTTTTTTTGTTATTTTTGTAAATGGATGGGTAGGGTTGCATTGACTTTTTTGTTGTGAGTTGTGAGTTGTGCCTTTTGTTGGGATGTAATAGATTTCGAAGATAGAGGGCGGGAGACTCTCGGTTAGAGATCAGTAGCTGTTTTTCTTCTTCTGTACTGTTTGTTTGTTGATAAGGATTTTGTGGGCAAGTGGTGGAGGTATTCATTGCAAAATAGCAGGGGTCGATTTCGTGATCTTTGTGTCCCTGGGAAGACAGTCCTAGTGCGGTGATGAGCCTAATAGCAAATCCTTTTAAGTTGAATAGGTTGTTTTAGCACCTTTTTCTTGTGGAATTGCATCTTGTAGAGTTGACAAGTCACATAGCTTGTGCTAATCATTGTAGTCACGCAGCATTAGAGTCCATTCCTTGTGAGAAACGAGGCCCATGCTTTGAGACTGAGCTCAAGCCCTGGAAAATCCCTCAAAATGACTGATGGTATTAAGATCAACAGGTATAAAAGAGTGAGATACAAAACATGTTGCATTCATTTCATGTTGAGAGGCCTGAGCATACATAAAGCGCACGTGATTTGTAAAATACATCCAGATGTATCAAGGGAGGAACGACAACCATACAATGCACAACGTTCAAGACTGGCTTGTTTACTTGAAGAGTCTGCCCAGCAGACCCCCCGCGATGTTGTTCACAATTCCTCCAGACAGTGCCCGGTTGGCGAAGGTGGACGCTTGGCTGAAGCGATCGCACCGGGAGAAAGCAAGGGTATTGGTGATTGTCAAGACGAGGGCAATAGCTATGTCGATTAGTATCAGAAACCACAGAGTCACAGAAGACAAGACACTACTCACCAACCAAGCTCAACCAAATAACACTGCTCAGTCTAATGATGGCCAAAATCGCCAGTCCAACCCAAAGCGCAGGCGTTACATACAAGCTAAGCCAAAAGAACCTCTTATCTGTAGCTGCGACCGTACGAGTTGTCGGGTCCGAGGATTCGAACACCCAATGCGAGTCACCACTCGCGGTGTTCACTTCGTTCCACCAGCGGAGACCCACTAAGCGACGTCCGGCAATGTTCTTGAGGTAATAGAAGTCTGCTGCGAGGAGAAGCAAGGTGATGATGAAGACCAAGATACTGTAGATTCAGATTAGATTGGATTGGCCATGTACTCAGGGGCAGAAATCTCCGAGATAGTCCACGAGGGGTCGACATTATATTGGAGGAGGGAGCTATGCAAGAACAAAATAAAGGCACATACAAATTCTTAATAAACAGCACCCCGAATAGGTACATCAGCAGGGCACTGAAGCGGAAGCCCAGGAAACAAAGCAACGTAATCGGATGCGCACTCAGGCGCCAGTTAAGATCACCCTGCTGGGGTTCAGGATTGAGGGGTTGTTGCTCCATGTCGACGGAGGGGAAATCTTAGTATCTAGGAACGGGACGAGTAAGAACGCCAGCGACAAAGACAGGAGCAATTACGCTCACTTCGCTCTTCTTAAGAAGAATAGTTGACAGGGCGGAATGAATGCGATGATGTTGCGTGTCTCCATGGCCGGGCGGTGAGCGAGGACAGAATGCGGGCGGTGGAGCTTTTGATACGCGGTTATTTATGTAACATACGGATTGCTAGTTTGATGGACTGATAAGATGATCTCTCATGTACATACAGACCGACAGAACATCAGTACAAACGAATCATAATGTGGACGCAACTCACACGTGGTGTGAAATGTCAGAAGCTCGTTTCAATTGACCGGGACACATCATATTCCCCCTTAAAATAAGCTTATAGATGTCTCCACTGATCTCACAATGTTGAAATCTAGATTCCGGAGAAGCCTTTATGCCCTCGTTGCCGAGGGAGGAAAAGACTGACTTCTCAACTGCCGCCAGTCTTTGCTCTCCTCACCCCTCTGAAATAGTACTGCCGAACTAAAGGGAAGCGAGATACACACAGAGACTCTTTGAATCGCTCAGTATCTAGCGACAATGGCGTCCAGAAATACGCTCCGTCGCGCATTGCTCTACAGTACGTCCTTCCCAGGCAGCTCTTCCCCGCATTTCACCTCGTCCCTACAAACCAGAATGATTGCAGGCGCACCACATCGCTCACACCCAGACGACCCTCGCTGACCCTAAATAACCCAGTCCCGGGCTCATCGCAGCGCTTCATCGACAAATCACGCACATTAACAGCCGACTGCGTAGCCTATGACCTAGAAGACAGCGTGACTCCGCACAAGAAAGCGGAAGCTCGTTCCCTGGTGCGGAGAGCTCTCGACCAGCCCGCACCCTCAGGCATCCGCGAACGAGCAGTCCGCATCAACTCCGTAGACAGCGGTCTAGCCCTCGCAGATCTAACAGAAGTGGTAAGCCCATGTCTTCTAGATTCGGCTTGTTTTCTTTCCAATTCCACCAGCTCACAGAATAAACAGCTCCAGTCCCCCAATCTAAGCACTATCGTCATCCCGAAAGTCAACTCAGCTTCCGACCTAACATTCGTTAACGACGTCATCACCCACACGCTTTCCCAACAGCCCCAATCCCAAGATGCTTCCTCACGACCTCCGATTTCTCTCCTGGCTCTCGTTGAGTCGGCCAAATCCCTAACCAATCTGACCCAGATCTGCGCCTCCACGCCACTTCTGCAGGGTCTCATTTTCGCCGCGGAGGATTTCGCCCTCGACCTCAGTCTGACACGGACCCCCGATCTGACTGAATTTCTCTTCGCCCGGTCTATGATTGCTACTGCTGCGAGGGCGGCGAATCTGCCTTCGACTATTGATCTTGTCTGTACGACCTATAAATCGACTAAGGGTGATGGGTCTCCGCCGGCTGTTCTGGAAGAGGAATGTCGCGGTGGCAGGCAGTTGGGATTTAATGGGAAGCAGTGTATCCATCCTTCTCAGGTGCCGACTGTACAACAGATCTTTGGCCCAGACTCGGATGAGGTTCAGTGGGCCGTGCGGGTGACTATTGCAGATGACAAGGCGGCGGCGGCGGGCCGGGGTGCTTGGACGTTGGATGGCAAGATGATTGATGTCCCGGTTGCTGAAAAGGCGAGGGCAATCGTGAAGAAGGCCGAGGCCTGCGGTTTCAATGTTGAAGAATTACGCGAGAAGTGGCGCGACCAGGAGCCCGAGTAAATATTACTCTCTGTTCCCATGTTAAACAATAGTCTTTAGCTTCAAAATCTCATCAACACTCAGGAGAAAATTACCAATGGATACGTATATTGAAATAATGTTGTATTACTAGCCAGCCTCCGTGTTGAAGAAGGAGAAGGGGACGGACAAGGAGGAGGCCAGAAGAAAGCTGATGCTATGCACAGGAACAGATGATAAGAGATTTATCTATTTCATTCCCTAAATTCCTGCATCCTTTCATATACTTGCTGGAATTGATGTCCACCGGGGACTTGCGTTCAGACTGCGGGAAATCCACCACCGGTTGCAATTCCGCGTCTTAGACAATTGGGGGTGGAAGGTAGGCACACTATGGATACCGTAACATATCACGGAGGCGACTTGTAGTACTCCGTACAACACAAGTACTATTCCTTCCACTGAATTCATAAATTGGAAGGCTTTTCTCAAGTGTGCTTTAGTGTTTCACTTCCAAATCCTCCCGCTTCAACAGCTGAATCTTGCCCATCGTTAGCACGGGTGTGTTCCCACCTGCACCGGCTTTTGCATCAGCACTGTCTTCTAGACTCTTCGCTAGAGATCTGTCGTAACTCGTGGGATCGATGCCCAAGATCCCACCCACATACCCTCCCCTTTCTCCAGGTACGCTAAATTCACGGAATAGGTATTTCCACTCGTTCAGCCAAGCCTTGACTGCCTTTCCTATCTTGTCTTTCCCATTCTTAGAATGGTGGCCTGTGCCTGTAATGGCATAGACAACACGCCGGCCTTCATTAGCATGTTTGAGGAGGATCTTCTCCAAATATTCAATTGCTTCCTCGGGGTGTAGGCCATGCAAATCTACATAGAGCTCTTCCAAGGAATCGTCCAGACCGGCATTGACTATGTGTTTATTTCGTTCTTCGTATAATTGCCGTGCAGCTTCTCGATGGCACTTACGCATAGCTTCGTTCTCCGCCTGACCCCGCAGAGATAGAGCTTTTGCCGCCCTAGCATCATTACGATTCCAGGCTTGGGCCGCACTTATGAAGACAGTCAGCTTACTCGAATCAGGGTGCATCTCGAGACCCTTACCTTTGGAGAAACTTGTTCCTTACTGTGCCATGGCGGATGGCTTCCGTACGGTATTTGATATATTGCTGGTTGGCTCGCGAGCCTGTCTCAAGCCAAGGGATGTTCTGCGGCGGTGGTATAGACTGAGCAGCGGCGCTGTTCTCGCGGCCTTTGGCTCCTTCTTTGTTTCTGGATGTGGTCTTGCCCTTCCCAACTGCGGGAGATGGAGACATGCGTACGACATCTGCTAGTGAAGTAGGCACACTATCTTTATTGGAATTGGCTTCACGATTATGCGCGCCACGTTTACCATGATGTTTCTTATTTTTGGCGCTGACAGCAGCAAGTGTAGGAAATGCATCTGGGTCATCCACGGACGGGGCGGCCGGGTTTAATTCACGATTTTGATGCCTGCTACCGGGTCGGGAATGAGGGCGAGACCCTTGTGTTGAACTTCCATTTCGTTTGCCTGTGACAAGTTGCATTGATTGCGACACGCCTTTGGGCCCCATTAGACCCGATAAATGAGATGGGTATTTGCCAATGTATTGGCCCGCCCATTGATCACCCACTCCTAGCGTGGATTGTAAAGGAGGGAATGCTTCGGAGGCGCTATCTACGTGGAATTGAGGACCAGTCGAGCCTTGGTGGCTGCCGTCCGTCACGCTGAGATTGGCGACGAGCGCTGAAGGATCATGTGAAAAAGGGCAACCATCGCCAGCCAAACAATTGCCCATAACCCAGTATCTATAAAGGGAGGGTAACATCGTCAGTGCCACTGTCTGTTAGAACATGTCTACAAAGCCCTCGTCAGACTCACTTGCAAAGATGATTGGTTAGGTCATGGCTAAACCGGCAATCTGCGCGGAGACATTGGCCAGTAGACAACCAATACTTGCAGACCACTGGGCTACGGATTTGGCCTGGGGAACTTCCAGGTTTGGCTTGCTCCATTGCCATCGATTTTCCAACAACCACACGAGTGTCATCCGAGTGATGGACAAACCCATCCCCATCATGACCTTGAGACAAAGACGCAATTGTCGCACCTAAGTCGTAACTGTTTGCCTCGAGGGCAGCTTCTATCTCATCGTTTGTCCTTTTATCTCCGAGCACTGTGCGCAAAATATCATGGGGACTCATATCCGGGACAAATTCAGCGGCCGTAGCGCTGAGACCTCCAATGGCACTCAGTGTCCCGACAGAAGAGGTGGTACTGTTGGCATCGTCGGCTACCAGCCAGTCCACATTGCTGTCGCTACCAAAATCACCATAGAAGTCGGACACTTGGGTCTGGTCGGAGAATTCGTATGCGTTTAAATTCGGGGAGTGAGGGATCGGCTGGGCAAGAGCGAGTCTGGGCGACGGGCGCGGGGAAGTAAATGGTGATACGGTAGAGGACAGTGCCGGTCGCGAAAAGCCGCCTCGTGAATTAGGAAGCCAAGAGGTACTCCCCGGGCTCGTTCCTAGATTGGAATGGGGTGACAACGGCGTCGACGAACGGCCCATCTGCCAGGGGGCAGGAGATGAGCGGCGAATGACAGTATGTCGGGGCGGAGGAGGAGAGGAACCCGGAAGGGAGCGATTTCGATGCCTCCATAGGACGTCCAGCACGGCATTTTCTAAGGACGATCCCGACAAGGAGGTCTTCTCTCGCAGGAAATCCTCAGCTTTCTCGGCCTGTTCTTCCTCGTCGAAGTCTTGGCCTTGGAGGGATTGGAGGCAGTCCTCAAGAAGCTCTTCTGAAATCATGCTGAGTGGAGGCGATGTCATGCAACTGAGGGGTGTTGATAAGAGGGCAGAGATACGCGGTGTAAAAGGGGCGGAGGGAAATGAGGGGTAAGACAGTAGGTTGAATAGAGGACAAGAATGAGATTGTGCAACACCACCACAAACTGAGAAGGGAGTTTAATATTCAGCGTTCATTGTTCCCTGTCTAAAGAGGTGATCCAGTGTATGGTCATGGATGAAACGAGATGTTAGATGAGAGATGTTAGCAGGATGCGACAGGAAACGTGTGGTAGACCATAGGTAATCGCATCACATCTGAGCAGGGAACGATCAATCAGGGAAGAACAAGGGGACATCCAAGAAATAAAGGAGAGAGAGAAAAAGAAGAAGAAGAAGTAACTTAATGGGAAAAACGAGGAAACATGCGAAGAAAAAGCAAGGAAAAAAGAAAAGAAGGGAGAGGGAGCAAGGAATTGTCGGGTGTAGACTAAGTCGTAAGTTGGGGGAAAAAGGTACGGGTACGGCTGTCAAGGTGGGAATTAAATTGGGGGGGGGGGGAGAAAACAGATGTCTGATCGAGAGCTTGACCTTTGTAGATTATTTGTTCTCCAACCTGAGGCTGTGGCTCCAATCCAACCACCAATTCGACCTCCCCTCTCGATCTTCTCACCCGATTGAGTGAAGCACTAAACCAGAATGGAAACAGGTGTCAATATCCAGGATGGATCCATTCGATTGATATTGACGAGGCGTTACAGACTATAGGAGAAGTTTGAAATGAGCTGTGTCTGTTCTATACAGGTCTTTTGTTTGTTTTTCTGCTTTAGTCTGTTTATTTTCTGGACCCGATTGATTATTCCATAGAGTTTGATATATCAAGGTACATATATAGCCTTTTACCTTTTTTTGACTCCCCTTTCCCGTCCCACAGAAAATCGCTGGGTATGAATGTGGGGGGAAAACTTCTTGAGCTGCTGCTGCCTTTCCATGAAATCTAGACTTGATGGCAACAGGGTCTTGGCACGGGCGATAACCCAGCAGGATCACTGGTCGATCTGCCGATACATACATATACCCACCCATCATGGATCACGAACCTTGGATGCAGGCTGCATACAGGCAAGTACCCTGAAAGCAGGAACTACTTTTGCCTTCTCTCTACCATATTGAAGAGGAACAAAGTGTTCTTGATATAAATTAGTATAGTATATCTCCTAAAAAATAGTCTGGTAGGTGGAAAGAACCAAGCTTCTGTAGGCAGGTCATAGTACGCATGTCTGACACTGAGTACAATAATACCGTACTGAGGGTACTCATGCGGTAATGGTGTGACTTCATACCGTACAGTCAGCAGCTCCATTAATTAGTTAGTTTAACCACCAGCCTAATAGCACAGCCTCCATCTCACTCTCAGGCAGACAAACTGTCATTGTCTTTATAGGGGCTCTATGCCACGTCTCAGCCGTTATCATAGGCTTTTATCTATCTGCGATCGTGACTGAAGGTTCATCATGGCTGCTTAGCTTTTTACCTGGTAAATCTTTCTTCCATTTCCCCAACAATTCAGGAACGCCTTCCAGCTATTTGGACTTTGTTGCAAAACACCGATCCCTTTCCAACTTCCCATGTATCCGCTCACGCTGGGGGCATAGATACGCCCTCGCTAATTGATCAACGGCTAGTAACGTGGCGATCTATCGGGGACTACCTTCCAATTCTAAAAAAGCAACAATAAGATAATCGTTGGTGTTACGCTTACACTTCCACTTAACCGTCGAACTCTATCGGCTTGCGAATACTTGTTCTCGGGCTGTCTCTCCGGCTTCGGAATCGCAATACACTCTCTTATATTCCTGAAAGATGCCTGCCGACTATACATCTACCGCCCGGGCTTTGTCCCTCCCCACCTCGCCTTCAGAGTCACTTTCACCCGCGGACAATGATTCGTATCCGCCATGGAGTCATTTGGCATCCGGCAGGAGCAATCCCGCCAACCCCTCCGAGCCTCGTACCCTCTGGAAGCAGGTCGCTCATCGCTTGAATGAAACATCGCAACGAATGATGGCAATTTGGCGGAGATTGAGTTTTTGGCAGAAAGTAGGTGCTGCTGCTGCTGCTTTGCTTGCCAATCTCCTCGGAATTGGATTCCTGGTTTTCACGGGCAAAGTCTTCATATGGCTTGGCCCTGTAGCAGAGAAATGGGAGAACTCAGCGGGGGCATACATTGTCCTCTGGTTATGTGTATTCTTCGTCTCCTTTCCACCTTTGGTGGGGTGGTCTACCTTTGGTACCATATCTGGCTACATCTTTGGCGTATGGAAAGGGTAAGACTTGCGTCTTTATCCTGGTCTTGACCGGCCCACTGACGTCCTCGATAGATGGTTTCTCTATGCGTCTGCGACTGTGCTGGGATCTACGTGCTCCTTCATTGTTTCTCGGACTATCCTGTCTAAGTTCGTCAATCGAATGATGGAGCGTGATAAAAGATTCGCAGCTCTTGCGTTGACGTTGAAGTATGACGGGCTGAAATTGCTGTGTATGATTCGTCTCTGTCCTTTGCCGTACTCAGTATGCAACGGTGCTGTTTCAACCTTCCCGACCGTTCAGCCATTGATGTATGGACTTGCCACGGCTATCGTTACACCTAAGCTTCTTGTCCCAGCCTTTGTAGGCAGCCGAATCCGTTTACTTTCCGAGAAAGGAGAGGAGATGAGCGCAGGTTCTAAAGCCATAAATATCGGCAGCATCATCGTAACCGTTGCGATCGGCATTTTCACCGGCTGGTACATCTATAAAAGGTGGGCCGTCAACGACTAGTTTACTTTGCGAAATTCGAAAGCTGACATAGTTTTTAGGACTATGGCACGAGCTAAGGAGTTGGAGGCTCAGGAAAGAGCCGATATACGTCGATCCTTGCAGGCCGATCATGCTGACCGTCGCCCTCACCATGCCTTCTCTGAGGACCCGTATGTCAACACTGCCGCCACAACTCTTGCTCGTGACGAGGAGGAGCGTCTCGGATTCCATGATTTCGATGACGATAATGTTGATCTGGCCATTGACGATGACAGCGGTGGCGAGAACTCGCCCAGACTTCAATCCCAGGGCCACTACCGGGATGAGTTTACAGATAATGATTCAGACGACGTCTTCAAGAATGGAGACGGCGGTGAGGGGGAAACGTTTGGCCTACATACACACGTGCGGAAGAGCTGAAGCTCGGAGCCGCATTTGCTTTCTAGACACTGCTTGCGATAGAGGTAATTCCCACGGTTCATGTCCTATAGGTTTCCTACCGATGGCGTGAATCGTTTATGCGATACTGAAAGTTTTGGGGGAGTTTGGCGTTCTCGGTTGTCCAGGCCCATACCCCAATCTCCCGTCTGTAATCCTATCGATTTTGAAACGAGCTCTGTTCACATAGGCGTCGGTAGGAGAAGCGAGATCACTTATAGAGAGTAGAGAAGGGTATATACATACACATATGCACATATGCACACTGCAGATTTCTGGTAGCTTGCCTGTGTCGGACACAGCTGCTTTTGTGAGGGTGCTCAGGGTTTGTTTATTGAGCAGTCACGTATTTTGCTTTTGATTCAGCATTACTGAAATACTAGGTAGGTCAAAGTAATTCCGGTCAGGCTTAACATCAATATAGAACAGACCACAAGGCATTGCATGACTTGACAGTTCTAGTGTTTCTCCAGGCCGTTTCCATTGCTATGGTAGGTTCCCTGATCCAATTGACTAAACACTAGTCGGCATGTAGCAAGCCATCTCGAAGACTAGCAATTGATATGATGGGCGCCTCGATCTATCTATGTTTAGCGGTTACTAGAACATACGCAATGTAACCCTCATCGCGTAAGTTGCCTCATGGTAGACGCCTGACTGATTAGTCCTTGTGTTTTTTATCTTCTGATAAACACTTGTCAACCCCTTGACGCCTTCTCCTCAACAACGCATTAATTGTGTCTGCTCCGGGGTTGGCTGGGTAATTCTGGGACTGCGGTGAGTAACGCCCCTTGGGGGTTAATCACCCACTGCACAATTAATATCTTAGTCGGCAGATAAAAGATAGAACCGTTAATGACCTGATGATCATATTCTGGCAGACTATATCGCAAATCCGTCTCCAAAACGTCAGAAGACCTGCCTTAACAATTTCCCCAGACTCCTTCCTACATCTCTTTATTAAGGTGGCTATAGTACGATTTCACATTCGGCATCCTGAGTTCTGTTGATTCAGAAAGCAGCTAGCACCTCCACTAATCGACGACGGGCGGTATGAGTGACAAGTCGTGGACTGAGGAATTCTTCTTCGAATGGCCTCCGCCAGAGTGGATCAATGCAGTTTACGATGATAGGCAAGTTTTCAGACCGTTTTCTCCTCCACAGGGAAAGTGGGTTTTGGGAAGGTCAGTGGGTACCGGTCGGCGCCCTAGCCAGGATCAGATTCAAGTTCTATGGCTTCTCGTTCAGCGCGACGGGATGTATATGCGCAAATATGTGGCCAAAGTAGTAAGTATATTAGGGGCAGGATCTTTAACATAGAGTCTGATATCAGATAAAGTTCCCTGACTACACTGAAGAGAATGCATACTCGCAACTGCGACGAGTTCCTCCACGCATACCTAAGAAGCTTCAGGAGGTAAAAGATGAACTCGACCCATATACTAACGAAGCTCGAGTATACAACCGCATTAATGCGTTGTGTCCAAGCTCCCAAAGGATATATTTTCCCGAGTTTCATGGTGTCATGACCGATCTCGATATATCCAAATTCACCTGCGGTTATGTTAACCGTCGAGCTGTTATCCTCGAACTTATCAGGCCAAGGCTTGCATCACGACGAAACTCGATATCACTCATGGTGATGTACGAGATGATCATTTCAGGCTTCCGGGGGACTTCCATGATACAGTCTTGTATGACTTTTCCGTTTCGTACACATTCTCTCCGGTTACACCTTACCTGATCAATTTTCGTCGACCACGTTCTTTGAAGGATATATCTGAGAGCGAACAGGCAATGGTCAGGGAAGATATAATTGAACGGTAGGTGATGAAAGTCTATTAATTAACAAAGGCTAATGTTTAACTAGGGCCGAAAAACTAGATATCCGTGAATATCTTGTCAAGTCCACCAAGAGTACCGAGTCAGCGATCATGGATGCGCTCTTCCAACCTCTTGAAGATGAAATATTGGAGTTGATAATCCTAAGAGTGAAATTCCGTCCCGATGGTTAGTTTTACCCCTGCTTCATTTCTATAAGAAAACTATTCATTCTCTTATAGTCTTCTCTATGCCATCAGTAAATTCAGTCTTTCCTTTTCTTGAAGGTCTTTGCCCGACAGATGATTGCACATGGCATATCCGTAGAGGTCGGCTGCTGGAATCCTATACGCCAATTTGGGTAATGTCCATAACGGATAGTTCAGGCCAAACCGTCATGGACTTTACTTTTGACCGGGACTTCGCTCAAAGGCGAGAGGAGGCAAAGGTCAAATACTTACTTTGCTTAATACCTAAGAAATGGGGAGTAGAAGATGTCCGCAGTCCACTCGTGAGTATCTGCTCGTCCTTGCCGCGTAATGACCACGGCTGCATCAAGACCTGGCTGGATTTTAACAACTATATCTGAATGTAAATATCTTTTCTATACTACATTTAACGAGATAGTGACTTGAATACGTATCACATTTCCTTATCCCCAGTGGCTGGCATAGCCGCCACTAAGCTTAGTCTGTATTTCAAGCCCTCTGATTGTAGCTGAGTGATCGAGCACTGACTGCAATTTCAATATATTGTTCCGCTCACAGTTTGCTTGTGTCTGTGGAAGGCTACAGGGTACCAATATAAAGAGACTGTGGAAATCCCCCAGGATATTCAAACTTCACAATTTCAATTCTTTTACTATTTTATCAATCACAGTATAATCAACTATGCCTGATGTTCATAATAACAAGGGATCAAAAGAGTGAGTGAGTGAGGTGAGTGTAAGAAGGGTGGGAACTCAAGAAAGTGCAGCCTGCAGAATGTGGCATACCTTAGGTTCGGACTGAAAAATACGCATGGGCCCATCCACAGTACCAAATCTCCATCGATAGCCTCAGAGTTCAGGTTTCACATCACCCTGCGCTTTACCAAATCCCTGGCACTCTTGCTTTCTCTCGCCTTTATCGGCAATTGGCCCTAACTGATTGTTGGTCTGCTACATTTCAGTACCATCCTCTAGGGTTGCATCGGTTGTAGAAGGAAAGCGATGGGTTCGGATAATCAGTATCTTTCTTGCCCCCAATAACCCCTCGAACTAACATCTCAGGTAAGTCAATGGACTCCTGCTCCATGTTATGCGAGGCCTTTCTCATGTCCTATAACCGTATCTTTAGAAGTTTATAAACAATCATATAACATGTTCTGACATTCTCTCAAGGAATTTGTACATCCCCATATCAAGCTTCTCTCCTACCCGCCACCAACGGCTCCCAATGAGTGGACCCACAATGGATTGAAACGTTGAGATCTGTGCTGCCTGTATTCTCAAATGATGGAAGTGCTATGTCTATGGATAGGCTCAGTATAATATAGTTACCTTCTACTGAACTGGGCAATAGTCGATCTCATTGCTACAACACATACCGCGACAATATGGCACCCCTTGCCAGCAATATGGGAGCTGCAGCTTCGATGAAAACGCATGTCCTAAATGGCCATTCTTATGAGGTCACCACTCTAGACCAATATATCCCAACAAACATTAGCATCAACAGCAGCGGCCATGTTGCCCTGCTGCCGTCAAACCAAACATTGCCAAGGGGCAGTCTGCAGTTGAACGCTAGCATGATGAAGGCTCATGCCTCAAAGTTGGATAACGACTTGAATCAAGCCACTGTCACAAATCTATATTCTGTCTCAAACAGCAACTCAAACCCAGGTCATCGGGTAGAAAGAACAGCTTTAGGTGGGGTTGACTCTAGGTCCCAAAGTACAGACTATCTATCTCAGGATGTTCATACAACTCCGGCCCATGGTAGGTCGAGCGATTCAGTCACGACTTCTTCATTCACGCCTCAACCGAGTCAAATTAATCCAATGCCACCGATAACTGTCATCAGCAAGCCCTCTTTATCTTCTCTCGTCGCAGACACTAAAAATGCAGATAGCGGGAATGGGTTTACGTCATATCGCCCAAGATCCTCCATACCTTCGAGGCTTCCGGCTGCAGTTTACGCTCAGCAGTGTATCTCTGCAGCTTATGCATCCAGACTCAATCCGTACGCGCTGCACTTAAAGGAGCAGGAAGCGTTGCAGGACCATTTGTGTCATCTGCACGTCACAGTATATTTGAACATACGGAATGGTATACTTCGACTTTGGACTCGAAATCCGATGGTAAGCGTTTCCAAGGAGGAAGCTCTTGGGTGTGCGAAGGACTACCGTTGGATGAACCTCGCCTCTTTCGCGTATGAATGGCTGGTACGAAATGGGTACATCAACTTTGGCTGTGTCGAAATTCCTATGCCTTTTGTAGCTCCAAAGAAAGGCCGGCGCAAGGAAGGTCCCGTGGTGGTCGTGATTGGGGCTGGGATGTCAGGTCTAGGTTGCGCACGGCACTTGGAAGGTCTATTTCGTCATTATCGCGACGCGTCCACAGCCCCTCGGGTCATTTTGTTAGAAGGAAGACGCAGAATTGGAGGTCGTATATACTCACATCCTTTGCGAAGTCTTCAGACGTCTAAATTAGGCCCCGGACTAGTCCCTAAGGCCGAGATGGGTGCGCATATAGTTGTTGGTTTCGACCGTGGTAATCCGTTAGACCCAATCATTCGGAGCCAGCTGGCTCTTCCATATCACTTGTTACGCGACATTTCGACAATTTATGACATAGATGGTTCACCGGTGGATGAGATTCAGGATGCGATGGATGAAAGGCTCTATGATGATGTCTTAGACCGTTCAGGGCTCTATCGACATAAATCCATCGTCGTTCCTACCGCGGAAGGCGACCGGGAATTGATTGATTCAGGTCGCGATTTGTCAACAAGCGATGGTGTCACAGTAAGACAATACGAGGAAGCAAGGGCTTCCGGTACTATCGGCCTTTTGCTTCCTACAAAGCGTGTCCGTCGAGGCGTAGGTCATAAAACCACAGACATCAAGGCGCCTGGAGCCCCGGGTGCAGATCTTGCACGCCCAGAGGAGCAACCAGCTGCGTTTACATGTCAAGTGAATGGTTGGAGATTGAACGACGGTGTTCCAGCTAATGCTACTTTAAACCTGGACCCCGTCGCTAAGGTTTCGTCGTCTCAAACGTTAGGTGCTGTGCTGGACGAGGGCATCCGGCAATACCAGCGGATGCTCCCGCTATCCCCGAAAGACATGCGGTTGATTAACTGGCACTTCGCCAATTTGGAATATGCAAACGCGACTAACGTCAGTAGACTTAGTCTTTCCGGATGGGATCAAGATATAGGAAATGAGTTCGAAGGCGAGCATTCGCAGGTAGTAGGTGGATATCAACAAGTCCCCTACGGGCTATTCTCATTACCTACAAAACTCGACGTTCGAACAAACAAGATAGTGTCCAAGATATCATATGACCCGTCTGGAATGGGAAAACAGAAGACAGTTGTACACTGCGAAGACGGCGAATCGTTTGCGGCAGACAAAGTGGTCTTCACCGGCTCCTTGGGCGTTCTCAAGCATCAATCCATACAGTTTGAACCTCCTCTACCGGAATGGAAACGTGGAGCCATTGATCGACTCGGGTTTGGAGTAATGAACAAGGTGATTCTGGTGTTTGACCAGCCATTCTGGGACACTGAACGAGATATGTTTGGGCTTCTGCGCGAGCCCACAAATCGAAACAGCACCATTCAAGAAGATTATGCTGCTAACCGAGGTCGATTCTACCTTTTCTGGAATTGTCTGAAGACTACCGGACTTCCCGTTCTAATTGCCCTTATGGCCGGAGATGCCGCTCTTCAGGCGGAATGTACACCTGATGATCAAATTATTGCTGAGGTGACCAGCCAACTCCGCAATGTATTCAAACATATGGTGGTTCCCGATCCACTAGAAACAATAGTCACGAGATGGAAGTCCGATAGGTTCACTAGGGGCAGCTACTCCTATGTGGCGGCGCAAGCACTTCCAGGAGATTACGACCTGATGGCCAAGCCGATTGGCAATTTGCACTTTGCAGGGGAGGCGACATGTGGCACTCACCCTGCCACTGTCCACGGAGCATATATCTCTGGGCTCCGCGCCGGTTCTGAGGTGATCGAGTCTATCCTAGGTCCCATAGAGCTACCGAACCCCCTCGTACCAGAGAAAGGAAAGGCAGAATTTAGCATTCCAACAGCGGCAGGACAAAAGCGAAAAGAGCCGCCCATGCCCGTGGCATCATCCATTAGCAATCTTCCAACCAACTCAGCGGAATCAGCTTCACCTATATCAGCCCATCAACAAGCCTACGAACAAGCAATGTGGACATCAATTCAATCGGAAATCGGCCCTCCCATGCCCCGACCAGCAAGAACCGGCCTAAACCCTTTCCTCCTCTACCAAAAAGACTACTGGGGAATATGCCGCGCCCAATGCGACGAAGCTCGCCGAGCAGAAACGAACGACCCTAACGCGAAAGCTGCTCGCGATGAGATCCGTCATGAGCTCGGACTCATGTGGCGGCGAGCCAGCGAAGAGGAAAAGCGGCCGTACATCGAGCAGACAGAGGTCAACCGACAGACCAATGCGGAAATGTGGAGCCGATGGAAACAACAGATCGCCGAGTGGGAGCAGAAGGCGGCCGAATTGAAGACGAAGTGGTATGCAGCTAATCCGTTTGCAAGTTGGGGTGTACGTTCTGCGGACACTACTGTGCCGACAAATCATTTGTCAATTGGTGCTGGTGCTTCTACTTCGTCCATTTCTTCATTGGGACAGCATACAAACAGCTCGAGCGATCGGACTCATGGAGTAACTGCTGCTGCGACTGTTCATCTCCCCATAAATGGGGTACAAGTCAACGGCTCCTTGCATAACTCTGACTTGTCGAATCGTTGAGATTCAGCCTGGACGATCTTGCTCCTATTATGAATTGCACGAGTTGATGCATACTATGTAAGATATATATGCTCTTAACGACCATCTTTGTACTACCAAATGAAACCAGATTCGAATCAGGATCCTCGAGAATTACTCTATATTCTAGTCTATTGATATGAAATTCATAGTTTCAGCGACCCATGAAACATGCGTGCCACGAGTATCATCGAAGGGACCGAAAAAAAAAAATGTATTAAACTTCCCATCACAAACCGAGGAGAATGACCAGAACGCTGAAGTCTAATATAAACAGCCATCAAAATAAGCAAAATGGATATATCCGTAGGACATGAAACATGATAGTCAGCCGGTGTAGGGCAGATCTAGGTGTGATGAAGAGGTGGTGGTGATGAGGAATCTATAGAGTAGGTGTGGCGGGACGGAGACGTTTAGAGGAGAGGGTTAGACTTGTACTCCGCGGTTTTACCCTGAGGGGTTTGTTTGACCTCGTTGACGGGAGCCTCCTCTTCAGGGGACTCGGATTCAGCGATGAACTTCTCAGCCTCAAGAGCAGCAATGCAGCCGGAGCCTGTGAAAGACTGTTAGTATTTGATGTGACGGGGAAATAGTGAAGTCATGGCATACCAGCACTGGTGATGGCCTGGCGATAGCGCTTGTCCTGGACGTCACCGCAAGCGAAGACACCTTCCAGGCTGGTGTAGCTGGTGCCAGGCTTGGTGATGATGTATCCTTCGTCATCGAGGTCGATCGTGCCCTTGACCAAGGAGGTGGCGGGGTCGTGGCCAACGGCGTAGAAAAGACCGTTAGCGTCGACGGTCTCCTCCTCGCCGGTGACGGTGTTCTTGACACGCAGGTGGGTCATCAAGCCCATGGGCTTCTCCTCACCCAGGACCTGGGTCGCAACGGTGTTGAAACGAACGGTCACCTTGGGGTGGGCCAGAAGACGGCTGGCCATGGCCTTGCTGGCACGAAGCTTGTCACGACGGACCAGAACGGTAACCGAGCTGCCGTACTTGGCCAGGAACATGGCCTCTTCGGCAGCGGAGTCACCACCACCGATCACATAGAGGGGCTTGTTACGGAAGATTGGCACAGCACCGTCACAGACGGCACAGGCACTGATTCCGTTCTGCCAGTACTTGTCCTCACCGGGCAGGTCGAGACGACGGGCATTGGCACCAGTGGCGATGATGATAGCATCGGCAGTGTGGGCGGGCTCATTGTCAGGACCATCGTTCCACTCTGTCCACAGCTTGAACGGCCTCTGCGAGAAATCCACTCTCGAGATAGTCTCGGTGATGACCTCGGTTCCGAAACGGACGGACTGCTTGCGCATGTTCTCCATCAGCTCTGTACCACCGATACCATCAGGGAAGCCGGGGAAGTTCTCGATGTCAGTGGTGGTGGTGAGCTGACCGCCAGCGGCAGTGCCGTTAGCCAGCATACCCTCATAGAGGACAGGCTTAAGCTCCGCACGAGAGAGATAGATCGCGGCGGTGTGTGCGGCGGGGCCGGAGCCAATGACTACGGGGGGGGGAACCAATTAGTATCTCCAACTGATCTGGGCAGCATTATATACAAGGACTAGGGAAAACTCACTAACGACCTTGGTGTGCACCATCCTGGATGCCGAACTTTGACTGACGCGCAGGGGCGTCGAGAGGGTATTCGATAGAACTGAAGCAGACGGGGAGGATTTCTGGTGCAGCGACGAGGCAGCAGCGGCGGTCAATCCGAGCGAGGATCGAAGAGAGGAAAAGGGAAGTCGTCGAGAAGCGAAGGAAAACAGTTTGACGGTGTTGGGAAGGAGATTGGGAAGGGGAAAGAAAGAAAGTCGGGTCGGGAAATAGGCGGCCTTTAATTATGGGCGTTCAGGGAGAGCGCAGAGAAAGAGGCGAAGGAGGGGCTCAGATTGCCGGGTGGTGGGGACGGCCTGACGAAAAAAAGGGCTGGATGGTTCAAGATTAGCTAAACGGTCGAAACCAAGAGACTGGTGTCCTACCTGGAATCTGTGTGGGGACAATGAATAAACCAGATTAATGACAAAGAATGGAATTGCACAAGAAAACCACGGAAGCGACTTTTCTCTCTCCCACCAGGTACAGGGGAAAACATTCCGGATTGCCAATGGCGAGACCGGATCACGTGCGCCGGTGCTTAGAAAGCAGTCACGGGCCGAGACCGCCACTGATTATCGATCAATCTTTATCTCGGATCAATCGCCGGAATCTCTGCATTCAGGCAGAATCCAGAATCTGAAAGCCAAATATTCGAACCTGATAACAAGAATCGAGGCACAGGACTCATCACAATCACATTCAGAGGGTACCCACTGTATACAAATAATAGTTCATAGATCTTACATTCATTATCATTATAATTGTCATCGACAGCGTCATCATCATCAATCGTCATAAACGTATCAGATCAAATCATATAAAATAATAGCTTCGCGCTTCGCGCTTCGCGCTCCGCTATCAATCAGCTCATCGGCCAAACCACTTCCTCCTTCTCGAGGTTTCGGCAACACCATCGTGCTCTACTTCGCCTGGACTAGCAACCGGCACTAATGTCTCTGGAGGCGCGTCTCTACCAGCAACATAATCATGTTCGCGTCCCGCTGAGCGTCCATAATTCTCGTGCTGGTCGTACTCATCCTCGTCTTCATCGCTGAAACCTTCTTCAGCTTCGGTGTCCTCCACATTCTGCTTTTCTCTTTTATTCCTCCGTACACTCAACCACCGCTTCCAGCCCTTTGCAACTGGTGCCGCAGGGGGGTCGTACTCATCCCCTTCGTACCGCAGCATCGGCACGAGCAGTTTGTATGGAGTCGTAATACCAGACGGGTCTTTCGGGTTTAATTCCAAGTTCAAGGATATAGCCAATCCCCCTTCTAAATTAACGAAGGCGCCAACCCCATCGTCCCCCTGCTTTGCAGCCTTCTTAGATGCCTTCTGGCTCAGATTCGTAGGCCGTCGAAGGAACGGAGCTGGGCGGGAATTTGTGGGTGGTGGAAAATAGCTATCGCCTGTCTCCGCAGGAGGAAATGGGCCATCCATACTCATACGCCGCCCAACTGGGTTCCCTCCAAGGTTAAAGTCCTTAGTCGGTGGCCGTCCACGCCCCGAGAGTCGGCGTAACAGGCCGCCGCTACCCTGGGGTCTGTCTCCGCGCGTCAAGGACAATGTCCTTTGCAACTTGCCCGGTCGAGGCTCCACCGGCGACGATTCAGGTTCCGGTGTGGTCTGTGGTGTAAAGCCTGTGCCTAGTTAGCAACGTACAAAAAAGCGCCAATAAGCCAATGAGACTAGAACCGACCTGGCTGATACGCACGGATGGAGCACCAGTTTCGGCGTGGTAGCAACCGTTTGTTATTCCGTGGCTTATTATTCACATCATGTGTAAATATGGGGATCATGTCTTCGTCTGTATTAGTATCTAGATGGTGAACTCGATTCCGTTTGTTGAGCGTGTCTGACACCATCTCCGTCTCGGGAATATCTGCAATAGCTGAGGAAATGATGTTGGGCATGTATCGATAGTCTTTGTCCTTAGGCAAGTTCAATCTTGGGTTCGAGTATAATTGGCCAATGGCAGCCAAATGCACATCGCCGCTACAAAAGATGTTTGTTAGTTCCGCCCTAGAGGATGGCAGAGTACAGTTTCTTACCTTAAAATGGTCACACGGACGGATTTGTCTGCTGCCAAGTCCTGAAGATCTTCGATCAAGTATTGGCGTTCGGACTTGTGGTGCTTAGCGGTCCAGTGGTCATCAAAGATTTCAATGTTGCCCCCTGTCTTGTTTACAAAACCGCCAAAAATCCCGGCTTTGCCGAGCGATTTCCGGCTGTTTAGAATATTTTTCACCATCGCCTGTAAGAAGGTTAGAAGGGAAAGAATTGGAATTATAGCGCTCGTAACATACCACCCTAGGATATGCAACCGGAATACTCAGCAGCACTAGCAAGTGCTTCGTCTCGCCCCGGACAATTTCACGATGGCATCTGTCCCAAATCAAATCAGAAGTTTGTTCGCTGAGCACTTCGTCGTTCTAGAATATACTGTTAGCACTGCTTTTCTGCTGCTAAGCAGGTTCCGTGGTCTTACCATGCGTTCAGTCCGGCAGTCTAGGCCGAGGAGAGACACCCCACCACCTAGAGACATGAACAGATTGCGGCTTCGGTGGTTGATGTACGGTCCAGGAAGAGCTCCAAGCAGCCAACTAGGCTCATCTGCTTCGGTCTCTTCCGGAACGCTGTGGTGCTGGAATAGCAAGTAGTATTTGAATGCTATGTTGCCAAGCCCTGAGATCACGGGCGTGCTCATGAACTCATCGGGGTAAGATCCGAAGCCTTCGATGATCTCATGGTCATTCCAGAGGTTAACCATGGGTATTTGCGAGTTTGCAAGGGAGTAAAGCCCCTGTGAAAACCACCGTGAATAGTGCTCAAGAAAAGAGTTTTCCAATTCCGCTTTGAACTCCATGTTCAGCGGCGTGTCGTACTTCTCATGGATATCTTTCATCTTGACCCATTCCTGGAAAAAGGATGATTCTGCTGTAATCCTGTCGTTGAATATCTGGTCTCCTCCACCAATCATGACATGGAATGGGCGAGTCTGATGCTCATTGAGCACGTCTCGCCACAGAGGGTCTGGACCACAGAGTTTGTTAGAGTCGACGCCGGGGGCAAAGCCGTTACATGTGTGGTACATTATGTTCATCGACTGTCCCCTAGCAGGCACCCAGAATCCCAGAGCCGGCCCTTGGTTGAGGCGATATGCAATCCGCTGCTGGGTATTTCCTAATTCAATCTCAATATTAAACCTCCAGAAAGTGATATCTCTTCCTGGGTCGGCGTAGAGGCGGGCCCCTGCAACCTCCTTATAGAATCCAGCAATTTCTCCATCCATAGAATGGACTCTGTTAGCAGGGATTGGTTGCTTGATACCCTCAGTGCTGTAGTCAATGATGCTTGGTGACATCTCATAGATGCCGTCGTCATTTTCAATACAAGAGAGGTCCAGCTCTTCTTCTGTATGATCTACTGGCTTAACATAGAGAGGCCGACCATCTCGCCCCAATTTCATAAGTCCAGCTGTCGGGTCCACATACTCAGGGGCTAGTTCAGAATCCTCTCCATTCAGTTCAGTCGGAGGAGGAGGTAGCAGATCCATTGGTTGAGGAAATAACCTTAAAGTAGGTGGTGGCTCATATGAAGAGAGAGAATCCCTTGTCACAATCAACACACTCCCTCTCCAAGTCTCCTTATCGAATGCCCCATTGGGTCCATCTATTCGCACCCGCTTCAACCCTCCGTATCGGAGTAAAGGACCACATTTAAGGAACAGATGTGGCTGGAAGCGCTTGTTCGCTATATGTCACACTTAGTATCAGTTCCGGGAATCTGTAATCTTGGGTGAGCATATCAAAGGGCAGGACCTACCCGATGGCTTAGTGTTTGGTGGCTTCTGGTAGTTGATTGGCAGCGCCCTACTCTTTCTGCGGTTGTTGCTTCCGCCACCTTCCCACCACGCCTTACTTTTATCGACATCGAAATTCTGGTAGTCAAAGTCAGAAGCACCCAGTCTTGCCACTGGTGCTGTTTTCCACTCCGACAAAGGTGGAGGCGTTGGAGGTGGGACATCGAATGAAACAGTCTGCCGCTTGGGCTTAGGCTGTGACGCAGGCTCGCTCTCAAAACTTTGAGATGTCATTGCGGCATTCCCGCCTGGCTGTCGACTCGAGTCAGAGTGTGCAGGCATAGCATTATCAGTAGATCCAGTCCCAGTCGGGTAGGCCTTCAGGTCCGCTTGCTGGGGCCCAATAGTCGCTGTGGGGGGCTCTTTCCTTCGTATAGCTTGCGGCACTGGTCTAACCCCGGACGCCGCAGGGCTCAGATATTGGGTTTTTCCTGCAGTAGGATCAGGATACCGGTGGTCCTGGGAAGTATCTGCAGTGTAAGGACCGCTAACCCCTCGCGGCATGTTTGGTTTAATTGATTGCGAGCCCATAACGTCATTTCCTGCTGAGTGGCTCACAGACACAGACCGTCTAGGAGCATTGCCAGTCCTGACAACTCCTGTATTCTGGGGGTAGCCTCTTGCAGACTGTGGCGCGTTAGCGGGCAATGGCACTGGATGTTGTACCGAGGCCGTTCGCGCGTGGGGGGGTTTTACTCTATCTGAAGGACCTTGAGCCGGTCTTTGACGCGGTAAAGCTGGCTGCTCAGGATCTGTCCGCTGAGAAACTTCCGTCAGAGGGCTCGAAGTATCTCGTGGTACATTATCTTGGTTAGATTGCACTGGAACCGCTGTACGACTGTTATTTTCAGCTTCCTGACGTGCTATCCGCTCTTTCGCCCTCATCTCAGCTTCCAAGACTCGAGCTCGCTTCTCTTCTTTGCTGATTCCAGTCAGTGCCACTTCAAGCTTTTGAAGAGGTGACCGATCTGCCGCCCAATCATGCTTTTGCTCTGCCGTGGAGCGTACCGTGTTAGAGCGACTTAGCGGTGTTTGGTGACTGTCTCCAGGTGGTGGTGCCATATGAGAATCATCCCGCTTCACCGAACTTGACATAGAAAGTCTAGACTCAGTCATGCTGCCCCGTGATGTGGCGTACTCATCAGGTGAGATATATGGCTCTGGTGGTAATGGCTTTTCCCTCCAGTTTGGATGCCCTTCGCGGGACAAACCTTTCGTCCTCGCGGAGAACGAGCGAGAAGTTTGATGACCATGAACCACAGCAGGGTTATTCTTGTAAGGTTTCGATCGAGTCTGTGGGACATCGATGGATCCGTAAGTCTGATCACTATCAGTTTCGTAATCCAATGCGTTGGGTGTCATGCCGTGAGACTGCTGCCGTCTGTGCGATGGAGCGCGTGGTACACCATTCAGAGGGACAGATTGGGGAGGTATTGAGCCTCCATTAGTCGGCCTCTGGGAACTAGCTGCAGCCATTCTTCCAAGCTTTCGGATCCTTTACGACACTGCCCAGAAAGCTTCTGTACTTTATCACTGGTAAAGTCAAATGCGCGGGGAATAGAAAGATTAGCGACACCAATAAAGATCGTAAAAAAAATCAATTCGTATCCAAATTTGTGACAGTAGTAGATGATTTGGCCAAACCAGCTCGTGTTAGTACATGGTGATGGCACTGAAAGAATAGATCATCGCTTAATTTGCAGAGCTGGAAGTTGCGGAGTAGTATACAAGCGATGTATATGGATTGTAACAATGATGGATTTGTACGGTACGAGAAGAAGGTAAGAGGATTGAATACCGCGATTTCGACCAGGGGGCGGAAAGAATGAAAAAAAAAAAATTCATGAGATGACAGAAAAATCAACAGGATTATATTGGAGTAGCGAATTAATCTCATTGTGCTGGCTAATGAGAATTAAGTCGGTGGCTGGCAAGCACAGCATCTTCCATGCGGGGCTGACTCGTCAGTCATCCTGCATTAAACATGTTCCCGCCAGGCACCACGACTGGCCCATTTTTGTCCCCCTTTCTAAGAAAAGAACTTAGCTTGTAATTGTAGGGGCGTGGAAGGGTGCCTGGGTAGAAAAGATGACGAAAAGACTCCATTGTACTGTGCCAGTAAACCGTGTATCACAAGTAGTTCATAGTGGCAGTGCTGTAGTTATGTTGCAACACACCCGCTGGTCAGTAGACAAATCATGGATGCACTGTGTGAGTATTAACATCGTCAGTTTTAGTAATATTGTAAAGAAAATCATGGCATTCTTGTTGTTGAGTGAGACACGTTTTCTCCCCGTAGTCAATCATGGGATGTTTCGTCTAAATCCTCCAATTGGCGGAGTGGCCAGTAATCTTATTTCAACATCGACCGTAGATTTATTACAGCTCTGTACCTCTTGCAGCAAATACTAGTTGATGGTTGTGAATGGGCTGAGCTGTTGATATACAAAGGAACTCTGACTGTCAGGGTATTTTGAAAATTACAGACGTATGGATATTACGTAGGTTCTTTTGAGCAGCATACTTCAATTTTCTCACAATGCTGATTAGTTTATTGTATGTATTCGTCATCTCATTCTTATTGTACAGGCAATATAGAAGGGGTAAAAAGTTACAATAAGAATAGAGATCACTAAAACAGGGCTGAATAGTTCTTTGAACTCTTTCTCTAGGTTCTTAGTAACTGGCTCCCGTCCATGTTTAGATACAGCCTCGTATACGGAGCACTTTTTATGTCATCCCTTCACAGGAAGTCTGAGGGGTTTTCACTGTAAGGAGTGGAGATTCAGCTGCTGATAAGAAAGATACAGTCCGTTTTAAAATAAGGCAAGAATGTGCATCTAACCAAAATGCTGAAACATGGGGCTATAATGTTCTCGAGTATGTCGTCTAATCAATATTTAACATTGGATGAATGCTGCCTGAGCACTAAAAATTAAGGGAGTGGAGATCATGTAAAGTTAAACAATGGATTCGTCGCCTAAGGCAAAAGGCTCCGCTGTTTCCCCGAAGTGAACACCATTCTCGAACTCCGCCTCCGCAACAACTTCACCGAGCAGTGCTCATTGAATACATAACCATTTCATACCCCCCTTGCTGTGTATATTCATTATTTCTTGTCTCTATAGCATTCTTTTCCTTGAAGTTGCTTACTGCATCGCAAGCCATCTACTGAAGAGTCTGGTACTGTTCTTATTGATGGCAACTATCTTATTTGTCCTCATCTCACCCTACTACCGATAGGGGCCCATCTCGATTCACGCTGCTTCCATAATGCGGCTTTCCGAAAGTGCAACGGTAGCGCTCGGCCTTTTTAGCGCTGCGACGGCGTCAGTCCATCCTCGACGCTCCTACGAGACGCGCGATTTCTTTGCTCTTCATCTTGACGACTCCACCTCCCCAGACGAGATCGCCCAGCGCCTCGGAGCACGCCACGAGGGCCAAGTAGGGGAACTCACACAACACCATACCTTCTCTATACCCAAGGAGAACGGTGCAGACCTCGATGCGCTCCTCGAACATGCACGTATCAGGAAACGGTCAAGTCGTGCCGGAGAAGGACGTGGCCACACATTGGATACGAGGGAAAGAGATTTGAGCGGTATACTCTGGTCTCAAAAGTTAGCCCCGAAGCAGCGACTAGTAAAAAGGGCTCCTCCAGCAGACGTGGTGTCGAGGGCGTCTGTGAAAGAAGAGGACCCCGTAGCTGCCCAAGCTCAGAAACGGATAGCCTCTTCACTTGGGATTGCAGATCCCATCTTTAGCGGGCAGTGGCATCTCTATAATACTGTCCAAGTCGGCCATGACCTCAATGTTTCGGACGTCTGGTTAGAAGGTATCACGGGAAAAGGTGTCATCACGGCTGTGGTCGATGACGGGCTAGACATGTACAGCAATGACCTCAAACCGAACTACTTTGCTGAGGGCTCCTACGATTTTAACGACCATGTACCGGAGCCCAGACCGCGACTTAGTGATGACAGGCATGGCACAAGATGCGCTGGTGAAATCGGAGCAGCTAGGAACGATGTTTGTGGAATAGGCGTTGCATACGACAGTCAAGTTGCGGGAATTCGGATCTTGTCCGCACCCATTGACGATGCAGATGAAGCCGCTGCCATCAACTTTGGCTTTCAGCGCAATGATATTTATTCATGCTCTTGGGGCCCTCCGGATGATGGCGCCACGATGGAGGCGCCAGGGATTCTTATCAAACGAGCTATGGTCAATGGCATCCAGAATGGCCGAGGAGGCAAAGGCTCTATATTCGTTTTTGCAGCTGGAAATGGTGCAGGGTACGATGACAACTGCAATTTCGATGGTTACACGAACAGCATTTACAGCATCACTGTCGGTGCCATTGATCGAGAGGGTAAACATCCCAGCTACTCGGAATCATGCTCTGCCCAGTTGGTCGTCGCTTATAGCAGTGGCTCGAGTGACGCGATTCATACCACCGACGTCGGAACTGATAAATGCTATTCACTTCATGGCGGAACTTCTGCCGCAGGTCCGCTAGCTGCGGGTACTATAGCCCTTGCTCTTAGTGCCCGACCGGAACTTACTTGGCGAGACGCCCAGTACCTGATGATAGAGACCGCAGTTCCCGTCCACGAAGACGACGGGAGCTGGCAGACTACCAAGATGGGGAAGAAGTTTAGCCATGACTGGGGTTTTGGGAAAGTCGACGCGTATTCACTGGTCCAGCTGGCCAAGACGTGGGAGCTGGTGAAACCACAGGCGTGGTTCCACTCACCGTGGCTGCGGGTGAAGCATGAAATCCCACAAGGTGACCAGGGACTTGCCAGCTCATACGAAGTTACCAAGGATATGATGTACCAGGCCAATGTCGAGAAGTTGGAACATGTCACTGTGACCATGAATGTAAATCACACCCGCCGAGGCGATATCAGCGTGGAGTTGCGCAGCCCCGAGGGTATCGTCAGCTATCTGAGTACAGCACGACGGTCAGATAATGCAAAGGCTGGCTATGACGATTGGACATTCATGACTGTGGCTCATTGGTATGTAGTTGACCCCGTGCTTTAGTTCTCTTACTCGGTCCTCTAACATTTCCACTTAGGGGTGAGTCCGGTGTTGGAAAGTGGACGGTCATTGTTAAGGATACCAATGTCAATGATCATATTGGAGAATTCATCGATTGGCGGCTCAACCTCTGGGGGATTTCCATTGACGGCTCCAGCCAGCCCCTTCATCCTATGCCCGATGAGCACGATGATGACCATTCGATTGAAGATGCCATTGTTGCTACCACTAGCGTTGATCGTGTCCCAACCAAGACTGAAGACCCATCTGTCCCAACTGATCCCGTTGATCGTCCTGTGAACGCAAAGCCATCTGCGCAACCAACGACGCCTTCAGAGGCTCCTGCCCAAGAGACATCTGAACTTCCCACCCCGACGAAACCCGTTTCTACGGAATCACCCTCTACTACCTCCTCTGCGGATAGCTTTTTGCCTTCCTTCTTCCCCACGTTCGGTGCGTCTAAACGGACTCAGGCTTGGATTTACGCTGCGATCGGTTCGATCATTGTGTTCTGTATTGGACTTGGGGTCTACTTCCAAGTACAGCGACGAAAGCGCCAGCGTAATGATCCTCGTGATGACTACGATTTCGAAATGATAGAAGATGAGGATGAAACGCAGGCTATGAACGGGCGTTCGGGTCGTACACAACGCCGGGGAGGTGAGCTTTACAATGCCTTCGCTGGGGAAAGTGACGAAGAGCCTTTGTTTAGCGACGATGAGGATGAACCTTATCGGGATCATGGCCTCAGTGAGGAGCGCGAACGGCGAGGGAGCACAAGTGGTGACCATGCTCGGTCATAGTATTAATTGGACTAGATTTGCATTTACTTCTATCCCATAATGGTCCTCTTGCGGCGCGTTTCGGGTATATCAGATGGGATGCGTTACATGGATCTTGTGAATTATTGATGTTGAACGAAGGCTGCTGTATATAACTTTGACTTACTTGACAAAATAGACGCATAAAGGACACACATACGGAGTCAGGCCATCGTAACTGTTGCAACGCGCGCTAAAAAGTGGATGGGGGTTGATACTGCGTAGTAAGTTGCTGGATAAGCTAGTCTTGGCGCTTGGGCCGATGACGCTGTGCGGCCGCTTCTCCAATTGACTGCTCCACTGCTGCCTCCGCAACTTCTCAACCTCCCATTTATCGATCTACGACCATCAGCCATAGCTCCTCATATCCCGAGTTCCTCTCTATCGAGTCTCTCCAGTGATATAAATTGTTTACGAGTCTCTTTTGACTTGTACAATTACCGGTGCTAAGTTGCCGCTTCCCTAACGGCAACCCCTCGATGGATCAGCACGATGACTTTGACAATGTCTCTTGGAGACACGAACCAGAGAGCGATATCTCTCGTCCAACTACTTCGGGCACTGATGCCGAAGAGTCGCCTGCAATCAGTCACGATGCCAATGGCAAACGGAGAATGAGCTCAGCTCACGAAAACCCACAAGCTGGGCCACTGGCGGATGCGGTCGACCTAGCAGGTATCGGAGATGGGGTGTTGGAATGTCGGGTGGATTCACCACTGAAAGAGAACGACGGTACCAAAGACGCATATATCTCTTACTTGGTTACAACACAAGTGAGTTGCCCTCTTTCCCCGGGAGTTGGCTCCGGCTTTTCCATGGCAGACCGGAGATCCATCCTCGGTTGCCCAGCAAACAGTTCACTGTACTGACCAAAGGGGCATCGCAGACCGATTTCAAGTCCTTCCAGAGGTCAGAATTTGCAGTGCGCAGACGTTTTACAGATTTCTTCTTTCTATATAAGACGCTCTATCGTGAGTATCCTGCCTGCGCGGTTCCACCTCTACCAGACAAGCATAAGATGGAATACGTGCGGGGGGATCGGTTCGGGCCCGAATTTACTACACGACGTGCCTGGTCGCTACATCGATTCCTAAAGCGCTTGGCATTGCATCCGGTGCTCCGCCGGGCTCCTTTGCTTGCTATCTTCTTAGAATCTCCCGACTGGAATGCGCATATGCGGCTTCACACCTCTCGCACATCCACCAATCCGACGGACAATACCGGCACCCCAGGGATTTTTGACAACTTTACCGATACCTTCGTAAATGCGTTTACAAAAGTCCACAAGCCCGATCGCCGGTTCATTGAGGTTCGGGAGAAGGCAGATAAATTGGATGAAGACCTCAATCACGTAGAGAAGATCGTCGCCAGGGTCGCTCGGCGCGAGTCCGATTTGGAGACCGACTACAATGACCTCGCGACGCAATTCCGCAAACTGGTGTCTCTGGAGCCGAATGTTGAAGTTCCCCTACAGGTATTCGCGGCGTCGGTGGAAGAGACGGGACGCGGGCTTAAAGGTCTCAAAGACCACACGGATCAGAACTACCTTGGCTCGCTCCGGGATATGGAGGCCTACATCGTGTCTCTTAAGGCACTTCTGAAAACCCGTGAGCAGAAGCAACTCGACTTTGAAGCCTTAGTGGACTACCGCAACAAAGCCGTGAGCGAGCGCGATTCGCTCGCTACCAACCCATCATCCTACTATGCCTCTAACCCCCTGACCTCATCGCCTGCGTCCTTCATCCGCTCCAAGATGGAAGATATGCGTGGTGTCGACCATGAGCAGTCACGCCGGGAGCGGGTCCGGAAATTAGAGCTGCGCATCGACGAGCTGACTCGCGAAGTAGAATCTGCTAAGACCACGTCAGAGATGTTCGATGAAGAGGTTGTCCGTGAAGTTGCGGATTTCGAACGGATCAAGGCGGCTGAATTCCGGGACACTCTCGGCGCGCTGGCCGAGAAGCATATTGACTTCTACCAAGGAGTGTTGAATACATGGGAGAGGTTTGTCGCGGAGATGGAAGGTGATTTAGATGAGAATCACGAAGCGTCCGCCCCACGGGAGAGTATTGCAACACGATGAGTGCGTGGATGATATACTTGATGTGACATGAACGAGTGATTTATTTTTTTTTTCTTTCTTATTTGCGCCCCCTCTTGTCAGCTTCGATCTATTCCCTCTACCCGGTACTCCTTTTCACGGTCACTCTGTCACTGTTCCATAACAGTTTACGCTGTCGTAGCTTACAACCCGGCATGATAGCTTTATCTTCCTTGCAGATGCCATAAACCAATCGCAGCAACCCCTTTAGAAGAAGCAGCAGTAATGCAATGCAGAAGCCCGAATCGAATCACCTCAACCGCTCCTTTACCCCCTCGTGCTCCGCACACTCAAAATCCACAGGCCCAGGTTCCCCCTGCGGATCCAAAATTGCGGGATCCAAAGCCCTCGTAGTCCTCTGCCGAACACGTTCCTATTCAAGAAAACACAAGTTCAATCCATGAGGGGACACGTCATATCGTAGATGATAACATCCTGTCCTTCGGAGAAGAATAGAAAGGGGAAAAGAAAAGGGCAAAAAAAAAAAAAAAAGCAATCGACCTACCTCCCGATACACCTGATTCGGCGTCTTCTCAGCGTTCCTCCCCGCCGTTAATTGGAGGTAGACCTCGTGGTCATAGCCCACGGCGCCTTTGCGGTTGTTGGCGAAGTTGGCGCTGAGGTCCAGAGCTGTTTCTGCTGGAGTATTCTTGTTCTTTTTGGTTGTCGTTGTGGAAGTAGTGAATGTCATTTTTTGCCCTTTTCTTTTCCCCTTCTTTCTTTCTTTCTTTTCTTTTTCTGAAGTTTATTGATTTGTGTAGGTTGTCGTTGTTAGTTCTGCGCTTATGAAGGCGAGGTTGGTTGGTTGATGAATCGAATTGGTGGTGGAAGGGCAGTTCAATCAGTGAGGGTCATGCATGTTTGGGGCGTCAAGTATTGAGGCTGTGTATAGATGGAAATAGGCATCAATCACCTGAGGAGAATGGGCGATTACGTGGCAAAGGGAATGAACTTGAAGAATGGGAGTCTTTTATTTCATTCTATCTTATTTTTTCTTCGATATTTATTATTTATTTAATATTGGACATGTGCAGCGGAAGATTAACAGGGCCGTTTGCAGAACATCCGCCATGATTTTAAATTAATATCGAACTAGTCTATGCTTTTTGATCCTACTTCTGACTGTCACCTAATCCGAGGGGAACTTTGGGATTTTTACCCTGAACCATCCCTCGCAGGAGGGGTTTTTTTGGGTGGTGGATTCAATCTATATATAGCATCCACTAGACCTATTTGCATCACGCCCTTGTTTTCAACGCGATATCTTACATTTCTTACTCAGAAAGTACTAACTATCACTATCACTTCTGCTGTAGAACATGGGTGCTATTTATAACCCGGTGGCACATTCTTCAACTGAGGGGTTGCACAAAGGGGTTTGTTTCAGCCTTCTCTGCAGATGGCATTCTTGGGCTAGAGTACATGCTAATGTTTCGTACATGCCCGGGGGTGTGTTTCCACAAATGATTCCATCCCATCAGGATAACCCCAACTAAAGACCCCCCTTTGACAGCCCAGTAAGACGCACAATGCCTTTTATTCAGTGAATGACAGCTCCACCAGTCTCGTGCCACTTCTACCTCAAGATCCTCTAGGTTTCGGGCGATATGCAGTCAGCCCCAACCCAATTGATATCCGTGGTAGCTATCCAACGTAAGCTCGCTTCGATGTGGTGATGTTTGCAGTAGTGGTGCATCTTGAGATAGCCGGTCTAGAAAGGTATAGCACATACATACATACATACATACAATTAGCTCCAACTGAATGGAAATGATCGGTCATACTTCTGGAGGGATGTGGTTGCCAAGAAATATAGATGTAACGTACTCCATTTTGATACAATCGGCCAGGGCACCTGCAACGCTCTTTTATAGCTCGTTTTGATATAATCATCCGTGGTTTTGCTTATTTTCCGAAGCATATGTCAGGAATGGGTTCATAGGAGGGGAACATGGCGTCGCGCCGGGATAGATGTCCAGGTGGCAGACGGTTACAGTGGCCTTGTCCTGCCGGAGTTTGTCAATGTATGTTGGACCTCATTGATGCGGGAGAGATTACATCTTCAGGGAGGGAAGCCGATCTTACTTGAGTGTCGTGGAGGGGTATGATCGACACTGGATGTAGTCATTTAGGGTTGAGCGAAGGTACCGTTAATCATGTCTTGGATTTACTTTGTACTATATAGTGCTATCAACAAGAATGTCATGACCCAATTCTATATTAGCTGACCCTGTGACAGGATTTAATAACACCGAATTGTCAAGCCACTTGACGATCAAAATATACTCGAATTTTAAGACGGTTACTATGTGTAGGACACTAAATACCCATCTTCGTTGATGAATTGCAGTAGAAGACATACAGCAGCAATATCCACCAGTCATGGCCCAGGAGTTTTGCAAAATTACCCCAGATAAAGGCGATTGATAAAACTAAGAAGTTGTCAAAAGATTGAATAGGACCAGTTCACAGTAATGAGTTCATTCTACCAGGCATAAAGCGGCTGTGGGCATGCTCATTGTTGTGTAGCTGACGTTTGTGGTGTTCTAGGAAATCAATACACAATTTTGACACTAACGGATCTATAAAGCGACACTGAAAGCCTGTGCACGTTGTCTGAAATTGCAATAGTGCACTTGTTTGACTTGGCAGGCATATTATCACTCGGTTCCGCATTTGGTTTCAGGAGATGAGAAGTAAGATAAGGTGTCCAGATATGTCAATACCTGATATCGTGACTTCTTATACTACTCCATAGCTGCTAAGCTAATGGGAATGTCGTCATATTCTTTCTTCATAGAATTTGAAAACGATAACTGATCCGATATGCCATAAGATTCGTGCATATACCGCCTAGTCAGGGCAGGCAGAATGTTTTCTTCAGGCAGGCGGTACACCGGAAGCCACTGAACCCTAGATATGTTCGTTGCATCCCACTATATCAGGAGCCCGGTCATAAATGAGCCTGTATGTGCTATTAGCTGTATATTCATGCGTTATAGGCTGGTAGTATGCCGTATACAGTAATTAGGCATAGATATCGATTTCCAACATGGTGAAAGATTATCTCTGCGCATTAGAGATGTGCCATCTGTAGAAAGATTTCTGTTTGCGTTGTTTGCACATCGTCACCCCATATCGCCGACTGCCTTCTCCGAACATCCAACTTTATTGTTTCCTGAACCTAGACGCATATCCATCATGCGGCCAATTACTCGGTCGGCACTCCGACCTTATGTTTGCCCCTCTTGTCGGTCTGGCCGCTTTGTGGGCCGTAGAAGATTTGGGTCCAAGCCGGACCAGGCCCCCGATGTCTACGATGTGGTGTGTGTCGGAGGTGGTCCAGCAGGTCTAGGGTTACTGGCAGCTTTGCGTAAGGCATTCTTTACAAACTCTTTCCAATTCACTCAGATCGGCGCGCGGAAGACTAATGTATATCTATAGGTGCTTCTCCCTTAACATCAAAGCTCAGGGTAGCCCTCGTCGAGACCCAGGATCTCCAAAAAGCTCGCGCCTGGAACCTCGATTCACAGCAATTCTCGAACAGAGTCAGCAGCCTAACGCCCTCTTCCGTGTCGTTCCTGCAGAAGATCGGTGCCTGGGAACACCTTGACACCGACCGAGCTCAAGAATACCAGGAGATGCAAGTATGGGACGGCGAAACAGATTCGCGCATAACTTTCGACTGGTCCGCGGATTCATCCCCATTCGAAAATCTTCCCACAGTCGCGACAATGACGGAAAACGCCAATCTCGTCCGCGGACTTCTGTCGCGCATCGCAGCATCTGGAGACGAGAATGTCTCAATCTTCTCGAACACAACCGTCTCATCTATCGAAAACGGTACGGACCACCCGGACGGACCGGACCTATCAGCCTGGCCCGTTCTCTCCCTCGCTCCAACCGGCGCAGCACAATCGCAACCCCCGACTCGGATCGCCGCAAGACTACTAGTCGGTGCGGACGGTATCAACAGCCCTGTCCGCCGGTTCGCCGACATCGCAACCCAGGGCTGGGACTATAACCGCCACGGCGTCGTCGCGACTCTTTCCCTTGCCGACCCGGATCAGGTCGCATTCCCTATCGGCACGAGAACCGCCTACCAGCGCTTCCTGCCCTCCCTCGGAGGCCCGGTTGCTTTGCTACCACTCCCCAACAACCACGCAACGCTAGTGTGGTCCACCACGGTAGAAAACGCCGCCTATCTCAAGTCTCTTTCCCCGAAAGCGTTCATCGCCATGGTTAACGCTGCATTCCGTCTCCCTATGACCGACCTCAAGTACATGATGCGCATGGAGCGCCCAGCGACCTCTGCATCGGACTACGAGGATTCACACGAGAGTGAACTGACTTGGCGTTTGCAACATACCCCGCCAGCCTCCCACGTCCCGCCCATGGTCAACGGCGTGCAGGAGGGCAGTGTGGCCTCTTTCCCTCTACGCTTCCGACATGCATCAACCTACATCTCGCCGCGCGTTGCTTTAGTCGGCGATGCCGCCCATGTGATCCACCCGCTCGCTGGACAAGGCCTCAACCTTGGAATGGGCGATGTGGCGTCCCTCTCCAAGACGATCGAATACGCTGTCGACCATGGAATGGATATCGGTGATATTCTTTCTCTAGAGAGATACACCGCCGAACGATGGGCTGTTAATGCTAAGATCGGGGGTGTCTGTGATATGGTGCACAAGCTTTACAATGTTCCGGGCCAGGGGCCTGTTGCATGGGGTCGCAGTCTGGGTTTGGAGATCATTGATCGGTTGCCTTTTGTTAAGGGATTCTTGATGAAGAATGCTGAGGGTTGATTGAGCGGTTGAGGGGCCCTCACTGTATCTTTCACTACTCCCTTTTAGTCATCTGTCTCCCTCCTGTGTATTACCTATATCTCAAATATGACCTTGTATAGAATCTATCATACGAGGCCAAGCCTGCAATATGTACATTATTCTGAATGAAAAAAAAAACTCTTGAAACACTCCTAAAGACATTCTACTTTGCATCTTACGAGCCCCAAACAAGGAGTAAACATTGTAATCCAAATCGGGTATTGTCATTTCCTTTTTTTCATCTTCTTGTTTTGTAAATCTAGTTTGTCGAAGCACCAACATTGAGGCCCTCGAGCTGTTGTGTGACAGCGGACGCTTGATCCTGCCTCCTCGCCAAACGGGCGTTTACCTCGGCGGGGAGAGTAGCGAGATCCACCAGCACACCTTCCTTCTCAGGGTGGCCTTCCTCGAGACCCATCTCCTTGACGCGGACTTTGCCTTGGGCGAGTTCGTCCTCACCCAAAATGACGGCGAAGGGGACGCCGCCTTGTTCGGCGGCCTTGAATTGTTGTGGGAGCTTGGGCTTAACCTTGTAAGAGAACTCGGCCTGTTGGAAAAGTTAGTCTGCGCTTTCTTTTTTTCTTTTTTTCTTTTTTTTGTTTTAGGCTCAACAAGCCAAATCGAGAACCGGGGCTTACCTTGATACCGGCGTTCCACAGAGTCTGGCAAACGTTCATGCGCTCCTTCAGCATGCCGGTGAAGCCCTTGCCGCCGAAGGCCATGACGAAAACGTCGACTTCGCTGTTGCGCAGAGCCTGGGCGCTCTGTTCACGCTCGAGGCGGGCCTTGGTGATGGAGAAGATACGGTCGACACCGAATGAGACACCAACACAGGGGATCTGGGCCTTGGGTAAGAACATGCCGACCAAGTTGTCGTAGCGGCCACCAGCGGCAACACTTCCTACTCCCAGAGTGGGGTCATTTGATCTGTCATCGTCGTCGGCATTGCCGCCCTTGGACTTGCTCTTCTTGGATGACTTCTGTGGTTTCTCCGCCTCGGCAGCAGAGGATGAAACGGCGGGTGCGGAGCCTTCGGTGACGACTTCGTAGATGACACCGGTGTACTGTCAACCGATTAGTAAAAATGTGACCAAGGTAGATATGAGAAAAGAAGAAACGAACATAATCTAAGCCACGAGCAAGACTCATATCGAAAGAGATACGGTCGAGGACGCCGAAAGCCTCCAAGTAGTCCATAAGCAGACCCATATCCTCCAGACCAGCCTTGGCGGAGGCATTCGCCAGAAGAGCCTCATCCTTCAACAGAGTCTCCAGAAGGTCCCGTGTACCCTTCTTGACAACATATGTTTCAATCTTGTCCGCAACGGCGCCGTCAAGGCCCTTCTCCTCGACCATCTCCTTCCGGACATCGGCCCAGGGCATCTTGTCCAGCTTGTCCACCGCGCTAGAAATCGGGCGGATCTTTTCTGCTGGCACGCCACACACCTCGAAGACACCATCCAAGATCTTCCGGTGGTTGATCTTGATGCTATAACGACCCTGCCATCCAAGCCCCTCGAACACTTCGGTGACGATCTTGAGGACCTCGGCATCGGGGACCATCGGGTCGAAGGTACCAGCGACATCGAAGTCACACTGATAGAACTCCCTCATGCGACCCTTGCTGACGGCGGGCTGATCCCGTCGATACACCTTGGCAATGTGGTAGCGCTTCATGCTGCGCACGTCGGGGTTCATGGCGAGCCAACGGGCAAAGGGAACGGTCAAATCGTAGCGGAGGGAGCAGATCTCACCACCCTGGTCCTGCAGGTCGTAGATGAGCTTGGAGTCCTCGCCATATTTTCCGGCGAGAATCTCGCGCAGCTCGAAGACGGGGGTGTCCAGCGCGGTGCCGCCGTGACGCTTGAAGACATCGGCAATGGTGGTGAAGATGCGATCGCGGAGGAGGGCATCGGACCCAGACCAATCCTTGGTGCCCTTAGGGGTCTTGAGGTTGAAGTTGATCTTTTCCTTACCCATCGTGTCTACCGAGCGCGACTCACTGAGGTTGGAGGAGGAGGAAGACGAAGAAGAGTGGCGGTAGTGGGGGATGGTGGGGTCGTGAGTCCTACTAGTACTAAGAATATTAATCTTCTGGATTGTTGGGCGGACGGCCGCTGTCGCTGTCAGGGCCCGACGACGGAGGCTGACGACTCCCGGGGTGGCAATTGCTCGTCGTGCTGAGCGCAGAAGGCCGGATGAGAGAGTGGTCTTCATCCAAGACGGTGGGAATGTACTTTCGAAGCAATTCCTATCGCATGAGTCAAGTCGACTTTCTGGTTCCGAGCCTGTGATTGGACCCTTTGCTTTGCTGTTTCTGTTTTTCTTTGAACGTGACGACTGGATCGGGTATGTTTCGCCGCCTCCGATGCCGTTCTCTATTAGGAAGTTAGGGCTCAGACTCAGGGCAAGTCACATGGCGCATGAAGGTATCTCTCGATTAATTCCAGGTAAATATAAATACATAGCATCTAAAAAATAGTCAAGTGAAGTTCATTTCACGCCCTAGTAGATGCCCACTCATGATCAGTTATGATCACTCCGCCAACCAAGATCCCCTTACACCACCGCAATCCACCCCCTCGGTCCAGTCCGGTGAGAATTACATAACCTGCAATCCATTAGCATGAGAGTCCCCCCAAAAGAGATTGGGAACGCTGCCTACCTCTGCGATGGACTGTCTCTCGATGATCGACTTCTGCTTCTCATTTCGAGACACCCGGTAGTAGTAATCGCTAAAGTCTCCGCACTGCATATACCGCAGGAATTCCTCGTCGTGCGTGATCACAATGAGCTGGAAATTACTCTGCGCCTGACGGGTGCGAATGATATCATGGAGGGACTCGGCCAAGGACCGGATATTGTCCCGGTCAAGATTCGTCGTCGGCTCGTCCAGCGCGATGAGGCCGCAGTTGACCCCAAAGCATTCGGCGAGAGCCAAGCGAATAATGATACTTGCGAGCACCTTTTGTCCCGCACTGCAGCGTCCACGCATGTCCATTTCCGCACCCTGCTTGACCATGCAGACTCGGTAGTTATAAGACTGGTTACCCTTGGCATTTTCATTATCGGAGCGGATAAGGATAGTATCAACGTCAGTGCCTCGGTACGTCTTCTGCCAGAGTTCTCCGATAATGGCATTGATCTCCTCCATCTTTAAGCCATGGTATTTCATGATGGCTTTATCCAGGGCTCCTCCGTAGCGAGCCAAGTCATCCACCGCCGCTTTAGTAGTCTCCACCTTGATGTGTGCTTCCTTGTATTTGGACGCCGCATCTTTATAGTCCGTGTTCCAGTCGGCGAGAAGCTGCATCAGTTGATCGTCTTTAGATTTCATCTCACCCATCCTGCCGGCTTGCTTTGCAGCGAGTGCGTTATGTTCGCGGGTCCGACGTTCTGACTCGTCTTTGAACCGACTCCGATCAACCTCTGCGTTCTGGGCTGCTAACTGTTCGATCTCCTGTGTGACCTCATCAAGCGCCCTATTTGCTTGACGATACGTGAGATTATCCGCATATTGACGCTTGGTGTTCTCGCTATCCTTCAGCTGGGAAGATATCTTGTTGATCTCTTTCGTGATATCCGCCTGTTCGGCTTCGAGCTGGCCAATCTGCTTCTCGATTTGCTCGAGTTCGCGCTTACTGCGTTCCAGTTGAGTCGGACCTCCCCGTTCATTATATGCATCAATCTCTTCGTTTGCCAGCTCTAGCTGATGTACACTTTCCGACATCTGAGAGATGGTTTGTTGCAGGTCTCTTTCGCGTGCCTCGGCCCGCTGGCTAATATCATCGTACTTAGCCTGGACCTTGAGAAGCTCAGGGGTCAAATCCTCAATATCCCTATCAGCTTTTGCGATTGCTTCTCGTTGTTGGTTGTTGAGATTTTTGTATTCTTCAATACGAGTGAGCAGGTCGGACTTTCTTTCTAATTGGAATTTCGCATTGTCGAGATTACTCTTCACATCTCTTAGTTGCAATTCCAGATTGTTGATCTCCGACTGTGTCTGCTCTTTGTCATGTGTGAGCTTCGACAGATTCTTCTTCAAAGCCCTGGACTTTTCACCAATCGCCGCTATCTCATCTTGAATATCCTCGAGCGTGCGTGCAGAGGTAGTATCCTGCTGTTTAGAGGAAAGGTCTTGTATCTGGGAACGGATGGACTTCAATTCACCATCATACCGGACGATCGTGTTAACCGTTTTGGAGAGAGCTTCGACATCTCTTTTCTTTTCAGTTTTTTCGCTGACAATCTTGTCGCGATCCTCCAACTGGTTGAGAAGCTCATCACGCTGTAATACGTATTGTTCCTCTTCCTTTTCCAGCTCCGGGATTTCCGTCTGCTGAAGACGGGACCATGTATCGTAAGAACTGCTGGCTGCGCGTGCAGCCTCAAGGTCCTCTTCTAAGTTCTTCACATCTTCGTCATCGGCATCTCTTTTAGCCTTCTTAACCAAATTTTCCAATTTGTTTCTGAAGGTCTGCAGCTCGGCATCATTCTTGAAGCCTCGATGGCACAGCCTACATACCTTCGACTGTTTTACAGTTTCCAGACAAGTTGCCATATACTCACCGATTCCAGCATATTGCTCAGCATCCTTTCTCGCAATATCAAGCTGTGCTTGTCGTTGCTTGAGAACTTCGGGAAATTCCTCGGGTTCGTCATTGATAGCTTCACGGATCTCCTCGATGCATTCTTTTAGCGTCTTCTGTCGTTGCCCTAAAATCTTCTTGGCATTCTTAAGTCTGAATTCCACTTGTTCTAGTTCCCTGCTGACGCCGTCTCGTTCGTTTTCAGCGCGCGACACCTGCTTGGATTCTTCTTCCAGTACATTATGGAATTCCTGCTCCAGAGTATCAGGTTTCCAGTCTTGGCTGACGAGTTTAGAGAGACGTTCGCCGTGAGCGCCCTGCATAGTTTCCAGGCTGCGCTCCCGCTCCTTAAATTCCTTCTTTAGATGATCCAATCGTGCCAAGTCACCGGCCCGTTTAGTCGCATCGATGAGTTCCGAGTTCAAGCGCGAACTTTCATCTTCAAGGCCTCGGATCTCAGAATTGATGTCATGGATTTCTTTGTCCCACGAAGCAGATTTTGCTCGCTCCTTAGCTTGACCCAGGTGCGACTGAATGTCTTCAATGTTGGCTTCAAGCGCCGCTTGGACACCTTCATCCACGTTGATTTCATTAAGCTTTCCTTGATAGGTGGTCGACTCCTTGTCATTCGCAGCTATCTGACGCTTAGCAGCATTCTTGGTTTCCTGCAATGCCGACTTTTGCTGTGCAATATCGTTCAGAGCCGTTTGCACTTCGTGCAGTTCGCCTTGTGCCTCCCGCTTGACCCGCTCGAGGGTCTGGTTCTGATCTTTCAGTAACTTTCTGACCTTCCTCATGAATTCATCGACATCACCCTGGTCCTGAATGTTGTCAAATCCCCGAATATTGTTGCTACGTGCGATTTCTTTGGTCATCCTTTGTCTCCGTTCAACCTGCCGCTCAAAATTGGCTTTGTCATGCTCAAACTTGCCGTATTCTGCTTGTTTGACACCTAGCTTTTGCCGCGTCCGCTCTATCTGCTCTTTGATCTCCATGTAGTTCTCCTTTTGAGCCTCTTCTTGCTGTTCATACTGAAGCTGCTTGGACTCGAACTGCTCCAGATTTGACTGTAACCATTCGTCCGAATCGTCAAGCTCGACGAGGTGTCTTTTCAAATTATCAATCGTTGATTGAATACTTTTTGCCTCAATACGCTTTCCTTCTAGAGTACCAAGGACTTGGGCGTAGCTTTCCGACTCTCGCCATGCTTTATCGGCTAGCTCAGCAACACGTCGCATCTCCTGAGAAAGCTGATGTGTCTCATCACGTAAGGCTTCAATCTCTTCTTGTAGCTTAATCGATCGCTTTTCTGCTCGGTCCGCTTTCTCCTTGTCCTCCTTAGCGTGTTGTTCCATGATCTTGTATTTGGCAAGTTCTTCGTTCTGCTTCTTCCTCAGAGCTTTGATATTGTCAATAGCCTTTGTGTACTTCATCGCTTCAAAGATCTCGTCGAACTTTTTCTTCAGAACTGAAGGTTCACTCATAGGCCACAAGCTCTCGTCTTGGTGGCAGAAAATCACAGAATCTAAGATGGCCTTGGAGACCCCGAGGTACTGAGGCATGATCTGATCCAGCTCCGCAACTCTCGACGAGATAGCTGTCCTTTCACCATCTTTGATCATCAGCAGCTGGCCTTCTAGCGTCTTCTGCTGCCGGGTAGTTTTCTTCACGGTAAGTTGTAGACTCCGTGTAGATACCATCTTCGCACCCGATGTGCCCTTGAACGACAGCTTCACTTGAGCCAAGACCTCTTTCTCCCCACATAGCTTCGGGTCATGGATGAAGGCACCGCCCTTGCTGTTTGGCGGGAGGTCGCCGGTGGTGGCGTATTTGAGACATTCGATAATCGTCTAAGGTCCGATTAGTGGAAGTGTTGCTGCTTCAGTTGGTCTGGATATTCCCGTACTGTCTTTCCTGATCCATTGTATCCGACGATCAACGTAAGAGGGGTGTGGAACTGGATGGTTTCGCTGCGGGTGTTGTCGAAGGAGCGAACTCTAAAGCAAGGAAAACAATGAATCAGCGATCGGTGACGAGAATCCTTCGGGAAATATTCTTACCCCAGAATTGAAAGCTTATCTATCTTCGCTGGTATGGGTCAGTATATTAGATTCATCGCCCCGCAGTCGATCGCCGCACCACTTACACCTGCTCGTTTGTCAGTGCAAGACGGGGGACAGGACCACAACACCCGACTCACATCTTGAGGGTGACGCGTAACCACACGTGGGGAAATAGACGTTGGGCTAGAAGGACGAGGTCCCCCGTTTATCCTTTAAATGACCTCGTTCTTCCTAAGTGCCCTGGAGATAGTACTGCACGACCAGCGTCTTCGGGGACTTCGGAGAAGCAGGTCAGCGTTCGGCACTTGATGCTGCGCGTCACGGGCACTAAGAGCTGACGCGGGGAAGCGGCGCGCGATCACGTGGTGGCGATACCAACTAAAGTCGGGAATTAAATTGAATTTAGGAAGTACTTTTGACAGATGTCAAGCCGCCCGTCATGTGCTCAGGTACTATACTCTCTTACCCACAATAGGAAATGATGGCTCTCGTACATATAGCCAAAGGGCGTCAGCTGGTTGGTACCAATTGAATCCTTATCATTGCCTGGGACCCCTGAGTGCCAGCAGTGGACGAGAAGTGTCGGTCCTGTTGAACGGTGGACCATATCTCATTGGCGCGGCGAGTGGGCCCTCCGGCATCGTTATACAGCACCGGAATTGACAGCTCTATCGCAGCCTTAGTGGCTCGTGTATCTTGCAATCCCACGGTGGCCATTCCTCATGTCCGAGAGAATATTTCCTCTCCGCAAAAACATCGTTGGTTTCCCTGGTGCCAACGATGGATTGGACCGCTGCCGAACACGAGAGTGGGGTAACGCAGAATCATCAGCACAGAATGCAGGCCGAGGATCATGATTCTTTTACAAGAGATGTTCAAAAACTTCCACTACCGCCGGCCGGCATTGCGGGCGCGCAGGCCTCATCCGACCCGGCAGATGAACAGGGCTGGCCGCAGCGTGTGTTGACCGAGATGAAAGATATGCTACTACTTCTCGGCCCCGATGGCATGATCTTATATGCATCGCCATCTTGCAAGTCCATCACCGGCTACGACGCAAACCAACTACAGCAGAACGCTTTGGAGCGCTTTATACACAATGATGATAGGACTATGTTTGCCGAGGAGATCAAAGAGTGTATCACGACGACTCGTCCAGTGTTTTGCCATTTCCGGTTTCGCAAGAAAGACAACAATAGCAATACATCTTGTCTCTTGGAGGCACATGGTCACCCGCATATGGAAATGTCCAAACCGAACGACGGTTCCGAAAACCCAGATCAGGATTGCATTGGCGTTTTTCTTCTGTGCCGACCTTATCCCACGCGGGGCTCTCAGCTGATCGACTCATTTCTGGAGCATAAAATCGAGAACGTGCGACTCAACCGGCGCATAGCACAGCTAAGGCAGGAAGAAGAGGAAGAAGACTTGGCATCAGGGCAACAGTTTTATGCAGGCGACTCCACGGGCGATTCCTCCTCCCGCCACAATTCCCATTCAGGCCGATCCAATTCCAATCTGTCATCGTTCCGCGAAACCACTGGGTCTGGTGAGGAGAACGAGTCATCTGATACACTCACAAACGATGATCCCGACTCCCGGTCGTACCTGGAGAATGCTGCCGACAGACTTGCCCAAGCGGAGGACATGTCTCATATCGAGGGAATCGAGATGCTGACGGGTCTACACTACGGTGATGGTGAACGTTCCCAGGGGCTTAGCACTGGCGTTCGCCAGGGTCGCCTCATCCACTATGATATGGAATCTGCCAAGCTAGACCAGCAGGCCCGCGTCATTCCGGACGGCGATCGAAAGAAAAGACAGAAGGGTGAATATATGTGTACCGATTGCGGAACCTCAGACTCTCCTGAGTGGAGAAAAGGACCTGAGGGACCCAAGACTCTGTGTAATGCATGCGGATGTAAGTTGCCAGTCCATGCACCCTTTCTTCCTCTTCATCGCAAGTATCCAGACTAATGGCATATCCAGTACGCTGGGCCAAAAAGGAAAAGAAACGACAAGATAAAGTTTAGCCACCACCACTACGTGGAATCGGCAATACCTGTAACATTGTACTCCTCGTTCCTGCATTGCGAAACATGTTCCTGCGGCGATACCCCCTGCATTTTGCTCCGTCCTACTATTTATTTTTCGTGAGCAATGTATATCCCGGCGTTGTTCGATGGTGACGGCAAATTCTTTCCAGCAGTTGTGCTGTGAGAGAACTATGTATGGTCCAAGTTTTGGAACTTAAGAGACTTATGGATACCTAAGGCTCTCTTCCGGTTTACTATCTTTTTTGTATTCAATCAGATTGGAAGTGGGCATGATTAGCCAGTCAGCTATGGCAGTTGCTCTTGTCGCGATAATGGTATAATGAACAGATGACAGCTAGGGAAAATGACATGAAAAGAAAAGGTCCAAACATAATACGTGAGCATTCATGAGTTCCTCCTGCCAGTGCCCTAACGAGGACTAAAAAACACCCGGTTCATGCAAATCGATCGCTAAGCGGGAAGTGAGATAGAAATATAAGTGGCTCTCATATGAGCGTGTTGATATTAGATTTTCAAGGGCAGTTTACGGACTTCCAAGTACATTCACACCTTAGCCGCCTTCTTAGGAGGTGGCGGAAAGTACATCTGAGGTTGGTTCCCCGGTGCCAAGGTTTCCGATGACTCTTGCTGTTTTGGCGGACGAGGGTTTGGTGTGCTGAAATGGTCCCGGAGCGGGAGATCCGACGATCCACTCCCGAAGGTACTGAATTCAGGGCTTCGTGACGACATGGTAGGCATCATCTGCGTAGCACCCCCTGAAGGCAGCGCAGGACTCATCATGGGGAACGTTCTGGGGGTTCTGAGAACCATATCTTCGTACTCCTTCATGGTTCTCTTTTCTTCGCGGCGTTCATCGCGCTCTGCCTTTTCCTCCTTGGTCAAGAAGCAGGAGGAGTGGAGGCTCACGATGATTTCGACAAAATAAAGAACACTATGAATATAATATCAGTTACCTTGGGCTAAGGGGCGAAACATTCATTTTAATGTTAGGTGCCACCCACATGATAATGATAGTAAAACCAAAGAGCGCCTTGGCTTGTTGGCAATAGCCGATATTATCTTTATTCGAAGCAACACTGCACGACTTCGTAATATACCATGGCGGGCCAGATTGTATATGCTTAGGATCCGACTTGTCAGAACCAGCTTGATAACTGGCCGACACGATATATACGATGAACAGTCCCACGTGGACGAACACTGACAAAGGGGGGTAAAAAATCCGCAGGATATGGAGAGGGAGTTTGGTTATCAAAATGAAGGTGCTCAAAACACCGAGGACTAGATTGTAATTCGTTATGCTACAATGTTATTAGTGATTGTTGCACGATTCAGACCAAATCATTTGTAAGGCAAAGGACTAATACATACAAAGAGCCCCAGACCATAGGAACTTTATAGGGCCTATGATTCGCGGCAGCATAGAGAATCTCATCGGGAGAACTGTTGAAGCCATTGTCTGCTCCATCTTGCCATAATTTGGTCCGGTATAGATCGTGGGACGCAATCCCAGTGAATGTGAGGATGACAATAGTAATGGGAAGCTCAATAGCCATCAGAATATAAAAGAGGTTTTGTTTGCGCCATTTTCGTGGTAAGTAAACCATGATGCCGATTGTATATTTGTTTTCGCGAAGATACAAGTTCCCGTGGTTTGGCGGATCAGTAGCGTATACAACGTAGGTAGAGAATTTGCGCCGTGAGCTTGTGTCCGTGAACAGTTACGCTGTGGCCAGACCGGCTGGCTGGGCATTCAACTCAGTCGCATCAAACGGCCAAAGACATAAAGCACAAAGAGACAGGAGGAAGACAGCTGTCAGAGAAAGGCTTGGAGGATCAGCCGGGACGAAGCCGTAAATATGGAGTAGAACGCACCCAGGTCGCCAGGGCCAACCTCTATGGCCCATGGCGAGGGTCAAAAGAGGGGCACTAGCACCTCGAGTCGGCGACAAAATTCCAAAGAAACTCTCGAGCAACGCAAGTTGACTGTTGCTCAAGATGCATCTGGCCAATGCTTGCCGCCAGGGAAGCGCCAACACCAGCCGGGGCTCGGGTGCACATCACCAATAAGATGGCCAAGGTGGAAGATTGGCTGCCGGCCGTCACACACTAGGCCGTGTGATGGAGTTATTGATCTGCATGGTTGAGCAACAGACTGGCACCACTGGCTAGTTTGTAAATTTGTCTATAGTGCCGCAGGAATTCATAGTTTCCTTCGACTGTCCTGTTAGAGAGCAAAGCGCTGGAGTGGGGAGTCTAAACATTAGCCAGTGTGCTTCTGTGATTCCACATGCATAACAAAATCAGGTGCGAGGGAAAATACTAAGTACCCAAAGAAAGTGTGCTTATTTCCTGCTTCATTTGAGAATATCTTGTTGTAACAACATCTTCTGGCACAGAAGTGAGTGAAAAGGATGAAAAGTGGATGTAATCGTAGTAGTTGGTTAAAAGTGTCTGTATGTATTGTATTAGTAACCGACGTCATTGAATGTAAATGTCACTTGATCTCCAAAGTTCAACGTCAACCCACGTCTTTTTCTATCACACATCTCTACAAGGATTCGAAAACGAGGAACCTGAATGCTCTAGCACCAATCATACCAAATGCACTCATAAGTGGGTATATCTCTTCACTAGGTACCACATGCGACCCCTCCAACTCTTGCGTTGCCGCCAACTCCATAAGCCACCACCCAACCTCAACCTGTTGCATAAGCGCCGTCCGTCGGTGATTCTGCACGAAATGAGCTCCCTGGCCAGTAAAAAGGCGTCGGTGCCTCATAAATTGCGCACCGCAGCAGAACCCCGGCAAAATATTCTGTACAATGTGCGGTTGTCACATATCGAAGAGGTCAATCCTACCATACGGCTGCTGCACTTGACCATCCCACCGCGGGTGCAAGCTCTAGAGGAACCAAATCAGAATGACGAAGAGGTATAATATCTTCAATTAATTATTACTTTCCAATCAATGAGTTCTGTCACGGGTTTACCAACGGTTCTCCAGTACTGATACTTGGGTCCCACTAAGTTGCCCATGTTCTCAAGAGCCACAGTTACTTGGAACATATACTAACACCATAACAGTCTGATCAACCTCAGCCATTCACCTTCACCCCTGGTCAATGGCTAGATGTGCACATCCCGTCTATATCCGATGCCGGGGGCTTTAGTATCACCTCAACACCCGCAGATGCTGAACCCCTCCCCTCTCTCCAGCCCACGGCGGAGTCACTTGCCGTGGAAGACGAGGAAACAGGTCTCCCTCCCGTAGACCCAAGAGGCAGAGACCCGTACGTGGAACTAGCCGTTCAAAAGGCACTCTCCAATCCTGCCAGCGCCTGGCTTTGGAAACCCAAAGATGAAATTCTGGGAAAGGAGCTGTGCATCCGAGTCGGGGGCAGCTTTATCTGGCCTCCTCCATCGGGGATAGACCTCGAAAAGGTCAAGAACGTAGTTCTCATCGCTGGGGGAGTGGGTATCAAGTAAGTCACTAGCGCTACTGACTACAACATGGGATATTTATCCAGTATACTTCAATATCAACATGCTAACCAAAACCCAAGTCCATTAATCTCCATCCTCTCACATTTAAATAACAATGCCGACGAGACCCCAGCTTCACATCACCCTTTCAATATCAACTTTCTCTATTCTACTAAACTCCCAGAAGCCACATCCCCGGAGGCCCCTGAAACTGTCTTGGATCAGATCCTCTTTCTCTCTCGTCTCCGTCAGATCATTCGTTCCCAGTCTCAATCTCATCGGTTACGTATAACTCTCGATCTGTTTCTTACCAACTTACGAGATGCATCGTCACCACTTCTACTAGAACAGCCCGATGACTTGAGTATTCACCCACGGAGAATCAATCATGAGGATCTGCGTACGGCTCTTACCGGCCCGAATGGAGATATCCAGCCTGAGGAGACGGTTTGTTATATGTGCGGTCCGCCTGCGATGACTGATGAGTTTGTCGCTGCTCTTCGAGATCTCATGGGTGATGGGAGTGATCGTGTTCTCTTCGAGAAATGGTGGTAGGGAGCTTATAGATAGTAAATGCCACTTGGAGCCCTCTATACGAGCACGTATGAAATATCTAAAGAGGTTCATTTACCCATGAGAAACCTACACAGCGTTCCTAATACATGGATAGTGGTGAGAATATATGTATGAATAGGCAAGTAGCAAACAAAGAATAGCATTCTTTTAATGATTCCTTCGGTCTCGTACTCCACAAATCAAAACCCCCCCCCCCCCAGCCGACGCCCTCCAGAGCCAGTATATGTTGACATCCTCACACTATACAAAGATAATATAAACAACACAAGAGTAGAATGTAAAAGAGTGGGGGGTAGAAAGAAACAGAGGGCATGCCGGCATTGGTAACAATATGTTGTAAAGAAGGTTAGACCACGCAGTCAAAGAAGCTGAGGGACAGTAGGTCTTTTTCTCAAATCCAGAACGTGAAATGAAATGCACCGTGATTGTTCATCTTTTCATTACAGCCCTCTCACGGCACCACCGTCAACTATCATCTGTTCATCGATCTTAGCCTCTGTTTCACCATACTCAAGTCGCTTATATGTCATAACCCGCCCGGCATTCATGTCAAAGTCAAAGAACCTCACACGCCGGACATAATCTTTATAGCCTCCATAGCCTCCGAATCCAACACCTCCTCCATAACACATCCAGAGCGACGGCTTCTCGTCTTTATTGTTGTTAAGCATGCAATAGTCATTGACGTGGTCACTACAAGTCCATTCATTAGTAACAGAGACATCACCGATTGGGCAAAACAGGGTTGGACTTACTGTCCACAGCTAACAAAAAGGATACCCTCCTCTTCGAGTGCATCCTTGAATCCTGAATTGAATCCTGGAGCGGTCGGGGGCTCGTCCCAATTGCCAATGAACAGATTATTTGGGTCACGGTATTCGGGCAACGGAATATGAATGAATGCCATGTTCATGTGCATGTATGCATATTCATGGTGTTTCCTCTTAAGGCCTTGGGCAGTGTTCTTGAACCAGCGGATCTGGCTGGGTTTGATCCAGTCATAACCTCGGAATTGTCGTTCATCTGGCGAATATGAATGCGAATCAAGAAGATAAAGAGTCAGAGCCGAGTGTGCGCTAGTACCACGACCAAGAACCTCGACGATGTAGTTACCAACACCGTCGATATCCTCGGGGCCAGCCGACGACAATGAATACGGCAGTTGCTCTAACATGGCCATAAGCTCCGACCGGTTGAGGTTGCCTTCGTCGTCATGGTTGCCAAAAATAGCTGCATAGGGGATCTTGCGATCCACAAGCAGCTTGACAGACTTGAAAAGCGCACTTTGTGCATCCTTAGAGGTTTCGCCATTTACCTGGTCGCCAGTGAGGACCACCATATCGGGCTTCTCTTCATCAAGGAGCCTCTCCACAAACTCAAGTGTCCGCGGGTCGGCCTCACACTTCTGGCCAGGAACAGGTTCCACTGGGATAGGGTCACGGCATGATCCAAGACCGGTACTCAAATGCAAATCAGCCAGCTGCATAATCTTAAAGCGACCATGTTCATTGATCCTGGGAACTGGCTTTTTCATCTTCTGAGGATCTCCCCTCTGAATACTGATACGGGCTTCCAATTCCTCCGTCCGACTATCCAGCAGCAGCGGCGTATCTCTGATCTCCCAGCCAATCCGCGGGTCCACCGCATCGGCACCGAAAAGGACATCGACTAAGGTGATCGCAGTCTGCGAATCACTCGCGTGGCGCTTGGCTGTTCGTCTCAGCCAAATGCCACCTGGTCTCGGCTCCCACGTGGCTTCATCTTTCTCCCCATCCTTAGTATCTTCGGCGGTCTCCGGAACAAGCCGACTAATCTTTAAATCAATCACAACTTTGTCCGTAGGAAGTAGGTCCTCCTCCTTTTTCCGCTCAAATTGGACAAAGGCGGTGGACGTCCAACCTGTGCGCAAATAAAGATCCTTGTCGACTTGTGTCCATGACTTCGAAATGGGATTGCATTTGGAGAAGGGATTGATATGCGAGCACGATTTTATGGTCACATCCGTAACGACGAGTCCTGAATAGTGCGAAGGGAGGTGGCCATGAATAGCGTTAGGTAGGACGCGAAACCGGTTATCTAGAGTTACGACGAAAACCAGTATACAAACAGCAAATACTGCGAGTTGTACACCCGCGCGAACCTATAAGACGACAGGTTAGACACCCAAACATCGCACACAAGCTATAGAAACCGAGGCGAGGGAGCATACAAATCGGCGTGTCATGTTGGTAGTGAAAACCCCTGGCAAGTTCCAAATCGATGAAAAACTGCCGAGCGCTGAAGCATGATGAAGTATAGCAGGCCACAAAAGAAGAGTTGGGGGCTCGCCACAGAGAAGACCTAACACTAGGTCATCTCAAGGGGCCGTAAAATGGAGGATAAAGCAAATCAGCTGGACCGAAATTCCCCCGTATTTTGAAGGGTCGCCGCAAATCCCGCCAAGTCTAGAAGGCGGTCACGCCCACCCTGACCGAGGCGATCGAGCCCTGTGGGTCCATGGGCCTGTCATCAGTGGCCAGAAGTCTAATATCAGGAAATTACTATGAATCAGGGTGCTCACTATCTCATGGTTCTACAACGATAGATTTAGTATCTATGGGGCCCTCTCTCTATATTTATAAATCCAACGGACTCGCCGTTAGCACGAACAGTTGTCTATCCTTAGTTCCTCTCTTTCTGGACGGTTTCGAGTCCTTCCTGGGCCACCTTCTTGATTGTGACCTTGCCGCTCAGGATGTCCTTTGTTGTGGCGAGGATTGAGGACCAGTTCTCAAAGATCGTGAAAGGTGTTCCTTGACGCTCGCAGTAGGTCACCAGATCTAAAAATAGTCAGCTCCCTGAAGAGGACGGAAAAAGCAACAAGAAAACCTCCAGAAAAAAAAAAAAAAATAAAAAATAAAAATAAAAAATAAAAAACGCACCCCTTCCTTTCTTAGCAAACAAAAGATCGGTCTCCGAAGCAGCAGACAAGTCCGAGACGCCGTCTCCCGCATATAATAGGGTCGGGCGTACGTTGTCCGGCAGAGCGGCATAGGGTTTAATCTCCAGGGATTTGTCGTGGCCGAAATGGCTATCATCGTGATACTTAATCTGCCAGCCGCCCTCGGTGTTAATATCCTTGCCATCGCGGCTTTCCACATCGTTGGCGACAATAACAAGGTGGTCATCGGGCTTATGTCCTAGCAGAGTTTCGAACAGGGCGCTAATAACCGGGGTCATGCCAGATGACAATACTACAATTGGCACATTGTTTTGCTTGGACCAATGGTAGAATTCGATAAAGTATGGGTCGAGCTGCATGTTCTTTTTCAATTGCTCGATGCATTCATTGAAGGGAACCTTGACGCTGTCTAGCATTTCGCGGAAGGCATTCCTAACAGCAGATGGGTTAATAGACTGTGCCTCGAGGAGGTCACCTATCACCGCGATACTTACCGGAAGCTAACTTTGTTCTCCAAGACGTCAAGGTTCCCTTGACGGCGTTTTGCTTGTCCATAACCGAGGTTGTCAGTCTAGGTCAAGGCCAATTAGCTCGGAGTCCTGTAACGGGTTCTGGGAAGACAAGTACCAAGAAGTCATTGCTGTCCTGGAGCGTAATGGTCCCATCAAAGTCCGTGAAGAAGATGATCTTGGGGTTAGTCTTCATATAAGGGAGATTTGAAGCGCTCATTGTGACGGTGTATGAGAGTGATTACACGGAGCAAAAGTTATTTAATAGAAGTGACGGCGAAGACAAGGAATAACCGGGTAGATTTATTTCTTTTTAGAGAAAATAGAGAAGAATAGAAAAAGTCTGGGAGGGAAGTAAAGCTAAAAGGATACGGCCTTCATTGTCATCCCACCGGTGAAGAGGAAAAGGAAGAGAAGCCAGGACAAGAACCCCGCGATGTGGCTATACTCGATCTGTTTAGTAGTTCAGCCATCGTGCAGTGTTTAAAGTTGCCTGATTGAACAGAAGTGGTGCCTGAGCGGCGGTTCACTATTATTTAGTACGGAGTAAACCGCACTAAACCAGTTTCTGGGAATTATGCGGAGTAAAAAAAGAGAGAAATTTACCCGTTGATGTAATATCTGATATCACGCTATCTGATATATGGGGCCTTAATTTTTTTTTTTTTTTATTTTTTATTTTTTTTATAGCCGACCCGAAGACTAATTCCGGGAAAAGAACATCAAATCCAGTCTATAAGATCTTCCCACGTCATACGGCCATTTGGATCTAATTGAGATTGAATGGCTCGTATGCTTCAATCGCTGCGGCGAGCCTTGGGACTGACTTCTCCCAAGCCAGTCCCTGCGTTCCGTAGGTCTATCGATACGGATTTCTCCTTCTTTCGAGGTATGCTTCTTCTCCACGGTCCTGTCGCATTGTTACGTTCATCCTTAATAACCAAAATTGAATCGATTAGAGGGAGACCGAGCCATCGTCCATGGCAAAACCCCATCGTTGACGAAACCCCTGCAGCAGGGTCAGAAAACAGATCTCCGGCGTGGGTACCTAGAGCATAACAACATCATCGGTCGGCGAGTCCGCGAACGAATTCAGGCGCAGAAAGGTCAGCATAACTTCAATTGGTCTCGAACGGACGTGAAAAGACAAATCAAAGCCTAACATCATCTCCCACCCCAACTACAGGCCCTGAATATCGACTCACACTCCCTACGCTGGACGAATATGTTGCCCTGACGCCTCGCTTGGTAACACCGGTATGAATGCGATCTTTCACCATTCACAGCTCCGCTGCTGCCCAGATGGTTAATACTGTGCCGGTAGATCTACGCCGCGGACGCCAACCTCATCGTCTCCCTACTCGATATCCACGTAGCGCCTCCAGCCGAAGGAGATGAACACGCTCAACAGCCTCTCGAAATCCTCGAGTCCGGAACCGGTCATGGTTCCCTAACACTGCACCTGGCACGCGCAATTCAAGCAGCAAACCCAACACCCCCGCCCCTACCAGCTCAATCCCAAATCCAATACCTCCAAGGCCGACCCGTACGACCAGACGAGGGACCAGAAGGAAAGAACAAAGAAAGCACACCCAATAACGACACACCCGTCGTCCCAATCCAGCAACAATGGGATGCCTGGAGGACCCAACGCAGAGCCATAATCCACACCGTGGACGTATCCCCAAAATTCTCCGCCCTTGCTGAAAAAACTGTTCGCGGTTTCCGACGGGGTCTCTACGCAGGCAACGTCGATTTCTACGTGGGCCACGTCGAGAACTGGATAACAGAGCAGAAACGACTTCGCACTCCAACTAGTCTTCTATCGCTAACGCAGAAAACGGCCGACCCGTTCCTCTCATATGCGATTCTGGATATGCCAGCCGCGCACCAGCGCATCCCCCACGTGGCCCCGATCCTAAAGGAAAACGGCGTTCTCGCTGTCTTCATGCCCAGTATCACCCAGATCGGCGATTGCGTGGATCTGATCCGTCGGCAGAAGTTGCCATTCATCCTAGAGAAGGTCGTTGAGCTGGGTCCCGGTATCAGCAGTGGACGTCAGTGGGACGTCCGCTTTGCGGTGAAGAAGTCTCGCGCGGATCCCTCGTCATGGACTGAGTCCTCTGAAATGAGTGAAGGGTCGGTCCAGCAGGATCGGGAGGCTCTTGACGAAGGTGCCGTGGAGAGTGTCTCTACCCCGGAGGAAGCGCCCAAGGAGGAAGATAGTGTGCTTGTTTGCCGGCCGAAGGTCGGAGCCCGTATCGTGGGTGGAGGGTTTGTTGGAGTATGGAGACGGATAGAGGATTCCCAGAAACAGTGAATCGCTTTTAGTTTGGATACCCCCGTTTGTAACATCAACCGCCGCTGTACTATATCAAAGACTCATGTAGAGATAGATGCATCTACTTCCCTTAACAAAAGCTCGTCTCTCTATGCTTGATTGCTAGCAATATTCTGAATATCAAATGAACCACTGTTTAATATATCAAGAAAATTTACCTCGACATCGAGCATCCATAGTACACTTATCGTCCGTCCTCTACTCACTCGGAGACGCTGTGTAAGACCTCACGGCTATATGACAACAAGCGATCAAAGAGAAACCCCCATTCGCCTAAGAATGAAATCATTGCAAAGAAGAGAAACGTCTTCATGACCCAACTACTCCAAGCCAGGTGACCTTCAGCCCCTCAACACCAAGTATGGAAGAAAAAACCACAGATGTGAGTAGAAATTCGACACGAGGGAAAGAGTAAGATCCTAGCACATGTAATGAGAAAGATATGAAACAGCCGCGCCGTTGAAAGCTACTTTCCAAGAAAATGATACGCAGGTTCAATTGCACGAACGCCTTCGGGCGACAGCAATGACAACAGATAAGACTCACAAGAATGTTAAAAGAGGAAATGAGCAAAGAAAAGAAAGCACTAGACGAACACCACAGACACGTGAAAAGCCCCCAAAGATTCCGAGATAACAAGACAAACCGGCTACGCAAACACCAGTCTCGTAAGATTCAGCATGCACCCATCCCTCAATTCCGTTGCGGTCCAAAATCCGCCTCCACAACCTTTCCCTTTTTCCCTTTAACAACAAACTCCGCAAATAATGCGATATGATCACTAGGAAAATGAAAGTTAGGGAACCCGGGAACCTTCTGTAGATAGTCCTTGTCCACCTCGCCGAGTAACGCCGAAACATGAAGCGTATTCGATGTAAACCAGATATAATCCAGAATATCCTTAAAATCAGGTGTATAGTTCGTGAAACTCAACTCGCCGATCGAGTTGTATGCGGATTTCAACTTGAACGGGTGGGTCATACCAACCCGGCTCAAGTTTCCATAAAGTCGCTTCTCGAGATCCGGATGCTCTTCCGACAGCCGTCCATTCGCAATCAGATTATACGCCGCGGACCCAGGTGATGAGTTGAAATCTCCACACATGAACAGAGGGATTTGGTCGCCACTGCTGTACTCCATGGATGGAGCGGGTTCCGGGGGAGTTTGCGCTTCACCACCCTCCGCTTCTGAAAAGCGGAATGCCGTCTTGTCGGTGCACGCAGGCCACTTTGCGTACGTCTCGGAGAGCTTCGTGATCTCTTCCATCAAAATAGCTGTTTGGATCAACTTGACATCCTTGAAGGCGGGGTCCCAATAGAGATGAGCGTTCACCACGATGAACCGGGAACCTGTGAGCCTGTTTTCAAGGAATACAACAACTGCAATGTGATCCTTCTGCCATAATCTGTTGTATATGTCATCCTGGCCCTTAGCATCAGGTCTCCGTACTGCTGTTTGGCCAAAGTTGATCATCTGCTTGTCAAGAAGAATAAATTTGGACCCTTTGAAGAAGGTAGCACAGCCATCGACAGACTTGGCATCTTCCTCCTGCATACCCATTGCTCTTCCTCGAGGCCAATATACACCCTTGTAACCGTTGTAGGCCAATTGTTCTCTGAAATAACCGTTGTAGCTACCTTGATCTACTTCCTGAAGGCAAACGATATCCGAGTCGTGAGACCTTAGCTCACTAAGGATGAGATCTCTTCTAAACTCCCACGACAGGGCACGAGAAGGAGTATATCCGAAGTGGGACTGTGTTGCAGATGAATCGCACAGCGCGTTGTGGGAAATGACGGTGATCTTCTCAGCGGAGGTGCCTGCAGTCTCATCAAGAATAACCCAATCTCTGTCTGGAGGAGGGGGGTTTTCTAAGGTGTATTCGTTAGCATCAATATAAACAAGTGTTTCCATTGACACAATTGAATGATTTCACAAACCTGGCATTTCTTCCCTCAGATACTTGATCAGAGCTCTGGTACCCTCCTTCATAATCTGAGACTTCAGAATATCGTTCAATGGGTTTCCCTCAATGCCCAACGTGTCCAACCGGTAAAGGTATCCCATTTCGTAAGGAAGCGTGCGAATATTGTTATCGAACAGGTAAAGCTTCTTCAGGCTCGTAAGCATGCCGATCTCCTCGGGAAGTTCGGTGAGGTCATTGCCCGAGAGATCCAGGTGTTCCAGCTTCCGCAGCTGGCCAATTGTCTGGGGTAGCGCCTTCAGTTTGTTGTGGTTTAGGTACAGCTCTTTCAGGAAATCGTAACTGAACAAAGACGTGGAGAGTGCCCGGAGTCCTTGTCCGCCGAAATCGAGGGCATACCAGCCCTGCCTTGGGGATGCTTTTACTTTCGTCAGCCCCTTCTTCACATCACCTCCGTTCTCCTGGGGTTCAGGCTGACTGGGAGCGATCTGGATGCCCTTCGTCTGCTGAGCGACGGCGCGGGCATAATAATGCGGGGAACTCGCCTGCCGCGATTCAGCGGCCAGCTGAAGCTGTTGTTGCCAATGTTCATTCATGGATTCATCGATATCTTCGTCAACGTTAGCATGAGCCCCATTCTGCATGTGGCTCGGGGTAAAGTGAGGAGTTGCGGCAGCCAACGCCCCGCTGGAGAAGTTGTGCTGGTGGTTGATATTGTGGGAGGCTTGGTTGTGGTGTGTGTGATGATGAGCTTGCTGTGCAGGGTGAGGATGGTGGCTCTGGGATTGAAACTTCGGCATCTGCATGCCGAAGCGTTGGTGAGCCTGGCCGCCATTCATCAGGACATGCTGCCCTTGGTGCGTCTGACTGTACATGGTGAATGGATTGAGCGCAGCTGCTTGACCAAGGGGAGGAGATCGTGAAGGCGATGGTGTGTCGTGGCTAAATTTCAGTCTTCCAGTCGGAGAATTCGTCCCGTTCCGGGCAAGGTGTCGTTGATGAGAAGGTTGTTGTTGTTGTTGCTGTTGTTGTTGTTGTTGCGTTTGAAAGAAGAACTGCCCGGCCCCAGGCTGCTGGAACCTGTAGGTACCATCTGCCATTTAACGTGGCAGATGAGACCGTGAGTTATTTGCTTGAGGGGGGGATTTGGAGACAGTGAGAGTCAACGACGCTGGAGGCAGAGCAGTGGCAGGAGAGCGAGGAGGAGTCGGGGACCGGGTTCGTTCTCTCCTTCTCTTCAACATGGGGTCCTGAAGCGGAACCGCCCCGAAACAAGGTGTCGCTCTGGAAATCACAACCGCAGCAATTCCACTACAAAATTGTCTGCTGTCAATCTCAGTCGCAACCGAAGGTCATGAAGCCTGACAGGTGACGTACGGTCGAACGATAGGGGCCGGCGTCGGACGAGCGAGAGTCAGAGCAACAAGTGGGGGAGGCGGTCTAGCGAGAAGCCTGGAGCGGAGTTAAACAGCGGCCCCAAGGACAATGAGGTCCAAACTATTTCACGAACGGCACGTATAAATCGGTGAACAGATGTATCTGAGGTGTCCAAGGCTTGTGGAGATGAATCCCTCGTCGCTTTGACGCTGCGAAGTGCTTTGCATCCAAGGCGGGAGTCGCTGGGATCACGTGGCCCCGGCATCCGAGGGCGTGATTCGCCGCCGCCGATCAGCCAAGACCGCCTTCAAGACGCCCGGATTTTGTTTCTTCTCACAACTTGTCGCTTTCAGCCATGTCCAGACCAGAAGACTCTGCTTCTACCAATCTCTCGTCCATGAATGGTAGCGGTTGTTCAACAAAATGTGGCTTCTAGTGAGGAACAGAATCCATCCCGGAACAATGACCTTTGTTGTTCCCGGTTCCATGGACCCTACCATGAAATCTGGAAGTGTTTACCTCGATTTATGATTTATCCACTTCCACCCCAATAGTCGGGTGGAACGGGCTTCCATCATAGTTACCAGCCCCCAACGTACCCTTTCTAGCCAACCAGCTCTACCCTCCAAGCTGATACTACAATACATCCCAGTCGCACATGGTTTGAAAACAAATACAATGGATGTGGGTTGAGCCAACCATCTTCCACTAGGGGGGAACTATAGTATCGCATGGTGTCTTGATCTCCGTCTTTAAACAAAGGATGAAGTCAACTGCGACCATATTGTGTGACCTTTCCTTTCAAAATATGCAGTTAAATCTGCAAGACTCAAACGCTGACTTAGTACCAACGCCCAATCAAAAGGCCCTTCCCTTTGTTGGTTCTGGTGGTTGCCTTGGAAATTGGGTTGTCCTTTATTACAGATGTGCCAACTTCCAATCTATATTTAGGGCACCTCATGTTCCTGCATTCATGTCACAGGCAGACAGCTGGTGCGAGGCCAAGAATCACCCTGCAAATGCAGATGAGTTTGAAATGGTTCCACAACCACCTTATGATCTATATAGGCACTCTAACGCTGAAGGTATCCTGAATTGTACACCACAATAACAGTAGAGAATACACTCAGAGGTAGCAATTAAGATCAATCTGAAGTAGTTCTACTATTTAAAAAAGTTTATACACATATTCTGCTCAAAGGGACACGCAAGCCTGGCCGACTATCATTTCCAAAGTGCATCATATGGCAACACAACCATCACACTAATTCCTCCTTAAATCAAGCCATCTCCAATGGTCAGCAATGCCCGTTCTTACCTACGCCGGAACTTCTTGGTCACTCATAGTCAACCCTCTTAGATGCCAAATAAGAACAGTTTCAGCCGATATAGGCTATATCCGTCATTCCACCCTTATTCTACCACACTCAAGAGAGCTTAGTGCTGAGTCAAGAACAATAGCTTGATGCCAAGAAACGACAGAGAGTTGCAAGTATTGCATAACCGGCATAGAGCGGACTCTTGTCTTTCTTTTGGTGGCTCCTCCAAAGTCAATTGAGGCCAAGACCGTGTTGAAGGATGAACTTGCCCCTCATTTCCCAGTTCTTCTCTGAAACAACAACGTGATTTAGCCTGCACCGATGCTCCATTGCCAAAGTACCTAGGGCCTCAGGCCACCCAGTGACCCGTGCCAGCACGTGCACCGCATTTGTTCCCAGACCGGACCGCCACCCGGAATTCCCCATACGGTGGAAGTCCAATGAGGAGCATCCCGCGTATGGGGAATGTTGTCATCGATTCAATGCTCTTCCGTGTCACTTCACCTGTTTGTGAGCGTCGCTAGAACCCATTGGCCTCAGCATCGGGGAGCAATGAGATCATGAGGTCAAGAAGTCGGACCATTTTCTAGGTTCCAAGGGAAAGAAAAAAAAGAAGCGGCTCGCCTATGCTTTCATGTTGTATTTTTAATTCATTTCATTTCCCTCTCATGTTCTACCGAATCTCCACAACTAATCAAAGTAGCTGTAATGAGTTAGTGGCCACTATCAAAGTCTGTACCTACGTTAGCTTCCAGACCTCAACGGTGGTTGGGTGTTCGGTTCAAAAATTTCGGTTTGGTGCGACGGTTCCACTGCGACCGATTTTCAAACCGATTCTCCGATCGTCAATTCTTGAACTCTCCTGCGCATGACCTGACAGATGTACTCCGTGAACTTTAAGACTGATCACAGACCAAGGGGGGCTGAAGAGCTGAAACGAACGACGAACTACGGAGTACAAGTCGTAAACAACCAGACACCCGGTGATCCATCCACACGGCGGCGGTGGCGGGGTGGGTGCTCGGCTTTGCAGGGCATTATGCAGGATTTCCGCCACTAGTGGACGGAGTATCGCTCTTCTCCGTCTGTAACAGTTGTATCCGTGGTGTGAGGCAAAAATCGAAAAAAAGAGACCAGTCTAGTCAAGAACCACCAGCGGTGCTCGCATCGGTTGACCGCCTCGGAAGAAATCATAAGGCAGAAGAATGCAAGACCGAGAACTTTTCGTAACCCAATATAGAGTAGTATTAAGTAGGCTCCGGTCGTAGTGGAGTGGACAGGCCGCTTTTAGGGGTCGTGGGACGGGACTTGGCCGTGGTCTTGCTGTCACGATGCTCTTTTTTTTCTTGCCCCCCTCTCGCTCTCTTTTCGATCCGTCTTTCTCTCTCTTCCATGGATCATTCTCTGCGTCGGACTGCGTCCTGACATAGTTCTTTTCTTCCCTTCCCTCCTTAGACTTTCTCTTTCCGATCTCTAAGCGTCCTCGTGTTCGGTTCCAACCATAATTGTACAATGCTTTGAACTACAGACTCCTGCTGTGCACGAGAATGCAAACCATCCCTGGCAGATCCACCTTAACGCTCGACCGATGAGAACGGGGATTTTGTTTCAGAAATGGATATGATGTCAGTCAGCACGGCGGCGTTCGCCCCCGCTGCAGCTTCTGGCTCCGACTTGCATTCGATCCTAAGCTCAACTGGTCCTGCCAGAGCAGCGACGTCCACTTCCTCGCTCAATTCCCTGAATGACTACACGAACTATCCTCTCATCCGTCAGGGCGATCGCACGTACTTGCGCGACCCCGAAAATCTCTACCCTTTACCATGCGATCTCCCGGAAATTCATCGCCAAACCCTGCGCTCTCTAATGCTGCTGCGTGTTTTCGGAGGCCCCTTCTGCAACCCATACTTTGCCGATCGCCCTCCCCAGCGTGTGCTCGAGATCGCCTGTGGATCGGGTCTCTGGTCAAGCTTGTCTCATGACTATTTCACCCGTCGTGGCGCTCGCAATGTTGCTTTCCATGGTATTGACCTCGTTTCCCTAGCACCCGACTTGCGCAAAAAGGGTGTCAATTGGCAATTTAAGCGTCATGATCTACGGAAGCCTCGTTTGCCTTTCCCCGACGATTATTTCGATTTTGTTTTCATTAAGGACGCGTCGATGTGCCCCTCCAGTCCAGCGCTGCAGGCTTCCGGCTTGAGCGAGCCTTTACGAGTTCTCAAACCGGGCGGCGTCCTGGAAGTATGGGACTCCGATTCGGTGTTCCGATCATTGCTCCCTAATCCTGCACCTGCTCGCAGATTAGCATCTAGGGAACAAGAAATTGCGGATGCGACTGCTACCTACACATTTTCGCCTGCTACACCATTCACACGAGTACAGAACAAGTTCCTTCAAGACTACAATTCTTGGGCTGAGAAAGCATTCGACCATCGCAAACTCACTGCACTACCTTGTGCCACGATTGGACTTTCCTTTAACTCCGAGGTGGACGTCTTAGAGAAAGTGGATAGCCGCCGGATTGCTATACCACTAGGCGACTTACGGTGGGAACGAGAAAGCAAGGACTGTAGCGGCAGCGCGCGCAAGCAATTAACGGCAGATCAAATGTCCATCCGGCGCACAGCTCTTTTGACCGTAATCCAGATGATCGAGGGCATGGAGCCTATCCTCATGGAGGCCAGCGGGAAGAGTAGAGATGAATGGGATAGGTGGTGGACAGCCATGATGGCCGATGTGTTCCAGAAAGGGGGCCTTGCAAACGGCGAATGTTTGGAAGTGAGTGCTTGGTGGGGTCAAAAGAAAACCCCTAGCACGAAGAAATCATAGAAGTGTCTGGTTTTTTTTGGGTGGACGAGCAAAGAACAAGCAGAAAAAGCAGAGCAGCCCGTTGCTCACTTCTTATTGGTGATACCCCATTTATGTTAATTTTCCATGTGTTTACTTCGTTTCTGTCAAGGCGTGATGTCTCATTGCCTTGCTGGCCCTAATTGTTTTCATAGCGCTGTTTCAACGTGCGATATCGCTTCAAGTAGTACCTGGTCGTTTTTCGTTAGTATAGACGGACAATGTTTCTCTTGGCAATTGCATGATAGATGAATAATGATAATTGACTGGGAAAGGGCTGAGACAGCAGTCTTAAACAAGCTTGTCTGTTACCGTAGACTTGGTAGGATCACTGTGATCGTAGATGGTAATCGAAAGTTGCTGAAGGGGGCGAAGTCAAAAAATTTAAATTATGAGGAAAACTCACAGTGCCTCAATCTCTATAATCCAGCAGGTAAGCCACATTCAAGCTATTACCTTCTATTGAAGGGACATACCTTTCTTCACGAAATTCGCCCGTGCTATACCCTTCCGTATCTGCTCATCATCCCTCAGATGTGCTTGGCTGGCAAACGCCTTGTGCAATCTATTCCTAAAGTATTCATAGCCCAGTGGATAGTTACGTCCAAGAAAGAGTAACTCTATCGCTCACAAGATTAGCGCAACTCAGCATGCATTGTAGATTGAATCAGGAGGCTCCAGTAAAGCTACTATACAAACCTTTATAGACATTGATTACTTGCCGACGAAGTTCAGGGTTCGTCATTGTTCACCTACTTGAGCTCGAAGGAATTGTTGAAAATGAAGATCGAAGGAAGAGGGTTGTGAAGGAGAAAGGTGTGTTGAGGATGCGGGATATATGGGCTGGAGTTCATGTTTGCTTTACTTTGCTTGGCCGAAACTACCCGGTGACGTCGTGGCACGGATAACAAAAGCAGCAAACATCTTCTTCCTCTTTACTACTTTCTTGGTCATTACAAAGTTATTTACTGCCAGGCCGACATAACCCTAAATTATGCTCAATAAAAGCTTGAAGCATGCTGGGGAAGAGTGGGGGGCGAGTTCCTGAGCTGCAGTTCCTAAATTCAATTTTCAGTCACATGAACCAGTCAAGCTCACAGGGCCAAGTCGGGGGTCTCGAATTGGCCAAAGGGCTAGGCGGACTGCGTTCATCACGAAGATAACGAGAATATCTCTCCGACATATCCTTGTAGGCAGCAATTCGCTTGTCACTTATTTTTTTACCGGCTTGTGCGAGAATTACAGGATCTTCATCGCCCATCGAAACAAAGTCAATTGCTCCGTACTTGAGGAGAAACCTTTTAATGCCATGCCCATATACAGCTAAGTCCACAAGGACAGCGCCTTCTGGTTGTATAGCCTTGTCATTGGCAGCCTATCGGTGGTTTGGATCTTGGAGAGGGACTGCTGCCTGCTCTGACCACATCGTGAAGGCCTTTAGACTGGACATTGGCCATTGGAAAATCTGGATAGCTGCGACACCACACATGTATGGCCTGTATTATTAGTGTTTGTTGAATAGAGGTCAATAAAGCCTCTTGCCTGAAAACCATTGATTGCTTTAACACGGCCATCGGTATCCTTCAGGCGCTTCCTGAACCAGTTACTGATAAGCTCGCTCTCTTCGAATTCCAGTATTTGGAGTTGGGACTATTGAATTTTCCTACACTTCAGCGCCGTTCGCACGACTCTCGTGCCTCTATACGGGAAAGCTTGGCAAAGGTAATGAAAGGTGGAATTATTACTAGGTAAACTGGGAGTATATACTGAAGTAGACTAGATTTGTTGCGGGTCTCCACACACACCTGATGGCAAAGTCCACTCTATCTTTGGAGGGAAGGATTTTGGAAGGAAAAGGAAAGATATCATTTGTAAGTCAATACGAATAATGTAGAACAGAGACAAAGAAAGGGGAGGGGGGTACCCTCGACAGGGATTCAAGGGAGAAGGGAACAATGTCTCTCTGCCGCCGAATTCTGACGCTCGGGTGGGTAAATTAATATATCTCCAAGGACTAACATATTGGCTTGATCTCGACCGAGTCAGTCGCCCCTACAGCTGAGGAACCTTAAACTAGACCCAGTCGTTCGGCGGCAAATGTGAAACACTGACTTCTCTCGCTTAGATCCATCTCAACCGCTATCACGACAATTACTGAGAACGCGTCATGACGATGAGGTGATCATTGCCGGATATGGTTAAAAACCCTGACCGTTGTCCTTCATGGTATCTCTGGATCCTGACTATCACTGGGGAGAGTTACTGCGCTATCCTGATCCTTATCCATCAATCGGCCCATAATGACCCCAACAGTTCCAAGCAGGATGTATCAAGAGAAGCTACCCGACTGGGTACCGTGGACGTAGGGTATCTACTATAAAAGCTGGAGTATCCCGAAGTCTGTAAAGTGCTGTGCAACTGCTGTCGTTCATTCATTTTTTTTTTTTTTTACATCCAGTCTTTCATTTTATCCTGTCGCTCTTTCAATATGCGCTCTATTGTTCTGTCTGCCCTGGCGGCGGGCCTTGCACAAGCTTACACAGTGACGAATGTTGGGTTGTTCATGTTCAAAAACATCGATCCTCTGGTGGTCCCTGGCAAATACACCAGCCATATGCACAGCTTCTTTGGCTCCGACGCTATCACTGCCAACACTAAAACATCTGAAGAGCTGCAGAAGGGCTGCTCCACGGCCAAGAACCCCAACGATTATTCGACCTACTGTAAGTATATTCGGTATCGCATGTGAATGCTGGAGCTTATGAATGCAACCAGGGGTTCCAACCCTCTATCATGTCGATGGTTCAAATTATACCGCAGTCCCTATCTTCCGATTCAGCGCCTACTATGTCGATGTCAGCAGTGCCGAGATTGCCATCCCCCAGAACATGAAACTTCTGGCGGGCAATGCCACTGCTACATCCCAGGACGGCGTGGATGGCAACGCTGGTATCCAATGGTTCTGCGACAGTCAGGAAGGAGAGGAGAAAGACGACGCAGCCTTCCCAAATGAGACGTGCAAGTGCCATCTGCAGACGCTTCTCCTCTTTCCCGACTGTGCCAACCCAGACACCCTGGAGTATGCTTACTCGGCCAACCCCAATTGGGTAGATGGCTATGGTGAGAATCGTTGCCCAATTGGAATGAAGCGTATCCCTCGTCTCCGGTTCTCTATCCGCTACGACTTGCGGGAAATCCTCCCAGGCGGCTGGTCCGGTAGCCCTCCCTTGGAACTCGCCTGCGGCTCCTCCTACTGCAGCCACGGAGATTTCATCAACGGATGGCTCCCAGAGGCCGCAGAAAACATGGTAAAGGACGCTGCATCCAATGACCGCGAGTATTTCCAGGTCACTGGTCCCAATGGAGCGGGTGACGAGGGTTCCTTGTGCGATGCAGAGGATGCTCAGGATAGTGACCCTACCCACGGTACCAGTGATTACTGGGAGAGTGTGAAGATGATGGGTATGAGCAAGAACTCGACCTTGGTGAGGAGGAGTCTGTCTCGTCGTCGTCAATTTTAAGCGGGGTTTAAGTCTGAGAGGTTCGCCCACGTTCAAACCAGAGCAGCTATCTACCACACCTTCGAATAGAGATCGCTGGTCGACATCCTGCTTCGTGTTTTGCAAACATTTCCAACTATTGTCGCTCGCTTTGATGAATAAAATATTAAGATAAGTACTTGGTAGAGTGAGTAACGAAATAATACCAGTAAACCTAGGGATTTTCACACTATTCTGCTTCGAGCTACTTGTCTCTCTCGACGATGTGTAAGTGGGGACGGTGAGAGTCCGGCCATTTCTCCATCTGAGTAGCTTAGCACATATTTCTCACCAGCTTGGGTTATGCCAAAAACAAAGCTGAGAAGTGAAATAGGTTTACCATATAGAATCAATGCAATATACAGTGGTCCATATGAAACTGGATTTGGTGTTGGAGAAATGGCACCGTGAACCAAGAAATACTTCCCGAGCTGCCTTACGGAGTATATTGGGGTTGGGGACCCACCCACCCTAGGCCTACTCCACTACTCCCATTGCCGGAGTTGTAACCGGAGCATCCCAAAACATCTCCAACCACTACGTATCGACGCCCAATTGCTTGAAAATGACCCCGATTCACGCATTCAGAAGGCATTGCTTTACTGCACTTACTTCAGAACACTCGTCCCTTTTTACTCGTACCCTATCGACATCAGCCTCCGCAGCACGAAATGCCGATTCATCCAAAACTGCCGCACCCCAACCCCACAAGATCGACCCCCGATGGCTTACCATGACAAAGAGGAGATTGGGCAGATGCATGATGTTTGGCCTAAAGCCGACACAAGTTCAAGAAGCCGGAGAGATATTGCAACAGATTGCGAGGGATTGGCGTGAGTTGATAGCTGGGAGTGAAGGTTACTTAACAGATGCGACAAGAAGGGGCCTCTTCCGGCAGAGCGTAGCTTGGGGAGAGATGGTAGGGCCAACATACCTTATATCTGGCATAATGTACTTGTGCTAATACAGGACGTCTGTATGGATCACAGGATACCATGGTACGTTGATAAAGCCCATATCAAAACAATGCGACTATTCGGTACATTGGCTGACTTCTCAGGGTATGTATCTGGGTCAATAGTGTCGCCTTCGTCGCAACTCCCAAGTCCTAACTATTCTGCTTAGGCCATGTTAATAATGTCACCTACGTCCGATACGCCGAAACTGGCCGGGTATACATGACTCGCAATTTTGCCACACATATAGATCCGGCTCATAAGAAAGAATGGATGAATATTGTCGGAAATACGGGGATTGGAATCATTCTGAGGAGCATCAAGATCGATTACAAATTCGTGCGACCCTCCTCAACCCCAAGTACGACCTCATGTTTGCTAACAGAGAGGGTCTCCCCTGCAGCCCATGATATACCCCGATGAGGTCACGGTATATCACAAAGTAGCACATGACCCATCCTCTCCTCATTCGCACAAAGACGCATTCAATCTGCAGGCCGTAATTATATCAGAAGCGAAGCAACGACCAGCTGCCCGTGTCCATGAAGACCTGGTAATATACGATTATAGGCGTGGAAAGAAGGCCGAGATGCCACCATTTATGTTGGAGCAGTTCAAATCCACCTGGGAGCTTCAAGAGAAGGCAAAGAAATTCTGGCAGCAGCGGATCCTCGATATCGAAGCAAGGGTGCGAACGTTGGAAAAGGAGAGTTGGGATCGTGAGGACGCCGTCGAAGATACAGGGTCCGCAAAGAAATAAAATTTCCCCTGACTTGATGTGGTCCAGCGTTCATACAGTACCTTGCTTATATTTCAGCAGGATATATGTACGTAACCGCTGTACACATGCGTATATATTAAGTTTTGTCATTTTGTATTGTATCGTACGTACAGAGGAGCCACATGTATCCATCGGAAACCAATACGACAATACAAGATCTGTAATCTATCTTCTTCAGGTGGCGGTGTTCTTTCCGAGCCAAGAAAAAGCTTGCTCATCAAGTGGCCCAGTAGGCCTCGGTAGGTAGGTTCCTGTAAGTAAGTAGCCTCCCTATATGACCAATCTAGCGCCAGTCGAACTGTAAAAATAAATTGCTGTACAAAAAGCTCCCTAAAACCATCGACTATTACCTTCGTACGTAGTTCCCTTCACGTACTCTCGCCTCTGGCATCGAAAACACGAGAATAGTAGTTCGGCCCAGCCCCGGTCCTTGGCTCGGGCCCAAGCCGAGTAAAAGACCCTTTTTCTCCCAGGGACGCCCACTGATTGGTCCCATGGGGAGAAATTTTATAATTTTATCTAATAGCATATAGAAACACATGTGTCAATTGCCGGCTGTGATGCCTGAAAGCAGATTTTTGCATCGTATGACAGTAGTGGTACCCGATTGGGAACAATGGGTCAGACTTTTGTAGTGGATGCGCTGGAACATCTTTGAGAGGGGTGCATGCTGGAAACGTGATTCTGAGCCAGGGTTCCCTGGTCCTCAAATTGTGAAATGATCGACAGCCTAAAGCTAGTAGTTGCTAGATGAAAGTCAAAACAGGAAGTTCTGCCACCGGTCGAAAAAATGTCGGCTCTTGGCGTTTTTTTTTTTAAAACGGGTATGGAATGCGGTAGTGATTATTGTACTGATGTGGCTGGATGGCTTGTGGCAGTCTCATTTTATTATGTCTTAGAATTATGTATTCGCTGCCTGGCTTCTCTATTGTATTACGTGTGCCGCCATCTCGCTAATTATGCTGTCAGAAACTAGGCTGGTTTGCTTAGCTTACAGTATAGCATAAATATATGGTGAGGTCCAATGGCCCCCATGACTACGTCTACTAGTAACCAAATTGCTTTTATATTGATTGCTTGGTAGATTGCTTAATGCATAAATTCCGTAACGAGAACAATGTATAGTCGGCTACGGATTAGGTAGGATGCATATACCTCCCCAAGTAAGGATATCGGTTCGTTACAACCTCACGATAATTGATATTTAACATACCTGTAGTAGGTACCTCGTCGTGCGGGCCCTTCTTTCTCACGTCATATTGCTATTAACCAGGTTCCTCCTTGACTATAGGGCTAGTATCCCACTAAAATCTCGACAATTAGTATTGCTCCAAACATAACATACTACTCAGCTCAATCTACTTGCAGCCCGTAATACAGACCATCCAGGCCGATACTAATGTTTGTCTTGGGGCCAGAAATGGATAATTGGCCCCCTATAAGCCTAACAATAAGCATGTTGCTTCATCAATGCGAGGATATCGAACAGATATTAGCTGGTTTGCTCCTTTGTTCTCGAAAGACTAGTGTCTTTCACCGACGGTCAGATACTAGTGGTTGTGGAGATGATACTATAGTTAGTATTCTGGATGGAAGATAACCGCAAAATTGTATACAAGAGTAGATTATAGAGAGTTGAAATCGAATGATGCAGACATAGGGGAAGAATGCTGGGGCTGGGGTGTCCTGTTGGGGTTGCAGAATAGGCGCTGACCCTACGTAGCCCTGGTATGTAGCTTGTCTTTGCCGAACATACTTTCTCAAACGACAAGCTTAAATACTTAACCTTGGGCGGATGGTAGATTTACCTGCCAAGCAGAACTCCGTGATATCTCGTACATGGGGTATCTTCTTGTGTTCAAATACCCAATACAGCAACAAAGCAACAGCACCTTACTACCTAGTAACTAGTACTGTACAAATCAGAGCGGTATTCGTAAGTATCATCTGATGGTCGTACTGTCTTTGCGGGGCGCAATGGGCCCCATCACGCCAACGATTGGTGGAAACGTGAACGAGCATCCCCTTCCGGGTATAGAACGTCGATCATCCTCAAAATTCCACCCTAATCCAACGAATAGCAGAGATACCAAGACTGCCCTAAGATGCTTCACCTGACATGCTGCATGCATGATCCTCCCTACGAGGCA